TATACACAAATATAATATAGATCAGGTTTTATATATCAAATATTTTTGACCAGCTCAGACATTTTTGGCTGCTTTTTGTTTGATGGTTATTTCTTTTCTTCTTTGATAGTAACATTCGAAATTATCAGTAACATGTAAGCGACATTTGTAAAAATGTGGTGGAATTAATGATATCTTTTCATAGAATTTAACGTAGTAATAACTTACATATAATCAAATAAGAAAATCTTTACCAAGAAAACACACAAGCGCGCGCCGCACGCACGGGGTCACGCACGCACGCACACGCAACACACACACACACACATCAAAAGTATATTTCCGAACTCGTAGGTGACATTAAATATAAGTGCGAAATCTTATAATCTTAATATCATTATCTTCAGATTAATAACAAAATATATCCTGTGATCTCAGAGGATATTAACAGTTGTAACATTACTTGTGTAAATTAATGATCTTGGTAACATAGTAAATTAGTGACTTTAGAATGAAATAACAACGTACTAATTGATATGAAACCTACAATACACTCAGCATCGTTTACTTTCGTTCATCAATTTCAGATTAACCGATATCTTAGGCAAACCCTAGCTTTCCAATGAGACGGCAAGTAAGTAAGTATAAAGCGTAACAATTTTTCATAACAAGTTGCAGTAGTAACAACTTCTTTAATTAACTATAATGTACATGAACACACTTTATTTATCACTTTTATACACTTTATACAATTTAAATATGAAGAAGGAAGACCCTTTCGCGTACGATCGAGGTTCCTGTACAATTTCTACCAGCACTACAAACCTTGTTTGGATTCTGTTCGGCGTACTGTTTACTATCACAACCAAGAAAACTTAGAAACATATAATTCTTTACAGTGAAGCATTTTTAGATATATTGAAATAACAAAAGTCATAGGGACACAGGTCAGGTAAATAAGGCTGGTGGTTTCCCAATACCACCTTCTAAGAAATACTTTACAGAGGCATTGCCGTGTAACAAACGGACCAGCAAAAACACATTAACAAAAACCAAACAAAAACACACAAACAACATCAAATAATAATCACCCCTTGCTTGGAGGTTTATTCTTAACCTTATTTCAATCTCTTCAAAACAGTTTTCTTGTGACCCTATGATCACATGGTTAAAACCACTTACACAACTATTTATTAACTTAATGTCCTGTTGACAATACAACAATGTTTCGGTAATTCCGTTTCAGCCGTTCTCTGTGGATCAAGGTTGTGTCACGTGTTACAAATTAGAAAAAAAACAGCAATCATAAAAGTTCCATACACATTTAAGGCGTTGCTTGTTTTTATTCTAAGTAAGCATATTAGTACCCTACATACAACTCGCAAGTATATCTGGAAAAAAAAATATTTTTTTAGAATTCTTTTCACATTGTCTTTTGATATGCCACTTCCACTGGCTATTTCTTTGAAGGACAAACACATATTGTTCTGTTTTATCACAACTTTTTAACAGCTATGTTTGCCTTTCTTACCTACCAGAATGGGTAGTACAATGTATATTCAAATAATATCCTTGCTCTAAAAACATGTAAATTGCATGCCCAATAGTAACCGAAAAAAAAATATCTAGAAACAATGTGATCCCTCGGAAGCATTAATCACAACAAAATTAGATGAAAAAATGCAGACTTGGTTTGATTGAGGCTGTACATGAGAGATAATGAATAAGTGCAACATCCCTTACGCCCCTAGCACAGGCTTGAGTGGTACTCAATTCTCAACACTTAATAGTGCTGGCATCAATGATCCCGAAGGACCAGGAAAAGAGAACTCGCAGAACAGATAAAAAGAGACAAAACCTGGCTGAATTTGTAATCGGTTAACTCTCTATGTTCTTAACTATATATTAATTCGTACATTTGTAAGAACAATAAAATATTATGTTAATAGCAAGTAAAAGATGTATTCCTGGGCATAAAATTACACTTCTTTTCAGCTCATTAATGGTTTTACTCTTTTATATTATGTTTTATTTTGATCCAATTAAACTTCAAATATATTATGTCAATGTTCAGTTGTTAATACGATAATATTTGTCGCGGCACAAAACCACTTACCTCACAGGAATGGTTTAATAGAGCACATCATTAATATTCTATGTTCTTTTAAAAGCATCTGTATTCAAAGGAAATGAAACAATGGGTTCTAAAAGAAATAGAAACACTAGGTTTATGGGTTTTCTGAAAGAAAGAAAAACACCAACAAAACAGACACAAACCAATTACTGAAAAGAGGATACTGAAGAATAACTGAAATTAAACGATAAAACATATACTATTTCCATCAATGAATATGAAATGTGAGCATCCGACGAACTCGGGTGTAACAGATAAAATATGATAAAACAAAGAAATCGGGTTAGATATAGAGAGTTCTCTCAAGGCAATGCTTATTTATTTTACACTGGCAATCTGCTCCATTTTATATCTTATTAATATAATATATATATATTTATTTGCTTAGTACTTACCTATATTAAGAAAACTGAACGTATAACAAATATTGCGAATTAAATATGTTAGCAAATATTCATTGGCAATCAGGCATTGACTGACCTTATGTGAGTGTTCAAAAGTGTCATTTGATTCTTGCAGGTACATCGTTTGCTGTTTCACTTCTTCGCTTTAACGGCATCATATCAATGTAAACCATGTATCGTATCAACCAAATATAAATGAAATACCAGTTTATAATTTGAGCCACACAGTCTACAACGGTTGCCTGTCAACCTGTCGTCAGGATCTTCGTCCATTAATACAGCGTTTTACTTTTCTTTTGCACTGTTGTATTCTTATGCAATACAGTATACGACAATTAGCGAATACATGTACTCACAGTTAATTATGGTCCAATTATAACCCTATAGACATTAAAGTAAAATTAACCACTTTCAGTTGAACCTGTATAATGCATATGGTAAGTAAATATTCGTATTAAAACAAAGCCATTCAGTACAAACCTATAATTAACATTCATCTGAAAAGCAGCTCGTATGTCATATGCTTACTAGATGGTTTTACGATCAAATAGTCTAACTATCTGAACTCGAGCAACTCGGACAAAAAAAACCCGAAACAATAGCTTCTCAAACAAGAAGGATTTTTTTCTATTCTATTAGCAAAACATAAAAGATCTAATTACTGATTGGCAGATACAAAAAAAGTTTTGTTGCAATTTCTGGAATTGAAAGATAAAACATGTTTGTTCGTAGAAGATTCAGTAAATTGAAAATTAGGGGGAACTTAGTTTATCAGATAAAATAATAACAATAATGAACACAATTTTCTAAAAGAAAAAAACGAACAGAACAATTGTGTTTGTTTGGGACTGCATTCTGTTTGAATACTTTATTAGAAAGCGTTTGGAATGAACATCTTTTTTCAAGTTTTTTTTTATTTTTATTTTTTTCGTTTTTTTATACCCCAAAATTTCAAAATAAGTGTATCTAACGTTACAGATTTCAGATAGTTCTTGTCATATTTCAAATACTTTAGCTGACATATTGTGTGCATGAATTTAAACAAAAACATCTACATAATATGAAACGATTTTAGAAAGTAAGAAATGACTAATAAAGTTAATATTTGCAATATATACCAATGTGCTTTTCAAAAATGGCCTTCTTTTGTCTTCTTTAAGATTTCCTGATGGTTTGGGAAGCACTCAGTGCAGTATACGTTACTTCTTAACCCAACCTCCATAGAAAATCTGAATTGTGATTTGGATGAACGGTTACGACAGGGGTCTGGCAATCCCTGACAGGAATCATGAAGAGAAAAATACATTAGACTCTAGCATTATATCATGATTAAGAAACTGAAAAAGTTCTGGCAACATCAACTATTGATCAACGACCTCCATATACATTGAATAACCATTTGTATGAAAGTTAAGACCATTACTGGAGCTGACAACGTGGTTGAGGTGAAGGATTGTACACTTCAATGACTCATAAGTTAACAACATAAGTCTGGTTAGACTGCACAAATATGCAAGTTGTAGATGTACAAGTTGTCCGCATTAGCCGCTGGTATTTACTATATTGACGGAGGAAGACCTTATCTGCCCTTTCATGCATTATTTCAGGCATGATCGGGTACCAGAGTAGAAAACCCGACGTTCCGTCTGGCTAGATAGCTTCCTAACATGAAAGAATGCAAGGTCCCTGGCAGGACTGGAATCCAAATAAGTGAGGGGCAAGCGGTTGAAAGTAAATGACCTTAACTATTCGGCCATCGATGTCCCTGGGATTGTACTGAACGTTGGACCAGAATATATTTTCCAATTTTGTCTAAAAAGGTCGTCACGATGCCATGGCATTCTTACTTTCTATATTAGTGAGTATTTTCTAAAGAAACTAAGTCAAAGCTACTTATATGTTTCAACTATTAGTTAACGACTTCCTATGGCAACGACGAAATGGTGAAATATGTTGTGCAGTAAGAAAATACTTTTCTCCTAAATTCTTATCATTCATGTTTATTTTATTTAATATTTCGATTAAAATAATCAAGAAACGTGTTAACAACTGAGTATAAACAATACCTCAGGGATTTGGCCAATTGTAAACAATCACCATCAGTAAGTATATATTTTGGGTACCTACGACAGCCATCATCAAACTAGTTAGTGTACGACTTGTACCATGTATACGGGTTTTTTCCTCTCAAGAATATTTTGGTAAATGACTTGTACAGAATGTAAAGGAAAGGAAATAATTATTGTTAAAGAGTCCGATGTTATTTAGCAAATGTTTTGTAATTCCTTGCATACAGGTTAGTGACATTTTCTATAGCTTCATTCTCTACTTGATTCACTTCAATCTACATCACACTGCTAGTATAACCATAGATAACTTAGTCAACTTGTGGTCCGAATGTTCAAAGTAAATCATTTTCATTATTCTTTCATTATATCATAATGGAACAGCTATAGGTAAAATGATAAGTGGAAACAAAACAGTAAGATTGACACATTTTATTCTGCCATAGTTTACAAATACATGACAATAAATTCTATCATCACAGACAAGCTGCCCCCCTGGAGGACAGAGCCGGCCCTACAACATAGACCTGATATGACATCATACATGTAGATATATGTACCAGCAAATAAATTCAAACAAATATTTTGATATTATCAAAATTTGTTAAGTCATTTAGACAAAGATTTTGTCTCAACTAACTTGTCAAAGAAACAAAATGTTTATTAGTAGTATTTCAATTGACAGGTGATAGTTGAATGCATCAAAAAGCATGTAAACAAACACATTTCATGATAAGTGAAAGAATTTTTTTTAAATAACCAAAACCTATGTAAAAATATTTTTTTAAAATGGATAAATTTCAAATTTTATAATAATATTTTGAACTTGCAATATATTAAATATTACAAAAACATTATTTATTTACTGGTACATATTTCTCTCCTATTAAATATTTCAACATTATTTGAATATTCTCATTTATTAACATACAACCTACACTTTATTCTCAAATACTGAATATCGGCAAATAATATCAATTATGAAGGATAATAACATGTTGTTTGTATCAATTACAATGTATTGAATTAATCAGTAAAATAAACATTCAAACAGTGGGCTTGTAATTCTAACAAAAATCTTGGAAACTTGGAAATATATTTAAATATTCATCATAATTTCAAATATTATTGTACTTTGTATCATCAAACATTTATCTGTAAAGTAATAACCAAATTTTTAATGACATAAAAAATCCTTCATAATTGTGACTGACAAAATTTTTTAATGGTTCAAAATAAATATGATATAATGATAAAATGTGAAAGCTACGTAATATAGCACATTTGATTTCTTAATTTAATAATGCCAGTGTCATTTTATTAAATTTAAATTAACAAAATAAATTAAAAAAATGTACATTTGCCATTTTCTCTGGCAAGTTTCTATAAGAAACAACAAACTGATATATGTAACACACAATGAACAGCTGTGATTTTTGTATCTTTTTTGTCCACTACTTACTAACATTCCTGAGAACTTTAAAAAAATGATTTCTAATGGTTATGGACACTGTACATACAAGGCTTTCAACCATAACTTCATCAAAATACTAAATTATCATCTAATTAATTAGACATATGTGCTTAAAAAATGGAATGAGATAATTTTGGATAAATCAAAATATTTAAAGCTTTATTTCCAATCTTGGAATTGTTGGTTATATTAAACTGTAAAAAGTGCCATTGTTGGTTATATGAAACTGTTGATAAGCCAGAGGTTTAATCATATGGTTGACAGCCTTTAAAATACAATTGTTCTTAACACTCTAGTCATGGTTTATTGTGCAATATCTCTTATGCCCTAATGTTTTATTCTGTTTATTCATGTTTTATAGAACAAGGATATTAATAATTGAATTGTGAACAAGAAATTTTAAAGGTTTATATGAATTTTTTGACATTTTATTTACTTTGGTAACAATTTAATCATAAGCTTACAATTTTGATAATTAAAAAATTTCTTCACAATAAATTTAAAAAAAAATTGTTACAAAAAAGGCATTTTAAAGGATTTTACATAGAATTATATCTAAATATAGCTGCATTTGTCACCAATGGCCGATTTTCTAAAATGTTAAAAACATATTTTCTAAATGTTAACCTTGGAAACAGGAGTTCAAGTCAGAAATTATTTTATCTAAAACAAACAGGTAAAATCATGTGAAACTATCGTTGTGCAACTTGAAGATAAAAATATGTTAAAAAAACAATGAGTTTATCAATAAAACCTTAAAAACATTCTATAAAACTTTATCCAAAATAATTCTGTACTAGTAAATGAAAATTGAAATTTCATATATTTAACCATTTTCACATATAAAATCTTATTCATGTGTTTTAATATTATGCAGATCAAAAAAAAAAAATTCCATCTTTTAAAAAAGTCATGTCTCTTCCATGTTTGGGACATACCTATTTGACAATGAAGTTTTATTAAAGATTTACATTATGCCCATTTGAAATTGTAGCTTTGTTAAAATGAGCATTTCACAACCATAGCACTATCTTATCATAAAAAGGACAACAGAATTTTAATGAATGTCACACATAGAGTATTATAAAGTAGGGTTTCATCTCACAACTTCTTCAAATTGTAAATAATCTGTACACATACTAAAACACTAACTTGGTACATTGTGCCTTTGAACAGTAATTTTTATTCAAATACCCCAAAACCTAGGTAAGAACAACATCTCGAAGCACAGACCTTTTCCTTGTTAACAACCTGTAGTTATATATTGTTCTTAAAACTGCTCACTGTCATGTAAAATATGTACGAAAATGTTGAATTTGTTCACGATGCTTTAATGCAGTTTTATCATCAGTCATACCTGTACAAACATTTACTCTCACTGCTTCACAGTATCATTTTCACAGTCACATATGTTCATAGTATGCACTTCATTTTTCAACACAATCAAACTGAACAAATTCTAATGTCCATATTGCATTTGTTTAAACTATTGTCCATTTCAATATATATAATATATGCCCGGCCTAATATAAACAATATTATGAAGAAACTCTTTGGTTTCATAAAAGTCTTTATATTCTTCCAATCGAAACGAAATGGAATAATACTATACGAACGCGTACAAATAATCGCACCATTTATTTAAGTCTAGTCTCTTATATCTGATATTTCTTCTCACTTCCGCTCGACTTGTTTGATGTATCTAGATCATCTTTACGCTCTATCTTAACAAGAACTTTACCGTCGTACTCTGGTAAGATACGACTGTCCTCCTTCACCTCCTCGTACACAGCCTCAGAATCAAAGTCTTTGTTGTATGTCTTAACAAAGTATCTGAAATTGAAACAAATAAAATATATATAAATTTGGTTATTAAAAATATTTCAGTAAATTAACCTCAATAAATGAAAAGTATATCAGTAGAAAAACCTGTATAGAAAAACTATTTATCATCAATACTACTTGACAGCAGATTTTTAAAATGTCAAATCTTAACCACATGATCAGTGGACCTACAAAACAACTTTTATTAGCACTATTTTATACAAAGTAAATCATTTGACCTGATTTTAAGAGCTGAAAAAAATGATAATTACCGGAAATTTCCTCTCTTGCTAATATGAGTTTTGAGTTGTCCGAGGGTAACGCTGGATTGTGGTATGGTAGTTTTGTATGGGATAGGCTCGCCACACAAGTAATAACCGATACTGATCTCGTCTGGCTTACTTGACCCTGAGGTATTTCCACTCCCTGATGTTCTCTTCTTCTTTCTGTAAAAACATGAATACATAACTGTTTAATGTAAATTCAATTTTATACACAAAACTATTATCACATCTTTAATATCTACAATTTCTCTTAAAAATGTGACCTACAATAACCCTATGCAAACATAAAAATGTGAACAATAAAATTCAGTATATACGAGGGTTGTCCCAATATTCTGTGACAAGATTGTTTAAAAGCTACATAAAACAGGTACGAACTTGATATTTTAATATGTTATAAACCCATATAATTTAAACATTTTCACAAATTTTCATAGATAAATATCAACAAACAACAAAAATTTGCCATAAACACCATGGCTACTAACTGAATCGCGGCGCACGTCCAACGTCAAAGACTGCGTTAAATCTATATAAGGCGCCTTTCTCAAATACTCTCAATGGCTTTCAACGCAATAATGGTACCCATAAATCGTCAATTTCTGACTTAAATCATGTGGTTGTTAATGTCTGTTGAATGTTTGGATGGCATACATTAACTTTTGCTATACGCGAACTTCCGGTCTCGTTACACCTGTTTTTAGCTGTAGGAAATAGGCGACGATGATCGGTCTTCCTATCCGTGTTTTCCTTATTTTCGCTTTTTGTAGCGCAAAACTCTGGTTCCGTTCATGCCTTTTGTACACAAATGCTCAGGAAATGTTGCTAAACTGTTATAATTGGTATATTTGTTGAAAATCGTTACATGTGTCATATCGAAATAGTCACGAAACCTTAGTGACCCGTTTACTGTGCTGCAAATTCTTCGAACGTCGCCATTTTAACTTTCCTATTTTCCTATTTTCTACGAGATATTTTCATTTATACGTATCTTATTCGTTTCTTAAGTTATTTAACTAAACTTTTCAGAGATGATTTAAACATAGCAGCAGGGGAAGTCAACGTGACATTGTGCAGACACATCATCAGATTTTTGAAATATACGTAATTAATTTCAGCCTATTCATAACAAAAATGTAAATTATTTGACGTGCGCCGGCAACTCAAACCAATGTCGTTAATACTGAAAATTTCTTAGTAACTAGGGTATTTTTTTTTGTAAATGATTTGTTGTAATGTTAAATAATAAACTTAACAGTTATATGTGTGAATTATTTTCTATTGGCGTTAAAAATGAACCGGCTATAAAATTTGTCACAGACTTTTGGGACAACCCTCGTAGATATGCAAATAAAGTTGCATGAGAAAAAGATCCATTAACTCCTCTATTCATTTTCTACTATGAATTGTTACAATACAGTTTGCACACATACTTTACACAACTAGATTGTGATAACCTCCCTTTGACTGGTAAAACATAATGAATATTATGAATAGAAATCTTGTGTATCAAAGATACATATACAGTATCATTACTTAATATCTTCAACCTTTACTATACTGAATTTATAAACTGAACTGGCCTCACTTTAATTTAGAAATGTATATTGCTGTATTACATGACTTCAAACTACTAAAATCAACAAGCCAATAATAAAGAGTCTAATCTGACTACAGGACTGAGCAGGCAGATCTGGCTGTATGACGGCAGCATTATCACTGCTTATGTTCAGAGCTGTAAAAACCTGTAGTTATACTTACTCAGTTCTATCCACTGAAATGTCAAGTTCAGCGGGTACTGTCTTAGCAGACGGAACTGTGTACGAGTAATCTTGTCCAGTACTCTGGGACATTTGCATGCCAGGTCGACGATCTTTGTTCGAAACTGCAGTAAATGACCTGTAAAATGCAAAAAAATTTCATAAACATACATTCAAGATTACATCGGACAAAATTCCTGTTAATTTAGTTGTCAAAATCTCTACCATCAGATCACTTTGGCATTAAAGGCCCACTGTGCTCCAGAAATTATGCTATTATTTCTATTTCTAAAAAGCATTTTATTTTTGAAATACTGATATAGTATGGAATATGGTATTCCTTGTCCGAATAACTGTATCATCTTTTTCTTATGTTGCATTCAATAGTTAAAGTACTACATGCACTTTTTTCTATACCACATTCAGCGCATAACAAGCATCTAACATGCTCTAAAAATTTTATTTAGATGTTATTTACTCATTTTTGCCCTTTCTTAACAAGGGAAATCATTTCCTAGGCATAATGTGCATTTAACATGTGTCATCCTTACGAGTATAGCAGGATTATTAACCTAACACACAGTGACACTTTCACTGAAGATAAATGCACATAGGAAGTGTTAGAAATCTTACTTAGATTTAGGTGGGATTGTGTTCATCATGTCCTGCTCATTAAGTCTTCTCTTCACCTCATCAAGCTGTACTTTTATATTTGGCGGTGGCATCAGCGGCATTGATGGATCTTGCACAATTGGCTGGTTGGGCATCACACCAAGAGGACCTCCCTGAGATACCCATGGCTGTCTACTGCCACTATCAGCAGACGCAGATCTATTCATGTGACTGCTACTTCCTTTCTTTGAAGTGCTAGAAAAGGAAATAAAGAAAATACATGTATTTATTTAATAAAATATTGCCAGAAGTAATATTTAAGCTTATATCTCAGAATATCATCTTGAATATGAAGTAATAAAGGCTACATATTTGTTATTACAAGATTCAATCTCAGTAATAACCATTTATAGGGTATAAAATCATCACTTATGGAGAAATATTGTTCTGCTCAATGCCATTATATCGCTCGTTTAATATTGCAAAGTCATATACTGGAGTAATTTCAGAACAATAACTACAAATTGCCCTGTGGCCTCTTGTATTACAACATACTAATAGCTAATTAAAATAAATAAATGTCCAATGGAAATTAATTTCTGTATCTAAATGACAGAATAAATGTTCTGGTTTTTAAAAAAAATATATAAAGATATTTATTCAGCTGTTATTAGAAAGAGTTTAATAAGACATTGTCTTTATTACTCAATGAATGCAAACGAAACAATAACCCTGCATAGAATTTTATGGAATCATTTACTTATCAAAACAGTTATCTTCAGTAGGAATCAAATAGCTATTAAAATAGAAAAGATCTGAAAATGTCATGGGGACATATCTCTAAATCTGACAAACTTTTCACCACAGACTTTCATCCATCAATAAAAGGCAATCATTGGCATATGATAAGCATTTAATTGATTATTTCATTAGTATAAAACACAACAGCACAATAGCCAATTATCATTCAATTAACTTATACCAAGGTGGTTCAGAGAATATGTCAAATCTCAATGGATTAATAAGGTCTCGGTTAAACAGATCTTCATATCAATTTCCCTGTCTTCCACAATACCATTATGAAACTACAATTTCGATAAGAAAAAGAAATGTTTCTGATGAAATTTTTCGAAGACTGAGCAATGAATCTTTTAGCAGAGTATTCTAATTATTCTTATAATTAAGGTTAGTTTTTGTACCTTTGTTTGTGGGGTTGTTGTGGAAGTGGGGTTAATGCTGACGATTTGTGGGAACGTTTATATGTTGAACTGGTCTTGTCCGAATCCGGGTATGCTGAACTGGTACCTCTGTTAACATTTTCATTGTCCAAAATCCATTGTAATACTCTGTAAAGTATAAAAATGTTGCTATTAGTACAACTAAATAAACTGTTGTTCCACTGTCAAACAGTCAAAGAAAAACACCTTTACTATCTATACTATTTCATTTACAACATATAGTCAAATGTGTCTTGGGAAATCTTATTAGGGTTGATAATATATGTCTACGTATAGAAAATTTTCTCTCTTTTTAATCAGAAGTGGACTCTATCAGAAATGTGACTGTAATATTCACACAAATGTAACAGAACATATTTTTAAACTGAAAGGGTGCATGATCAGATCTTTATAATTCCAGAAAAAAGTGCTTTCAATGATACATTGAGAGGCAAACTTGTTATTTTTGTATAAAAGACCCATAAATTATTCTCTTTTAACAATGCAAATGGACACCTTCACACAAGATTATTTGATTATTCTACTCTTTTTTATGTCTTTAACACTATCAAATTTCTATGAAACTTGGGAGATTTCAGCTCTGTTTCTGTTATAGGGCCATATGCTTCAATATTTGAGACAGTAGGCTGGGATGAAACCCCCCATTGAGATCCCTTTCAACCTGCCCCTTTTTATGCCTTTTATCAATTTCATGCCTTTATGAGAACACTGGCTTTTTCCCTGTGGTTGTTTATTCAATATGCGGTCAAAATCCATCTTTTAAAAGCATTCAATGTTTTTCTTTTAATCTCTTTGATAGTAATGATTAAACATGATTAAATGAGGCATTTTCCCACTGATTCACACTAAAGACCCTTTTTCTGCTAAAAATTCAAACAATCAACTCTTTAATTTTCTCTTGAATTGTGATGAAGTTTTTATTTTATAACATCACATAATGGACTGTATTCTGACTGCCTGTATAAAGCTTGGTGTAAAGTACACAAGCTGTTTGTCTTCTCTTTATTTCTATCATTTTCCCTACATTTGCAATTTATCACCAAACATTTTACTTTAATTTCCATTTGATGTTAGCCGAAAAATACTTTGTGTGAAACAAATATGCTTTGGTAAAAACACATCACAAGTTAAGGATGCAGTGGAGCATGACTTTGTAGTTGAAAGACCTCCGAGAATGAAATGTTTTATGGGGCACGTTTTTCAACATCATAACGCTGTTTAACCTCTCCATGCTCCATGCACTACAAACTTATTCAGACATTGTAAAAAACAGCTTTTATATCTGTTTTCATTCATTCATTCATTTTATATACCTTGTCAGGTTTATATATTTTATAGCTAAGTTTGGCCACTTCATTGTTGATTCAGTTTAGAAAGTTATCTTTGGAATTTTAACATTAGATTTATTTACTTAATTTCATTTAAGTATTTCCTCAGGTTCTTGATAAATTATGTTCAGTATATTAAAATCAAAGATACCTCTTCTACTGAATTCAAATTGGTTTCATAAGCTGACTCAGCCAACTTTAAAGCCAGAATGCCTATCAGCAGTCATAATAATACAGTATCTTATCTTATCTAAATTTGTAACAATCATCTTATTTACCAAGTTAATTCATAACGAAATAATCCAGAATTCCTGCAGTCTTACAACTTTCACAAAGAACTTAATTACTTCAAAATGTAGTGCACATGTCCTCCTATGTATAGGCCTATATTATACATAAAAGCATGTTCAACTACATGAGGTTTGTAGAGGTAACACTCAACATAAGAACCTTAGTGGCCATAGTAATCTATGATTTGATGTATTCAGTCACACATACCCATGAATAAGTAACCTGGATTATTGAGAACAGCAGTAAAACAGCAGTAAAACAATGTTTTGAACATTTGTTAGCTCTTCAGCTTTATGTTCAAGTGTTCATTAACAAGATTTTTTTATCACTAAACTGCAATGCATAATCAGTGCATCACAGGTTTATCTCATTTACTTCACTATTTGAGATAAAGAAACTTTTTTTGGAATGCACCTAGATAAAGAAAGATATCCAAGTCAATTGCTAATACATTAACTATGGCAACAAAGACAAGAGACCCAATTCTTCAACAAAGTATGACTGTATTAACTATTACATTTTAGATTATCTAAAAACAGAGTTGACAAATAAATGAAAGAATTTCTGGCAAAAGAATATGATAAATTAAGGACTTTCTTGCAAAAAAAAAAAAGAAAAAAAGAAAAAAAAATATGTTACCAAAAATGCATTATAAAAAAATTCTTTGATCATGTTTTACCACCAGATTTGTCAAGATAAGATCTGGAAGTTTCCAGTCCAAGGAACAACAAACAATAGCACATGTGACATATAACATCCTATATCAACTGATTGTAGAAAAAAGAAATATAATAAAATAAACAAGTTCCGAGAAATTCATTATCTCAAATATCAACATAACTTCTCCCTTTCTTTAGCTTCAAAGTATAAAAGTTAAACAAGGAACATCAAAGTGCAGATGTTCATTAATGAATTATAACTAAATTAGTCACATTTGTTAAAGAAAACCTTTAACATCAAAAACACTTCAATGGATTACAAAGGATCCTTTAATCAAAGGAAAGTAAACAATTAAAGACTTTGTTCTGCAGGGAGAAAACTGAGCTGTTCTTAGGAAATCATAAATATTGAATAGGAAGCCTGCCTTTGAACAATGGGCTGAAAAAGCTTCTTGAAAATATAAACTATCTCCACCCTAAACCTTCAAAGGTTGGCTTCTCTTTAGATAATGAAACCAACTGATAAAATATCTTAATTCATTAGCACTGGAACCTGATCAAATAGTAAAATAGATTTATATATTGTACAAGTAGATTTATAGAATTAGACAAAGAAATTAATTATCTCTGAATGAATAAATAGCCAAAGTAAAAGAGCTTCTTATTTTTTATTACAGTCATCCTGGATCTTTATTAATCATATTTCATTTAAAATTGAAAGTATAAAAATGCAACCAAAATTTTTCATTTCATAAAATAAAACTATATCTTACTGAATCTTTTCATTGCTAAAAGTTTTATAAACCATTCTATTACATTATATAAATAACCTTTTTATCATTTTCTACCATCTACTAAAACCCAATTAAAGCGTGAAATGACTTTAAAAGCTTAAACTAACAAAGGGGAATAAAAACTTTCAAAAAAGGAAAAAAAATCTGCCCATTTAACATTTAAACGCGATTTAACCACTGACCAAATTTTTAGAGCAGGACAGAGCATGTTTTTCACTACACAGGGCAGTTTTATAACACAGTGTGGTTTTTATCTGCAAGATCAATATAGCCTGCTCAAACCCTCCCAGCTGTGCGCTCACATCTCTCTTTGATCTCACCACTTTTTGTTGTAATCAGTCTCTTTGATGTTCACATCAAAGCTGTACATTAAAATATTTATTCTGTTAAATTTCAAATCAACACACACACTTTAATTTTCACCACCTCATAAAAATGCTGCATAACAACATTATACCTGAGTACTGAATAGCAAATAAAGCCGGAATAAACACAGATATTTAATCAAAGTGTCTTGTTTTTAGTCATTATTTTCTTTTGTAGTCTGATAATTTCCAGTAACTGGATGGCAGATCTTTCTCAAATATTCATTAATCTAATATCCGCCTTTGTGTTCTATTGACACATTCATAGCAATAAAATAATAAAATACAATAAATGGATAGAAAAACCATATGGAAACCCACACCATATTCCTTCTGCTCACCCTGTAATAATGTAGCCTCCCTCAAACGGATTATTAATTAAAAAGGATTTTTTTTATTTAACATTAAATCTTGTTGAAAGAAGCGATGCAATAAAATGAACATAAATGCAAAAGTTTGATTCATTAATTTAGAATTAACTTGTTTTACAAGTTGATCATACTAGAAGTACATGTTGCATCTGCAAGTACAGTAGTAAAACCCGACTGATGTAACTGTTTCGAATAAATATATAAACAACTTCCAGTAAGTAACTTTGATTCGAACTATTTCTTTTTTACTTACGGTGTCTTACCTATAACCTGCTTTAAGTCTTTGCCACCAGCATAGAGCCAGGCCAGCCTGCAAATCCATGCTGACCAGGTTCCATACTGTTGGCTGACCAACTTTAATTTTTTATCTTGATATCCCTAAAATTGATAATGGACAGTTCCTAAATAAGAAGCTGTATAAGTCTAGCAGTAGACTTCCCCTTTAAAGCTATTGATTCTGACGTGTTTAACTAATGTGAATAGTATTTCCTGAGTTCATATCATATTTCCATGTATCAATTCTAGTTCAAAGTGCCTGAACACATTATAAAATAGCTTTTATATGACACTTAAACTGTGACACCCAACACCTTACCAGTGGAAATATGGCCTTCATTTGAAACTGTCACATAAATTATTACCATACATTTTACGAAGCTCAAGTAAAATGAATGCTTTTAACACCTCATTACAGTATCTTTTAAACCATACCAAGACTCTTCTAATTAAAATCGCGCTAAAAATGACAACTTGGAAAATTAAAAACCCTATTTAAGTGGCAACTGTAGCTTTGTGCAATTTAAGACCACTAAATCACTGCAAACTAATAAAATTTTCATTTCTCTTTTCTATCTTACTAGAATCTTTCCTATCTTGGAACAGAACAGCAATTATGATCATTTCTAAACAGGAAAATATGCCATTAAACTTGAATGACTCACAATTTAATATGTATATTAAAATTTATTTTTTTCCCTTCGTGTTATTGTTCCGTAACATAAGTTGCCTGCTTCTGGCAGGTAAATCACAAAGGAATCACAATCCAGAAATGCACCACAATGCAAGACAGACATCATTTCCGAAAATTATTAAAATTTGAAGCCAACTTTTTGAAAATGTTTACCAGGATGCCAATTCTGGTTGGTCTTGTAACGGTATCAAAATTAAAAAGACATCAACATGAGTTTGAAATAATTTCTTCGGTTTTGTTTTGTCTTTCATTTAAAATAGGAACAATTTTTTTAAGCAACATTGTTTTGTGCAATGGGATGCATTAAGACAACTTTACTTGGCTGCATTGGCTTCTTAATTTTAAGACCATGTAAGGGATCAAACATTACTCAATAACATAATATTAACTATTCCACTACTTTGTCCCTTACTGACGGGGAAAGAAATATAAATGAAACTTTTAAATAAAAGCAGGGTATTAAAAAAAAGAAACCAAGGAGGAAGCTATGGTGTGGGTGGTTAATATTATATGTTATTCCCAAATTTTATGTTTCAAACCCACTGGTTGCTTAATACAACTTAATACATATTAATGAAAGTGGTACTTACTTGTAATGCTTACTTTTTACTGTTAATATAAAATAATTTATAATTTCTATACATTTTTTTATCTTTATATTATTCAAAAGTGTATTTATTGAAGTAAATATTACAATGCAAGTCAAAGCTCTGAATAACAAACCATCCCATGTATGATCTCGGCGTTTAAAGCCAAACATGACCTACTATTAAATGGATCCGACCCGTTATCAACAAGACCCCTTTCTTTGATCAATATTTATACAAAGTGGTTATTTTATAAAGCGTGTACCTGTAATTTAGATCAAAACTGATATTTTCACCGAAATGTTTTAATAACTTGACATTTTCAATCTGACCCGGTTTGGGATTTATTTACCTATCTCCCGATACTTATTCAAACAAATAATCACTTACAGTTCACTCTTAATCTTAAGCTACTTTAAAAAAAAATTTTTTTCCTAATATCATAGTGACATAAACAAAATTTTCAAATGTTAGATAAAATGCTTTCAAAATGTAGATAACCTACAAAATGAGTGGTATTTAAAAACTCAAAATCTACTCTTCCAGTCTGACTTGCACTTCATTATACACCTTTAAAAAGAAAACAAGAAGTCAAGTTCATCTAGAATTTCAATCTGTTTTAGCATTCAATTTTGGTCAACCTTTGTTCTATATAGGATTTTATGAATGCTATAAAATTCTTTACCCCATTTGTTGAAACACAGTACTTAATACCACACATGATGTGAGGAGATATTAATTTCCGAACAGACATTTGTACATAAAATTATGTTGGAATTCATGTGCGTCTGTTTTGTTCTGCTTATCATATTAGCTAACTTTGTAACTGCCTTTGTAAAGATAATGTTCTGAACCAATTCTGTAATTTTGATACGCGTAAATAATTCCATCATGCGCTTGATATTCGAACATTTTTTCCCCACTAAAGAAATGTGTTTTCTATATGTATGGCTTCTTTGAAGTGAAGTTTTCAGGAAGAAAATCTTTGTCTAAACCTGCAAAAACCCTCACTACTGATTAAACATAAAAAGAATTTTCATCAAATCATACAACAGAAATAATAATTACGTTTGTACAAAATAAAATCAGGTTTAATACTCGGAGACATTTGTTTAAAAATTGATTTAAAAGTTAATAGTTTAAAGATATTCTTTATATGCACGAGCAGTCTCTGAGAGAAAAAAAAACAACTTTGATTCTGTTTCACACCCATAAATGAGCAATTACTGGCTTAATACAGAATAAAAGGGATAAATAACACCCCATGAATTTGGCATATGATTTTTCAATTTAATATTTCCATTCTGTGTGATTAATGCCATGAAGTATCATCAGAGTAAACCTGGCCAGGATTGATTTTTTCACTGTAATGCAAATTGTGCATGATAAAAGATGAAAGGCTTGCAAATCTCTTCAATTAATGAGCACTTCTTTGATGGCAACATCAGATTTTCATGTTTCAAAGAGCAATCCCACCTCAAAGGCAGCCCATGTTTTTTCAGGAGACTTTATTGCCAAGAGAAGTTCTCTAGCAGCATATGAACACAGCAGGGAAACAGTGAGATGATCCTACTTGCAACACTCATGCTTTTTGATCTCTCTCTCTGTAAATACCATCTACCAGGACAAAGACTTATAACAAACATTTTTTGCCCTTAATTTTACTACCTCTTTTCTAGCTAAACAGACAAATTTCTTTTCCCATTTTGTTGAGTAGAACTTTGTTTCCTTTTCTCATCATTTATTTAAAGCACTAACTGTATATATTAACTTACTTTAGCAGGTTTAAAGGTTTGTGATGGCTAAAGAAATGATGAACCTACTTTATCATTTAGTGAATTTGATATTATTTGGGTAGGAACCTGATCTGGTAATGAATTTAAATTGGCTCTAATTGGTGTTTTTACAAGCGACAGGGAACTCTTTTTTATCAGGGAAACACAAACATATCCTAAAGCTAATACAGTTAATATTGCAGTGGGTAAAAATGCTGGGTTACACTGATACTGCTGTAGCATGTGAAACACAAAGAAAACCACAATTTGCTAAAGTAAAGATTTCGTCTCCACTTAAAATTCAGCTTTTATGGGCAAACTTTCAAGCTTCCTTCCTCAGGCATAAACATAAAGCCCTTTGAAATCGGATCTCTGTAATTATATGTCATTCATGTTCAATTAACTACAGGTTATAGTGTACAAGATCTCAATACTTAAACTTCTATATTTCAGTTGAATGACTCAAATTTCAAAAGTACTGCATTTAACAATGTTTTAGGGTTGAATAACGCATATTTTTACTGCAGTTCTACCTTTGTTTACTAAATGAAAATTACAGAGAGCCAGTGACACAACTTTGTCCGGACCACTGTAATTCATCATGTGAGAAGCATAAAAATTCTTAAACACAGGTACATATGTTAATTACTGGAGACCTAAGCTAATCAATTCAGAATTTTGTTGGTGTTGTTTTTTTTCAAGTCTCCACGACATAGTTTAATGGTAATTACATTATGTTAAACAGTTTTGCTCTATATTGTTAACAATATACACACACACTTATTGTTTTACTTTTCTGATCCTATAACGCTCCAGCTAAAGATCTCTGTCTGAAATTAATGGCAATAACAGGCATAGGGAAAAAAAGCAACAAACTCTAATACTGAAGACTTTTTAAAACCAGATTTCAAACATATGGTTTTGATGCGGTGAATATGATTCATTTTATGTTATCAATAACAGTTCACCAAACTTCTATACAGCCTAAAACTTGCTTTTTTGAAGTGCGAGTGTTTAAAGTGTATTTCTTAACGACCTTTCTGAGGCAACCTAATTTATTCAGTTGAGCATTTTATAATTCATTTTATTGAATAATGTTTGCTTAAGTAAAAGGTTACATCGAAAATTTATTCAGCACAACATGAAAGGCCACATCAAAAAGATTCTTTTCTGTGAAAGCTTATTTGTAAAGTAATAAAGTTAAAATTGCACTTCAACAGATAAAACAAAAGTTTAAACAGGTACTTGGTTTACTTTGCTTTAGCGGAAGGCTATTTAAAACATATGCATCAACTTTTAAATCCTTTGACGCACTTAAAGAATTAAATTCCTTAATGCTGTTGATAACAGTTCTCTTTTTATGTCTCTATGTTGGGGAGAAGTATTTCTTCAGTTTATAAACAGACTCTTACACAAAATATTAACTTGACTTAACCAACTCATTGTGAAATAGCAAGATTTTTATTTCCTTCTTTAAAATCAAAACCTAAAGGGGACATCTGTCAGAATTTCTATTTTACCAGGATTAATATCATCAATATAAGAGTATTATTAGGTGTTCTATGTCATCAGAGGCCTGTGAAAAAAGTTGCTAACACAACTCTACAAGACACAATTACAATAGAGAGAATATTCTTCGCAGAATTAAAATGAAAGATCAATATCAAATTTAACTATTCCGTGTGAGTGTCAGAAAGCCAATCATTGGAATGTTTCTGAGCATTCTAACTGCGTTTACAAGTTTCAATTATGCCCAATGTGCAGCAGTGAAAAAAACTCTCATTGATTTTTCATTTCAGATTTTACAGCACATCAAATAAATCAAAGGTACAATCTGTACATGCAATAAGAAGCAAAATCATGTTTACAGATGTTTGATTGATCACTAAATGTATGCTAGTGGGTGATATCCAAGGTTTAGCTTCCTTTCAAAAACCATACACTTAGAAATAAATTGTATTGAAAAAACATTTGTAACAAGTGGGTACTTACTTTGTTCTTGATGGATCAGACATGGAAACATCTGCCTGTGTCTGGCCGATAGATTCAACCATACTAATTCCACTATCAGAATGAGTCCGACTACCAGTCTTTTGTCTCGTTCCACTAGAACTATGAGGTCGCGGAGTGCCGTCACCCCAACACATCATACTGTGTTGTTGTGCTTGCTGTTCTAACTTATGTTTCGATTTACGTCCTCTTTCATGATGATGATGGTGATGATGATGAATATGTTTATGAGTTTCAACTGAACACTTATTAAGGTCCTCTACCATACCACTATCAAATGATGATGTGGAATAAAAGTCACGTTTCTTATGTAATTGTTTTGAATGTAATGTTGTTGGCATGCTTGAAGTGCCAGAATGTGGATGACTTTGAGATAAACTTTTTCGAAATCTGTCGGGTGACTTAGACCTGGGCGAGTGTCGTCCAGGCGACCGACTTGGCGTCTGCTGCGCTGAACGTTCCCATATCCGTGAACAATGTTCTTCAAGGATAGAGTCTGCATTTTCTTCATCAATAACAGATGACGTGAGTAAAGGCCCAAGAGAGGTAGAGGTAGTATTGTTCTTTGATGATGCAGTCGACATACATGACTTATCAAGTGTGTCATTGATATCACTCTGTAACAACAAATTTAATAAATATCTTAATATCTTTGAATGTTCAGAAAAACTCATAATTATTCCTTTCATTAAAATCCAGTCAACATATAGAAGATCATAAGTGTACAATAAAAGAATTCTTTCATCTCATTTCCATAACATTTGTCTTTTTAAACAAATTGATTCATGAGTGGTCATTTTTTATGTAACCCGTTAGTAAATTTGTAATCTTTTTGTCATGTTTTCTTGCCATCAAGCCCCAGAATGAGACTGATGAAATGGAATTAGTTCTTGCTAGACAATCATCAAAGTAAAGGGAATTTGTAAAATGATAAGCTCCAACACTGACATATTGATTTTCTCCCCTTTTTCTTTGACAGATTTTTATCTGGCAAGATTAAACAGACATCTCCAATGAAACCTTGATTCAAAAACTGTTTCCAGAAAATGACAGAAGATCAGCCCTCTCAAGTTGCCGTTCAGCTGGCCAGGCTAACTTTGAAGCCCACTATATTACCAAGATCACTGCCTAGACAGCCTTGCTAATTCCCTTTGACTAGAAACTTTAGGTCATTTAACAAAGCCTACTCATAAGGCTTTCAAGGCCTTTGACTACAGAAATACAAATGGAATTCACAATGCCCAGGAGAACTTGCAAATAATCTTTACAAAGGATTACAACAAAGACTACATAGTCCCTTTGGGAATGTCTCCCAATTGTTTTAACATTTTGATGTTGAATGCAGAAATGCTTTTGATGCTCGTTTGATACTTAACTCTTTACTAAAGTATAAAAATTAAATGCATAGTTAATACCCTAGAATAAAAGAGACAAAATCTTTTATTAATGTTGGTATTAAAATTGATGGGATCTTGTACAAAAACAACATCAGTCAATTGATAGATTTAGATGGTCATTGCTAAAATATCCATTGTACAAAGAATAGCCTTGCTTTATTACTGATCAATTTTCATTCCTACATCAAAGAATAGAGACCGGATCAAAAAGTTTCCAATTTTTATTAATGATGTTCTATTAGCTATAAGCTAAATGGCAAACGATCAAAGTGATCAAAGTCATTTCACCTACACAAGGGAGCGCTTTATCTTTGAAGAGTTAATGACTATTTTCCCCCTTTATATCAAAATTCAAATAAATGTTTGAAATGAATAGGGGAGGATAATTAAATGAACTGGTTGGTATGTTAACAATCGGATATCAAAGTAAAAACACTGGTCATTTTTATCTGTAACACATCATTTCAAACTCTTATCAAAAAATGTTTCTCCTTCACAGGGATTTCAAGTAGAAACGTTTGATAAAAGTATCACAGTGTTATCTTATGTTATCTAAGGATGCAAAATACCTGAATTTTCATCGTTCAGGAGAGATGAATGAATTATTTCTGATATACCTGCACATACATGATCAATCTACTTATATTTATATTCAATTCTAAAGCTCAAGGCAAAGAATCTTCTTCAAGTATTGTGATCTTACCTTTTTTTCTTTTAAATATTGAAACCAGATCTGACTTTAAAGTTACAATAAAATAATAACAAAGCATTAATTCCTATGTAAATAGTTCATTTAGCCCCACGATTTAGACATTCAGTTATGGTATGTTATGAATGATAATTAATTAGCAATCAAAAATTTTTTATATTACATTCATTCAACATTATGATGTTTCATGAATGCATTGTGGGCAAAGTGCAGAATTGTAAATGAATCAATGTACAATTGATAATTCAACATCCTTTATCAACTAGTTATTACCTGTATACACGAATAAAGGTGCTTCTACTACATTGCATTATTGCATCATTAATACCCTTTCTTTAAAAGAAGCGAGAATGAGAATTTTCACAAATATAGTAATATTTAAAGTTTTTTTTTGTCATGTTATCTATACTGATTGGTCTCAAAACACGATATTTTCTCAAAATAACAAGAGTATCGATAAATCTTTACTTTATTCATAGCCTGGCTGAGCGACAGTTTTACCCGTTCATCTTTCTCTCTCTCTCTCTGCACCTGAAGAAGTTTCTCAATCAGCATTTCGGCAAACTTTTGACAGTCTACCTCTGCTATATTACGATCTTTTGGTGCTCTTTCTGTTCTCTGAAGAAAACAACACTTTATATAAAATGTTTGTATCAATATGCAATTCATATAGAAATCAAAATAATGCCATTTCTTGCAATGAAAGGATTATTATCAATATTAAGTCTAGTGTAAAATGTACTACAATAACTTACTGGAATAAAAGGACCGTATTCCCTGTTAGTGCCAGCACGTCTTTTCATAGCCTTCAAATAACTCTTGTTTTTTCTTGACTCTCGTAATGAGTGGCCATCTCTACAAAAATAAAAATTGGCATGTTTTTTCGGGAATGTTTCCTTTATACATTTATTAACCCAGGTCTACTGGTATCCCAAAATTCAAAGCTGAAAAAAGAATGAAGAACCAATATTTCAATCTGTCCAATTAAAGAGGACTCAAAGGCAAAAACAATGTTTTGGACGATTGTGTGACCATTGTCAAGATCTAGCATGTTTTTCTACATCTACTGTCTTGTAAAATGGTGTGTTTATATACTAAGGCACATATCTTATGAAGCCTATAATACTGTTATTAAGTACAAGCAGTTTGTATATTAATTCTCTTTCCCAAGATGCATTCTGTATATCTTTAAGAGGAACACTGTAATGATGCAACTGTTTTCAATTTAACAAAATTACCCTGTTTCCCTGAGAAACAAATGAAAGAATCTTGAAAAGTATTGTATTAGATCTAATAGTTCTTAATATTAACACAATTTAATGCTAGCGTAACTTCAGTTATAGCACAAAACACAGGTGCTCCCATGCTCTACCTAGAGTATTCCAGCCTGCTGAACACATCAGATGCAGATTTCGTAACATTAACTTAACATTAATTGAATTTGCAAATCAAGTTTTTAGATAAGTATGTAAAGTTAGACATCATTAGTTCCCTAATCCATGGATGATTGTTAAAAGCATCTTAAATATGAATTTTTTGGGAGAACCTATTCACTACTGGAGTCAACATGCTGCAAATAATAATCAATGCGTATTTCTCATCATGTAAAATGCAATTTCCTGCTATAAAAATCAAATATTCATTGGCATTAAATTTTTATTGTTTTGTGAAACTTTAATGGGAGTTTTCCTGGGATTCATACCATTACTTCTCATTTAGCTATGGGCGGCTATCAATATTTCCCAGATAGAACAACTATGAAAATATCTTTAAATCCTTGTTTTCAATCTGGAACTTGCTGATATTTCTATAATCTATGGAAAATTTTAATTGCTAAAATATGTAATCTTTATAATCAACAATCATTAAGAATTTCATTATGTACATTAAAGGAAACTACAAATCTACAGAGTTAAAATTAAGAACATAAGGCTTTAACAATCTATTGTATTAGACATCAGATGATTAAAATTAATAAATCAATTATCAAAGAATCCACTATAAATTGGCTCTATCTCAAGTAAATTCTATATCATCTGAACTTTAGCAGAGTTCAATGTATATCATATATTCTGATAGACTTGAATTGGAAGTAATTCTAGTCAAGAAAATTTAGTATCATCTAGCCTAGAATTGGCAGGAGTCAACAATTCCCCTCTTTTATTCCACCTCCCCCTCCCCTCCCTAAATCTATTCCAGACAGAAATAACATGTCAATGGGCCTGCTAAACATTATTTTTAGCCTTTATATTCCCCCCCCCTCCGATATGTTTTCAAATAGTTATTTACTGCCCACATTTTAATAAAATGTTAATACTGGAATGCAATACATTACACTTTTAAATGGACATAAATGTTTCAAAGCCACTTTAATATTCTTGCTACAACTTCAACCCTGTTTCATTTGTCAATTTATAGTTTTATTTTCAAATGTTTCAATTTTACCCCCAAAAAAAATCAAGAGTAGAAAAAATCTCTTCACTTTATATTGCATAGCAAATTAATATTCCTTACGCTATGATCATTCAAATGAGAAAAAGGAGTCATAAAGAAAGCTATATATCATCAGAAGAAAAGTTTACTATCAAATGTTAATTTAAATTTTCTCTCAAGCAGAAACAACTTTAATTTACAATTTAAACAAATTGCGCTTCACTGTAATGTAAGAAACAGCTATGTGAACACAGTAAATGGGGGTATCAGAGAAATGTCTAGTGAAGAGCTAGATTACGTAGTAACCAAAGTATGTACACATATTAACTAAATCTCATTGTCTGCCCAACACAGGGGCAGCTTTAATTGAAAAATTTCATATCTTCGTTGGGGCAATTTTCAAGTTTAAAATTTTGTACTTGAATAAATTGGGGCAGTTATGTGACAGTAAACATGCAACTTGTACAAAATTACTTCAAACATAAAAGCAATCTACAAAGGGCAAATTCAAACAATGTTATTTCAGATGTAAAAAAAAAAAACAACAAAAAAATTCTACAACAGGATTACTTCTTGTGTGTAGGTATCAAGCAAGGCAAATGTTTTCTGACTAATTCATTGAATTTTATCAAGTTGTCAAAGGCTTAAATACAAGCAATTCAATCTTTTTACATGTCAAATTGAACAAAGAGAATCTAAATCAATACAATTCTTACATCTCAACAGTAATATTGTACATATATTTTAACAAAAACTGAACACTTTTATCTCTACACGAGGGGAAAAAATAAACATATTAAACAGTAGGCTATATAAAAATATCACATGAAGAGAATTCTTGACTTAACTTGAAATAGCATAAAAAGCTGATTAACAGTTTTGATCAAGATACACCTTAAGACATAATCATGTTTTGTCCTAGACAGGAATTTCTGTCTAAAAACCTATCTTTTAATTCTGTAATTACTGTTCTTATCGTTAAAACATTAAGAAGCTCTCCTTCACTGGTTTGCCTTGAGGGTCGCCTTACAAGTCAGGTATGTACAAAAGATCTAACAGTTTCCACCATAGAGATCAAAGGCAAGTTAATGGCACGCCTCCAGGCAATTTTGTCATGCCTGTGTGCACTTTAGTAAATGTTCAGTAGTTATTGGGACACTTTACTGTCATCACTGGATGGTTTTCCTTATACTTTGTATACACAGACTGAATCATGTGTTACCACTTTAATATTTACTCAATTACAACAAACCCTCCAATATTATGTTAATAAAGGACACAAGCCAATATAATATCTAGCTGAATCAAAGGAGGGAACAATATGAAAGTCATCTATCTGAATTTAGATTTAGTTTGACTTAATGCTCAAAAAGAAAATTTTTGTTATATGTCCTACAGATTTGTTGATGGGAATGTGTAATATAAATTTCAATGATTGAAACCTGAACTAAATTTGATTCTTACATACCACTTGTCAAGGGTAAAAGCTTAGCTTAATTAACGTGTACTTGACTAACCTTTATTGAAAGTTAAACTTGGCCAAATCTTTCAAAAGCGATAACGTTTTCTTTAACCTTTTGAATACACAATTCAATCTTTATACATGTATGCGGCCATATTTGTAAAGCTGGGCTAATCATATATTCAGAAATTGTAATTTGGTCATTCATAAAATTTTCCTCTAGGTTTTGCGATTGAAAGGTATTTTATTCAACCTTAATGATCCAAGGTTTTGGTATGCTGTTAAGATAACACTGATTTTGAGATTTCAACTTTTTAACCCATATTGGTTCGCTGAATCACTATAAATTAAAATGTTAATCTAGATCTATTTTGAATACAAGAGGGGAAAAAAAAAGGGGGGGGGGGGTAACACTTTAAAATGAGAAGTTATTCTGACAATTAAATGTTCAACAACTTTTTGAAATGTTGTGTAGAAATTAAAGTCAAACAAACAAGTGGGTCAATAAATATGCAAGATTTACATTTTGAGAACAGGTTAAGGTGCATTGAAAAACAATGTAGAAACACTTACACACTACTGTCTGTCAAAGAACGAGTGTCATCTGTAAGGGCATCTTGACTTGAGGATATTGACTGGATCTCACTGTCTTGCGCAGACACTGGAGCATACGAAACATGATACGGTACTGCTCGAACATTATATGGTGCGCTGAAGTACAAACAAAAACAAATTAATTAAACAGGGATCATTCCACAAAAGTTTACCCAAACAAAAAACAAGCTCATTTAAAATAACCAAGAGTATTGTTTTATTACCTGAAATCTAAACAAAACTAGTAAGAAACTGACAAGAATGTAGATATAGTCAATAGCCACAAATAATGATAATTATCATAAAACTTCTTAATTACAAATCTGGCAACAAACATCAAAGAACCTTTTTACAGTCAATATTTCCTATCTACTTTACACCTTTCATTATCAGCACAATTATTTATCAAAAGAAACAATCTGCCTCACCTACCCACTGACCAACAAGATAGGGACAGCTGATCATCAAAATTAAGAGTATGACAGATGAACTGACCAATCAGCTCAGCCTGAGGCCAACATCTGGCCCCTATATTTTCCCTTTGATCTTTGAAAGTTCAATAAAAATTTAAAATACAACAAACTGGTGTCATTAATGACAACTTCAAAACCATTATATGGATTACCTAGATAAGCCTTGGGCAATTAAAGTTAAGAAAATATAATATTTGAGATAAATGCACCATGTGTTTTCAACATTCAATGGGAGTTGTTTCATTCATATATGAAAATTTACGCTAAAGAGTTTCAAAGCTGGCCTCGGTTGTTTCTAGTCTACTAAAGACAAGGCTCTGAAATATATACACGAACACTGCAGCTGTTATGAAAACAGACATTAGAATCCTAAGTGTTTCTTGTAGAGAGAATCCCGTTTGAAGTAGGCACAGAGAAAATTGATGAAAGCGATAAGAAAACTCTTGAAAACCTCCATATGTACATACCAATCTAAAAACCATGAACATCAAAACGCTCTTCACAGAGGATTCATTCTCAGAAAAATGTTTTAATATAATGATGATATGTAAAGCAAACTCTACAACTGGGGTGAAGTATAAAAAGGAGCCATAGGAAGATTTTTATGACCGCAGATAGAGAAGAAAATCAATGTGTATAAATAAGCAGAAGCGCACTTGTAGCTGTAGCAATCTAGCGTTCAAATATTGATGAGGAAAGTGCATATTTTATGACCAGAAAGAAATGGAATTAATACCAATTTGCTACTGAAATTTGTGCCATTTTCTAGATTGATGACCAACAAAAACGGAAGTTACACAACCTTATTTTGTAGTATTTTCTTTCATCTTATTTCGAGATATAACCAGCAGGCATTGTTCTCAAGATTTATGTCAGGATCATAAAAAATATAATTACTTATAAAAACAGGAACACATTGGATTGGACTATCAGACAATGAATGATTGACTAGCCTAATAAAAGTTTACAATCTCATTTCATTCATATTCCATCCAGATAATATCCAAGTACCTCACGCCCACATGTCAAACAAATGGCTTACAAATAGTACTTATTTCCAACAAATAAAAAAACCCTCACAGAGTTTAAGGTTATCTATTCCACATACAGATCTTGAAGGAAACAGCCTATCCAGTATCGGCTATTAAAGTTTACCAAAAGAAGAAAACATGCTCTATATCAAACAAAAAATTGTAAAAGTTTATCATTGGTATCAGCCAGCTCTTGCAACTGGATTAGATACACCAATCAAACTAGATATCAAAAGTCATGTTTGCTGATACACAACACTTTGAGGAAGAACACAGTGCACATCTGTATTCTCATAAAAGCACATTTCAATATTTACATTCAAATAAAACCAATATTACAGAACATAATGAATTCCTAAATCATGACCTTGAGGCTTGACCTTGATAATAACAAATCTAAATTAATCAGAAAATACATACTAAATTCAGGTTGTAATTTAATAAAGCTGTTCTAGGCTTCTTATATTTTCAAATAGATTTCAATCCGACATTATATATGAAAGTTGTTTTGGGACCATTATTTTAGAAAATAAGAGTGCTACTATTACTTTAGAAATGATGTACTTTAGAAAATAGTGCTATGTACAGAGGACTGCAGTAGGGTCCATTATCCTCACACAATTCTAAACTTTACAATCAATTAGGAATATTTCATTACAAAGTAATTCACACCCTTTAAAACTTAAGCAAAAATAAGCAGTATCAGAATGTTATTTTTTTCATCATCAATTAATGCATAAATGAATAGTAACCAAGGCTCACCCACCTAGTGACCTACTACAGTAAGAAGTCAAATGTTAAATCCCAGGTTTTCAATGCTAAAATGCCCCTTGCAATGTGACTGAGTATGATGTAACCCCACTTCTTCGGTACCCAACGGCTAAACACTTCCACTATATTGTCATTGCTTGGAGTTGGACGATCTGTGACTGACTAGTAGTTCTAAACTCAGTCCCCCCACCCCCATATTCCTAATGAACAAGGCTGAATATTACTATTAAAACCAGGAATGCAACAAAAAGTATGTCACATGGCAAAACAAATACTAGATGACCTAATATTTACATATCAAATACATAATGAAATAATGGTATTGGTATGACGAAACTCTTCATTTCTATTTAAAACTAATGTTTGTATGGTATGAGCAAAAGATAGCTCATTAGAAGTATAATACCCATTTTACATAATATAGGCAGGTATGAAAACCGATACTTATTTTCTTGTCGGACTTGAGCAATGAAACTGATGTCAAACATTATACAGTCATATTAATTCCTCTTGAGGGCTAGACCCATTAAGTATTATTCATACTACATTAGATTCAATTTGAAAGAAGGAAAAAAATATGATAAAAATACATTCGTTTTCATCTCTTTAGATACCCTTGATAGCTTAATACTATCACCTTAATCTTTTGTTTTGTAATTTCCTTAAAGTAACTTAAACTGCTTGATCTGATAGCCTCCTAGTCATGACAGAGGGACATGCATCACAAACCTTTGATGATATTATACTTCAAAGGCTGTTTTTGTTTGAACAAAGTGAAGCGATGACTTTGATCTATTATGTTAACATTGTTATGATGTAACAGTAGATTGTAAAATATGGGAAGAAGAAAAACCATTTAAACCCACAAGGGAAGGCTCGAATGTCTTTAAACATGAATAAAAGAAGAGGCACCTAAATTCTTTTTGACAGACAATTAAACAACAGAATATTTAAGCATTAAAATAGAAAGAGATCTTGAATAGCTTGAACAAAGAACAGTTAAATTAGTAAACACTTGTCAATATCTGTGTGTCATAGGCAGTAAAAACCCTTAATCAACTTTAATATACACAGCAGATTAATTCTTAGATGTTCCAGAAAGCAAAGCCATAGGAAAAGCCAATTAAGATGATTCCAATTAAGATACAGATGTAATTGTTTTATCACAAAGTTTATGCAACCACTTAAATGAACATGGTTTCAAGCCTTTAACTCAAAAACCAAATAACAAACATTAAAAGAATTGGTTTCTGTCCAATTAACCAACACGTAATCTTATATGGTCCATTATAAACAATATATGAAACCACTATTTAATATTGTACAAATTAAAGTTACATCAACTAAAGGCAACACTATATAAAAGAAAAACCATAAATCCATCGATCACACATCATTCATAGCTTCAATCTAAATCCACTTCTGAATGGAATTTTAACAGTTAAATCCATTTGTAGACCATGTGCTTACCTAAACACTTCCTGCCTTTTAGTATCACAATTAAATGAGCGGTTTGAAGTCTTTGTAGGTGGTGGTCCTAAGTCTACATACGGAACTGCAAAGTCATCTTGTTGTAGCTCCTGGTCCTCTTTTAAAGTGGGTAAAGGACCTGAGGACATAGGTCTAGCACTATTTGACCCACTACTACTGTTTGAGCTTTTTGGACTTTCACCTTCTTTCGACACATACTGAATGTAGAGATCTGACTTTAAAAACAATGGATATGTGTCATTTTTCATATATTCTTCCACTTGTGTTTGAGCCTCATTAAATATACAAACATCCATACTAGTTTGAATACTTTCAGAAATTTTGCGCTTTGTATTTAAATCCACATATGGTAACTTATCACTTTTAATAAATTTCTTATGAATAATTTTAATCACTTGAATGTATTCCTCACTTCCTTCTTGTTTCAGTTTTAATCCTTGACAAGCAAACCAGAAATCCACTGAACATGTTCCTATACCCTCCTGTTGTAAAAACAATTTGAATAACTGAACACCTTCGCGGTCATCTAATAATGTGTGTAAACTTTCAGCCCATTTTAGGTATGGTGGTGTACTGTTCTCTGTGAATGGTGGTGAATTTGCTGCAGAGCCTTCAGGTTCAAAACCTAAAGGTGCATTCATCTCGTCCTCAAATCCACATGACACATTAGAGATGTTACTTGTAGCAGCTTTGTCGATATTAGACTTTCTGGGTGTGGCAGGATTAATGTCCCCCTTATTGGAACCAATGCTTCTGCCGGAAGTGTGTGACACTTGGCTCTTATGTGAGCCACTACTTCTCGTTGACATACCCCCATTGCTCTCTTTCTCATTTTCTTCACCTGGAACTGGTGGCCTGGGGGCCGTCTCAGTAAAGTTGTTGCCTCCACTTTCTGACAGAAACTGGTCTACTTTGCTAGACATTTCTAGTTACACAGGTCAGCATACCTACAATATATTCACTACCATATTAATATATGACAGAATAACATTCAAACTAATGTATCCAGTAAAATGTATATAAAAATAGCACTATGAAGATCTTATCTGCCGAAGACACCAACATGCTTTTAAATTTTATAGGCTAGTTAAATTTGATGTGACTACTTTTATCATCTTTTTTGATTTATTAACATACACAATGACTCATATTTTAATAGTGTGCATCGAAATACATTTTAAAATAGACTGAGCAACCGAATTTGAAAGGCAAATGTTCTCCTATAACATCACAGGCAACTATCAAAGGGCCATACAGGATAAACCAAAACTTTCTGAATGCATTCTTTCTTTGAACTTCAAAGCAATAGGACTTTTATTGCATTTTTATGACATCAAGTGGTCTTTTTAAGCATGAAACTATGAGCATGCAAGAGGGTTTTTATAGCCGAGGTTCTTTCATTGTATTAAGTTTTATACAGTTTATGACCTTGTCTTTGATAATCAATGCACCAACCACCTTTGTACTAATGGTATAGATCTACTAAATTTATGAAAAGCAGCAGAAAAACAAATTATAATCATTTTAATAACAAGATTATCAAACTGTAAAATAAACAGAGTATATTTTCTAAATGTTGACTATTTATAAAACACAGTATCCTCAGATAACGTACATTCTTCTAGCAATAAATCAAAAATGAGCTTTTTTGATACAAATTGTTAGTGTATCTAGATTAGGGCCGCCATTACCCTATGTATATTGTTGGGGCACGTCAAAGGTGAATTAATAACATTATAGCCATTGTTGTACCATTTAAACTACGAAAACCTTCGGGTGAAATTCTTCAAATTGTTCAAAAATCAAGATAAATGCAACATATATCGATCGATAAAGAAATACATGCAAAAATATTACTAACGCTTATGAAAATTCAGTAAATTCGCCAATAAATCGACCAATTTAAGCAAATTTGGTAGATTTTACAACTTCAAAGTAAACAAAGCACAATATTTGGAATTAGAAAGATAATGTGAATATAAAGAAATATATGTTACTTATTTTAAACTGGTACAAGTGTCACAACAATATTGATAATCGAGTGTTATTGAGAAATTTACCTGTGGCTTGAATAGTCCAGCGTCCCTTTGGGTCCCCAAAAATCCGTATATCGGCCAGATGCACAAAAGTCGTTACAGTACGTAATCCAAAGGCGAATAACACAAATTCACTTGAAAACTTATCCGTTAAACACTTTAACATGTAACTGCCATCATCAAAATACAAAATCCAATTTCAGTAAAGTTTGAAAATAAAACATCAAAGCCACATGCCCGCCGCCGACAATCCTCTACAGCATGACGTCACGCCTTTGAACTAAACCGCACCAATCAGCGTTAGGGAAATACCAACATTGAGAAAACTGTGTTGGGAGAGTTCACTACCTTGGGGCAGGTTAGAATAGGATGAAAACAACGTTAACTGGAATATGATAAATACTTGTCAAAATATATAATAAATTTTTCTTTTCTTTTATTAATTTGTACATGAGGTGTAGAGTCTGCATAATAATTTAAACAATAAGAACACGAATAAATGTATGCGTTTTTAAAATAAAAGTAACCGATCGCATGCACCCCTCAAGATTTTAATGTGTGTAAATAACTTCTAAAGCTTTGTGAAGTAAGGAGAGTTACAATCTTTTAATGTTATAAGAGTTTTTAAACAAAAAATCTGACTCTTTTACTCATTATTTTTATAGTGTGTCAAAGAATTGTAAGTAAATTAGTTAATTCTGAATCGTTTCGATTAATTCATTTTTGTCTTGATCCTGTAATAATTAAGTTATTTGTATAAATAGTTCACTTTGTAGATAATACTATTACCCGTATAAATTACATAGTTTGCCGATGTCGCTCTTTGAAGTTTTTCTAATACGTTAGCTGTTAAGCGTGTAAATCAAACGATTTTTTTTTTAAATAAATGCGGCTCGTGAAAAAAAAAATGAAACATTGAAATATGTTAAATTAGAAAGTACCTGTGCGCATAAAATATTTCAATGTTTCTACATATGTTAATTATTTATAACAGAGAATATAAGCGTTTATTAATTAGATTATCATACACTGGCACCCGTCCAATGCGACGACTTTGATCAAAATGTTAAGTTCAACATTAGACTTGTGACAAAGAGATGGCGGTATTATAAGAAATCTAATTGAACTTTTGTAGATTACTTCACGCTATGTTAATCAAAGGGCCGCCTTTAGCACTATTAACACGTTCTTTCAAAATCAATATATTAGACCTTCTACATAAGACACTATATCAGGATCAAACGTTTGATGTGATGTAATAAAATCAATCGATCGTCACGGTGCCTGACCGATGATCTCAACACGATAATCCTGATTATTGTACGACTCAAATTGCTTAACAAAACTAATGCGTTTCCTGCACGAAAAAATAAATGCAAATCGGATAATCATACGATATGGGATTAAATTAACAAAAATAATAACCTGTTTGAATCTTTTTTACATTGAATACGTTTTCAAGTTTTTTTTTTGTTTTTTTTTTTTTTCTTTTATGAATATGAAATTTTCGTATTTTCAAGTTTGTCTTTGTGTGGGTTTTTTGTCTGTTTTTTTTTTCCTACTTTATAAGACAAAGGTGTATATAAATTGAAACTTTAACATTAAGACGATATTTAAGATATGGAAAGCAATTATCTATATCAGTTATAATATAGATTCTTCTATTTCCTCCATATTGTGGAGGACTTTGCGCGTGATTTACGTGCTGTTATATTTTGCTTCACAAGTTTATACTATTTCTTGTTCTATATGAGCAGGATTCCTATTATTGTTTTTACATTTAAACATTTGTTATACGGGGACAAGTGGTACAGTCCGAAATAGTATGGACTTCTTGAAAGAAAAGTCTGTTTTGGAGATTGAGGACTTATGTTAAGCACCATTATCTGTATATAAAAATATATTACTATTAGATATCCATTCACTGTATTTGTTAACAATGACCCACAAAGACATAAATGTGACTAATGCTTGATTAAATATAGCTTGAAAACAAATTGTTTTATTCCGAATAAGCACCAAAGAAATATTCGGTATCGTACAGTACATGTTTTACTTATGAAAGTAAAGTAAAAATATGGGATATAAACCTCTTAGACAGCTGACTACGCGTATTAGTGAGTTTCAATTATAGTAACACTTGAGAAAATTTCGTGATCAGTTATGCTGTTTTCTCTGTAGTGAACTAACAATATAAACGGTTATCACAGAAAGACATCTTTCTGAACATAGTCTCGCCGTTAACAGTCAGTCTGTTGGTGTTCAATATAGGTCTTCCTGCCTTTGTGGACACAATATTAGCATAACTGTGAGAATACGAAACCTACCATGCCGTCATAAGTAGCACATAAAACGAATGTTGTTCATGTACGAACTCATCCATATATCATCAGTATATCTTGGACAGAGGAATTCGCTTCAAGAATATGCAAACTGCTTTTAACAATGAGTAAAGAACCAAATGGGTGGGAGTGGGGTGGGGTTCGTTGGTGGCTTGGTTCAATGCGCTCACCCATGTATCTTTTACACTGTCACCACTATGCATGCCTTATCAAATCAAGAGCTACCGCCAAAGTGATTCACTCTCGACTTTATTTATTTCTGAAGTCAAACACATCGGAGGAACACCATTGTAGTAAAAACGTTGCAAGAAAACGTTATTTTTTCTACACAAGTTAAATTTCATATTTGACCTTGACATATAAGGTCATTTACTAACCAAGGCCATACTTCAATTATAAAAAGGACTGGTATGACAATTTAAGCAGAATTCAATTATTTGACCTTCGTGGTCAAGGTCATATAAAGGTGAAGGACATATAAAGGTAAAGGCCATACTTTATTATACAAAACACAATGGAATCAGACCAAATGCTCACTATCATTTGGGAAATTTTTTGAGTTAATTATTTTATTTTCAATCATCATATAATGCTTATTGTGTTTGGTTCGAAAAGTAAAAGGAATGATAAGTAAACAAATATATTCCAAAACACCAATTTTATTTAAAGCAAATACAACACTTATTGTGACAATATCCATACTAACTACTGATGAAACCTAACTAAATAGAATACAAAATACTATAAGGAACCAATGAAAAAAACAAAACAAAAAACATGGGAAGATAATAACACTGAAACAATGTCCGGTGTAACAAAAAACATCACATATCCAGGTTATAGCATCTAAAATATTAATACATCACATATCTTAAACATAATCATCCCTGGACTAAACAATTAAGAGCACATATTCTCTAGAAGTCCAGTAACTATACTTAGCAATGTCCAGTCACATCTTTTCTACATGTATAAAATAACATGCACCAGAATCAGAGTATTACAAACCTATGACATTCTATTTGTTGTGAATGGTTTATATGGATAATGATTATTTGTGGGCACATCTCAAATATTCCACATGATAAATAGATTTTATTTTTGTTACATAATGCAACACATTTATCATGTCCATGATTATAGTCTTATGTGACTGTAATAAGGAACATGTTAAAATATTATTACATGTATGTTATATCTGAAAATTTAACACAAAAATATTAACATATTCATACACTGCAATGTGATAGCAGTTTAAATATTTCAGCTAACTTCTAGTACTGTCACATCAACATTTTACTACTTAAAAAACTTTTTTTTAATCAATTCAGGCTCTAAATACTACCCTATGATTATACAAACTATAAGCGGGCTCAAAAAACATACATATAACACCAGATTACAATTAAACATAAATGTGAACAAAAATATATGTATCATTTACAAGTAGAAAAACAAATGTAGTAGATTAATTCAATACCAAGTGAACAAATGATTTCCAAATCATATCAAAAAGAAACACTCCACAAAATAACAAAACAATTTCTTTTTCTAATAATACAACAGAAACTAGTTTGAGAATGACGAAATTATAAAATTTACTCAAGTTCAAATAATATGAATAGGGGGAAAATATCTTATTTTACATTTTTATATATCATGGATAAGTTAGGTTCAAATGAACACAAATTTGATTGATATTTTCCAATAAATGTATCAATTAATGTAATGAATATGATGGTTGGGATATAATATCAAATATTATGTAATCAACATAAAATCATTATTAACGGGTAAGACATACAATGGACCACTAATGGATTAATGCAAGACATGTTTTAATGTCCATTCCTTCCTTATCGGCATGCACACAGATAGGTATCTTTTGAACCCTCCATAATTGCCTTCACTTCCTCCTTTACCTTAACATATTGAACATTAATTATTACAATGATATCATCATAAATAAAGTAAGTTAACTGTGTCTCAGTTATGAATTAACAATTCAATATGAAACTTTCACATTACATCTCCAATGTACACTTCAAGTCAGCTTGACCTGATGTATTTTGCAAATAATGAAAAGATAAATATATATATACACAAGATGTGATACAAAATGTACAATAATAAAGTATTTTGCCAACTAGGTAAAAAAATTTATATGCCAATTTTTTATTGTAACCATTACCTTATTGAACTTGTCAAATGGACATGTTTTGCTCTGAGTTCAGATCAAACTTTCAATAGTTATAGGGAGGTGGTAACATTATACAAAGCCTGGACAGACTGATGTACCAGCCTTGATATTCTTTATGCTGGTCGCACAGAGGTCTTCATTACCAAACAAGGCTATCTCTTCTCTCCCGTCCCCCCCCCAAAAAAATGAAAATCAAAATAAGCAGTTTTTAACTTTTCATAAGTAATGACTCTTGAATATATAACAAAATCCTTACTAACATTAATTTGAAAAGTCGTGTATGATGAAAAAAAAATGACAGATGGTTCATGAAACCACAAAGATGAATTTTTACAGTTATGAATATGTTTTCAAGATAACTACAGTTATATTAATGTATGACTTTCTAATGATGCATGTATATAATAAACTGGTCACATCAACTTGTTTCCATAAAAGGCATATTTTATATAATACAAAGTGCATTTGAAATATATAATAAACAAAGAAATCATTTAAAATATAAACAAAACCTTTTTTTCTTTTTTTTTCTTCCTTATTTACTACACTAAAACATAATAATAAAATGAAAATAAGAAATAAACACTATGTACACACAATTCAACTTGTAAACACAGCCTATATGCTGGTTCATTTTGGAACTTACATACTTACATATAAGTGTAACACATGTATTTTTAAATGTCTGAAAAGACTTCTGCACTTTTGTTATGTCCACAGCAAATCAACCCTCAAAATGTTGAATGTAAACAACACAACATTCAGATACAGATTAAAAGCTTTTGATTCCATTCATACTATCTCTGATTTGCACACTTGTTGTAGAATACAATTAGAATAATTCTAGTTCAATTACACATCATGCAAAATTAAGCAATGTCTCTTTATTTTGTCTGTTAGAAAAGCACATTTTTTATGCTTAGATATTCTAAGTAATGTGTACTGTGGAAGTTTTTTAAATGATTAAAATTTTTTTTTAATAAAAGTAGTTAATAGCGGTCCAATAGTTTGACTAAGAGCAAAAACTATTGGAAATAAACTTGCAATAAATGAACGTCTCATTTTTAGACAAAAGCTGCATTAGAACATGAGATAGTACCCATCTTTTAATCAATAAAGTTATAGGTGTACAACTGAACTTGTTTTAAAACTTTCTGCCAAAGAAGCACCTAAATTAGCCATATGAGTCTTGTAACCATTTTATAGAAATGTATAAACATAATGTGGCCTGATGATTGGTTAAACATCGACTGATCAAGATTTTTTTAGCTATTATCATAAATGGAAACTTAGAAAAATAGTCATGGTTTCTTTTCTCCGAAAATTCTAAACAATTAATGAAAATGAAGTTTATGTATGAGGGTTTTCTCCAAATTACAACCACTAGTTTGTTATTGATATCCATAATTTACACATTTAAGTGTGTATCAAAATACATGATCCCGGTTTGCATTCTGGACAAAACTAAAGACCTGTACTGTACTAATTAAGATTGATTAGAAAAAGGACAAATAGACTATAAACCAAACTCTAAACAATAAATCATCAAACAAGTTTGTCCCATTAAGTAAATACACGAAAAAAATGTGTTTCAAAGAAAGGCTTATTCATTGTTACAAGATTAAAAAGACGTTTTTAAATCAACCAAATTATTTGTTCATCAAACAATCTAAATTCTGTCAAGTAGATACAATGATATAGCAGACTTACACAATGAAGACATTGCTTAATTTAAAAAAAATTCAGACAAGATTTTACAAGATGTGTAGTTTAGATATTCTACAATAAAAATGAAAATCAAAGATCAAGCTTCTTGTCATCCCTCTGCACAAAAACACAGTGGATTGTTCTCTATAAATGTTCTCCAAACCATCAGCTACACTCCCATATAAAGGCCCTCTGGCCGGACCTGTGAGTAGTTACATAGCTATGATGGTATTTTTTTTTCCTCGTTCTACAGTGACCTTGTGTACTGCAGCACCACGTTCGTAGAGGTCATGTGACCCCCCTTTTACGGGTACCGAGTGTTATAGATTTAAGCCCATGTTATTACAGCATGCTGACTTCACACCCAAGGTGTCCAACCCTCGTAGAGCACGGCTAGGTTATCGAGGCTTGTTGCATCTTTGATCACATAATCAACCTACAATAAACATGACACTTATTAAACAAAACATGACACTTATTAAACAAAACATGACACTTATTAAGTCAACTGATCTGAACAAAAGAGCCTTAATTCTATGACAAAAATACAAATGTTTCCTTTGAACAAACCCAATGACCAAATTTAGACCTTAAATTACTTACTAGATATCTTCAAATAAAACATTGTGCCTGAAAATCATGATGACTAACTTAAACAGGCCTACAAAAGCTTTAGCAGAATTTTTCTGGTTTTAACCAGGCACATTCAAATCTTTACGCACTATTTCCCTTTCACCAGGACTTGATGAAAATTGTAGTCTCATCTAACAACATGTTCCTTAGATTTGGTCACATTACCATTGTTTGTACTTTGTTTCAAGTTATCATTAAGACAAACATTCTAAAAAGTTTAATGGAGATTCATTCAAAACTGTGACCTATAGAGTGTTAACAACACAAACAACTGACCAGGCTCTAAACTGCCACAAATCATCACTGCTTCAAGCCAATCTCAGGGTAATAGATGTTTAAGTATTTACAAAATAAGTACAGCCTTACATACACCATTGCCATCTTTCTCAATTAAATCATGAATTAATATTTACCTTTTTAACAATAAACCTTGACACTGACTTACATTGACCAGGCATATAAATGGAAATGTTTAGCTCTGCTTCAAGGTAAATTCAAGGTTTCAATACCAAACTGTAACAGTACCTGTTCAGCAACTGAAAGACGCTTGTTCTGATCTGGGTCTCTACCATCTAGCTTCATCTTTACTCGACGCCACACACCTACAGCATAACTGTTTCTTTCCTGTATAGCTGTAATAGTATAGAAATAATGAAATATCTCATTTATATTTTCATATTAGTATTGCAAAACGATTTTTGAATACTAATCAAGACAATAAAACTTCTTGTGAGATATTTGAATCTCCTTTGTTCTTTTGTCATAGAAACAACTGTTCTGTATGAAATATAGAAGTATATTACAGTTTTACAGAAATTTACTGTTTTACAAAGGAAATTAACAAAGAATTATTGAAGTTTGTTCAATAAAACTAAGTTGTATGAAAGATATTGATCAAAGAACTGCAGACAACTTTGGTGAAGTGATGCCATATATGGACACACATTGAGTTGAAACAATTGAATCAGAAGTAACAGTTTACTTTATTTGCTAATAAGCTAAATTGCTAAACATTATACATGTATATCTACTTTTCTGATTGCTTTCATTTCATCTTCAAACTTAAAACAAAAACAAGAGCTGGTTGTAAGGCAGTGTGCTCAACCATTACAAGTACTTGATAAGGAATAAGAACATCTCTTTCAAAAAAGGTCTGGGGCGAAATTGTGTATGGCAGACTTACCTTGATAGTCAACAAATAATTTCAAATTTAAAGAGAATACCTTTACAGTTTTTGAGAAAGAGACAAATATTCTAAATAGAAAAGTGAAATAATTAAGTAAACATAACTTTCAAGATTATCTACCCCAAATACATTTCAAATTTGACAGTGACCAAGTTCTCCCAAGATTAAAGGGGATATCTTTGATAGCTCTTGATAATTGTACAATAACAAGAAATCGAAGTAAAATAGGGAGGTAAGTGAGCAAAGATAAATTACAAGGTTACCTGCCCTTTAGAAATTCATTCCAATTTTAAAATTGAATAACAATTCCATATTTGAAATAATTAACTTGAACAGTCTGAGAAGTTGACCTTGGTACAAAAAGAGAATAGCTCCACCTTTTTTACGAAAAGTTGAGCAAAAAGGGGTTGCATGTAAAACTAAACCAAGTGTCATGAAAAGTGAGTCGGATTGTTCACCTAATATAGATACAATAGTTGAGCTTATAACCAAATATATTATGCTAATTTAGAATTAAAGTTTTTAAGTTCACTGACATTAATTTTTTTAACATAAAAACATAACCTGCAAAACCTCAATTCCATAAATTATCTTTTACATAAATTCTGTCAAAATAAATCAGTGGAGATATTATTTCTAGAAAAAAATCAATCAAAAAATTGATGATGTCAAGTGAAAGGGATAATATTTCATTTTGTTCTTTAATATGAAGAAAGAAAACAATTTACATGATAAAATGTAAGGTTTTATTACCTTTGCCTGTCTTTGGATCACGCGTGATCTTCTCAGATTTCCGTACAGGCGCTGTAAAACAGATCAAGTTACTATCATAATGCTTGAAAGTCTGACAGTATTCAAATCTTTTTGAACTCCTAGTTCATTTCCTCATTAATAAATCAACAATTTCTTTCCTTATAATTGTTTTTATCTTCAGAGATCAAAGGCAATGATGACCATATAATTAGACTCTTGATTAATTAAAACCGACAGTTTCTTCACATAATTTTTAACATATATTTCTATGTATGCTACAGAGCAAATTTATGGACAATCCATATGGTCATCAGCATAATTCATTCAATGGATTTTCAACATTTAGCTCCGGTAGGTCCTTTAAATTATAATTGGATCATGACAGCACAATCTGATTTAAACTCTCTGTCTCTAGACGGTTCAGCAGAGATATTTATACATTTGAATTCAGTTCACAGAAACATATTTACCCTAACCCTATCACTAGTGTCATGAGCAAACTGGCAACAAAAAAGTTAACTGAAAATACAAACAAAAACCTACTTGATACAGATGACTTGTTAGGCAGCCCAGTGACCTGTGGACTTCCAGTGGGTGGGGTATTGTAAAGTACTGATGAACGACGCACCTGTCCATCTTCAGCACTCATTGGCTTTTTCACTGCTGAATTCATAAATTAATATGACCATGTACATATAATTGTTTTTCTGTGACATTAAATCCGAATGACAGATTTTATAAACTGACTTAAAAATAGACAAACAAACAATTAATACAAATAAAAATAATAATTTCTAAATACTGGTACATGCATGAGCTTACTCAATATCTGTGAAAGAAATTAACTTTAAATATTTGCTCACAGAAAGTATTAAATAAAATATAATTGAATACAACAACAAATAAAATATTACATGTGTGTATGTTTTTTAGTAATCTTTAAAGCGTGAGAGCGGCTAAAAATCAAGAATAATTATGTATGGATTGAACAAACCTGTAGCAAAACTGAGAGGACTTGTATTTCTGGAATCTTCCTTGTTACTAATGAGTGGTGGTGCTAGTGCTATAAGATCTTCATATATCCTGAAATATATAGACATGAGAAATAACTAAACTTGTACAATAAATACCTCAAGATCTGAAATTGAATATCAAAATACTATAGAAAGAGCAGGCTAGTCTGACTCTAACCAATATGAAAGGCCAATCATTGATGTCATTTGCTTTCAAAGGTTTAGTCACATAATTCATTACATGCATTTATTGTCAATAAAGTGATTGACAGATTGAAAAAGTAAGGGAAAATTAATTTTGCATTTTGCTCCCCTTGACAGATGATTAGATATTACACTAAGGTTATCTATCACTGCAAAAATTGAACTGATGATCAGAGTCTATCACAGACCATTTTTAAGTTATAATGTAATTGCCTAATAATAAAGATATAAGAATAACTTACTGAGGAATCTGTGTTTGTAAAGCCTCAATGAGTGATTTTGTTTCAGTCATACTGTCCTCTGTGAAATCATCACTGACTATCATTTTAAGGGTCATGGTGAGATTTTCTGAGAACTTTTTATACAGATTCAGGTAGTCTCGTATACCATTCTCATTTACTTGATCTCCATATTCCTGTTCTTCTTGCTGTATCAATGATATAAACATGATAAAAAATCTCATTCTAATGTGAACTGCCTTCATTCTTTAAAGTAATAAAATTGGGTTTGACTATTCAATGCTTTAGGTTCATAGAGCTATGTCAGCCTCATCATGTAGAATCAAACTTTGCCTCTTATATTTAGTAATATCATTTTCATACCTGTGTATCAGGTAGTAGTTGACACACATCTCAATAATAACTAACAAGAGCACCGCTAGGCGGAGCATTATATGCCCGAAAGTGTTTTTTTTTTTTAATAAGGATGAAGCATTTATAAGACATGGGATTAGCTGTTCATCCTATAAAATTTTACAGCTGTAGGTTGATTAATAATGACCTTAACCTTTGACCTTTTGACCCCAAAATCAATAGGGGTCTTCTACCTTATATGGACAATCATCCTAAAAAGTTTGAATATTGTTGGCCAATTGGAACTTTAATTATGCTCTAGAAACTGTTTTCAGTATTAAGGTAAAAGTGACATTGACCTTTGACCTTGTGACCCCAAAATCAATAGGGTCTTCTACCCAATATGGACAATCATCCTATGAAGTTTGAATATTGTGGGCCAAATGGAACTTAAGTTATGCTCCAGAAACTGTTTTTGGTTTTAAGGTAATTGTGACCTTGACCTTTGACCTAGTGACCCCAAAATCAATAGGGGTCTTCTGCCCAATATGGACAATCATCCTATGAAGTTTGAATATTGTGGGCTAAATGGAACTTAAGTTATGCTCCAGAAACTGTTTTCAGTTTATAGAATATAGTGACCTTGACCCTTGACCTTTTGACCTCAAAATCAATAGGGGTCTTCTACCTAATATGAACAATCCTCCTATGAAGTTTGAACACTGTGGGCCAAATGGAACTTAAGTTATGCTCCGGAAACTGTTTCGAGTATCAATGTAATAGTGACCTTGACCTTGTGACCCCAAAATCAATAGGGTTCTTCTTCCCAATATGGACAATCATCCTATGAAGTTTGAACACTGTGGGTCAATTGGAACTTAAGTTATGCTCCGGAAACTGTTTTCAGTATCAAGGTAATAGTGACCTTGACCTTTGACCTTGTGACCCCAAAATCAATAGGGGTCTTTTGCCCAATATGGACAATCATCCTATGAAGTTTGAACATTGTGGGTCAAATGGAACTTAAGTTATGCTCCGGAAACTGTTTTCAGTTTTAAGGTCATAGTGACCTTGACCCTTGACCTTTTGACCCCAAAATCAATAGGGGTCTTTTACCCACTATGGACAATCATCCTATGCAGTTTGAACATTGTGGGTCATTTGGAACTTAAGTTATGCTCCGGAAACTGTTTTCAGTATCAAGGTAATAGCGACCTTGACCTTTGACCTTGTGACCCCAAAATCAATAAGGGTCTTCTACCTTATATGGACAATCATCCTATGAAGTTTGATCATTGTTGGTCGAATGGAACTTAAGTTATGCTCCGGAAACTGTTTTCAGTTTTAAGGTCATAGTGACCTTGACCTTTGACCTTTTGACCCCAAAATCAATAGGGGTCTTCTACCCAACATGGACAATCATCCTATGAAGTTTGAACATTGTGGGCCAAATGGAACTTAAGTTATGCTCCGGAAACCAAATTGCTAACGGACGGACGGACGTACGGACGGACGGACAGACAGACAGACAGACGGACGCCAGGGGGTATAACATAATATGCCCTTTCGGGCATATAAAAAGAGGCTTACATTGTCTACTATTTGTTCTGAGGAAATATATTTCTGTATCAATGATATTCCATTTTAATAAACTTTAATTTTCCAAATCAACAATTAACTTTTAATATCTAAAACTTACAAAATAATTAAATATCATGCAAAGTTTTCAATATTTGAACTAAATATTCATTATTCATGCTGTTGTTATAAATTTAAAATTGTTGCATTTTTAAAAATAAAATAACTGAGTAGAATGCAATTATGAAAGCAAGGCTTCTTTCGTCTATGCCTTCATCACAAGAGTTGTAAGGACAACATACCTTGGCTAAAGATTTGAGAATAGCTCTGATATCAGACATCAATTTATGATGTATAGTCAGTAATGTCTTGATGTTGTTCACTTCACTTTTTATACCATCCTAAAATAACAGACATAAACCATGGTAAAATATCAATACAAAATATATATTACAAAATGCTTTTATTTTATGCTTTAAACAAACATTGCCATACAAAACTGAGTATATCAAAACCAGTATCTAGTAAATGTACAACTATGTTATATGTTTCTGAAAGAGAAACTCATAAATGTAGTCTTACATAATATATGTCAAACATAAAGACAGGCACACAAAGACACATGCCTATTATTATCATTGAGCAGTAAAAGATTTCATACATTTTGATTACCTTCTTTATTTGTATTATCCCCTTGCACTGCTTGAATTTGAACAGTTAATAAGAAATGTGAGAAGTTTTAGTGTGTAGTTTATACAAATTTATTATAGTGATATTGTGTCAGAAGCTATAAGCTTATTGAAACACTCTTGAATCCCTTCCTGGAACCAACCAATACTAAGAAATGAGTGTAAAGTTTCTTGCTCACAGAAACAACAGCTTGCCCCTGCTGGAGTTTGAACCCACTTAGCCAGCAATCTTTAGATTAATGATCTGAGGCGTTAACCACTTGGCCATGCCGCCACTCGATATTAAACAGGCAGAATTCATGACTACAATTGCTGGACTAGTTCTATACTGGTGACATAGGTAATGACAGTATCACCATGTTATAATAAATAACATGTTTAAATGATGATACTTTCAAATTCTAAGGCTTGATGGGGTCACAGGAGAAAACAGTCTCTATGTAATTGCAGTCAAAATGAACGAATATTAAATGTATATCTTATGGTTGGATATAAGACTGACTGTAAAGAAATTACTTGTCTATTTGAAAGCTTTTGAATAATAAATGCCTCAGTTCAATACCAAGAGAACAAGCACACTGTTCATAAAAACATTTCAGAATACTATAAATAAGTACGTTGAGATATACACTGATACCTTGGCCTCATCAATGTTTGTCTTCAGTGTCATGATTTTCTTATCTAGCTCTTGTAACTTAACCTTGATTTCTTTCTGTGCAGATTTCAGCCAGGGTGTATCAGTTTTCTGCCCCTCCTCTAATGGCTAAACATAAAAACATTCACTGTATATTTGTTTCACAATACATGTATATGAACTGTATTTTTTCCAATTAAAACAACAAAGGCATAGAATGCATCAAAAAGCAAAATCAAATAGCATCTGTTACAGGGAAAAAAAGAAATTACTTTACCATCAACTATCAAAGTTACTTTGATTCTAAATTAAATCCTTTGAATTCTGCCATTTGTTCATATTTGGATTTGATATAAGTCCTTTGAACACAATATGTCACAAAGAATGCTTAATTAAATGTTATCAGGACTTGATCAAACAAGGATCTTCTTTGAGCCACATCACACAAACAAAACTTTTCCATGAAATTCCCAAAAGAATGATACAACAAAGGAACATTAGGAATAATTATTCATCACAAAGAATAAATTCTACTTATGTTTAAATCACTTGAGTACTATAATTCATTAGAATACATAAAACCTCCAAATTAAACTGTCTGATAAATTCCAACATTGCTTTGAATTCAGCATTTGAAAGTAATAAAAGTCAATACATTATAACATTAATGTATGCTTTATAAATATATAATAATACACACATTGAAAAAATTACAATAAAAACGTGAATAAATCAAATTCCTATACAGTAAAACTCATTTCTATAAGCCATATGTTGTAATGTAAAAATATTTGTATGTTGGACTGAGCAAAGATAACAAGACAACACACTAAACTATTCTCAGTGCTTGACAGTAAGAAAAGGGGTAAACTATGTCAATCATTTTAGATAATCACAGAGAACAAGTGTGTGAAGTTTCAATTCATTCCCTTAAGTAGTTTTTGGAGATAACAAAAATTGTGTACTAACCCAATGGCAAATGATATTCGGCTCTAATTAGCTGTGTACTATAATTAATGGCAATCTATAACCAGGTACTAAAGCATATGGGTTATCTTAATTTACAACCTACATACATTTAATGAAGTATATTATCAAATGATAATTAATAACCAATCTTAACTAAATAACTGTTCAACCAAATTTCTGTTCATATGACCATTTAAAAATGAATTTAAACTACTGGTATGTTAATTAATTTAACAAGAAAAGGACTGTAATTGTTATTAGACTCTATTGAACAGAAAAGCTGTACCTTTATTTCCATCAACTCTGCCTCTGCCTCAGTGACAGAACAACTGGAGGATGTCACCATTATACAACTGTCATTACATCTAAAATAAATATACCTTTGATCTTTATAACATCAATAATGAAATCGTAATAAAATATTTACAACAATTATTACTGTATGTTATTATCATTACATAGTATATTTTTTTCTATTCATAAAGTCATAACATTACTAATTGCATGTTGACAAATTAATTAAATTCTAGTTGTTTCCTCTTTAAACAATATATAGACAGATCCAGATTTTTTAATCAACTTTTTCACTTTTGTCGTGAATTAATTGCAGCAGGAAAAAAAATGAATGTCAAAAACCCTTCACTTTACTGCATTTAACAGCAAATATTATACAATGTCAAGTTAGACCTTTTACTACTAATTTCTACATATGAAAATAATTTCCCTATTTTGATTTAATTGCACTAGATTTATTGACCAACTGGCAATCACTAGATCTAGTATGTATAAGCATTTTTTACAGCAAATATGATATCGAATCAAAATGTATTAAGAAATTTTAACAGAAATAATTTTTGCAAAATGTATAGGATATTTTTGCTAAAGAAAATGAATGAAAAAATAAAATTTTGACTAACTTTTTGATAAGACTCAAAAAGTTGGTATCTGACGCCATGGCCTCTGGTGTTCGTGTACGGAGTGCTTCTAGATGGAGTATACCCTGACACAAGTTGATCACTTCTTCTGAATGCTTCGATTCTTCCTGTAGATGTAGAAAATAATGGTCTGTATGTTCAAGTTATGTTCAACATTAAGCAAGTATCTTTTAATTAAATGTATTCAGAATATTGATTTTTGTGACTATATTCCTGCATCTTTGAACTCAAAATATGCACTTAAAATTGATATCTACTTCCTAAAACAACACTTTCAAGAACAATTTCAGCAAGTAATTCCAAGGACAGTTCATTTTAACCCTTTCACTGCCATAGGGACGGCTTTAGCCGTCCCTGTTATTTTCGGTGTATTTGCCATATGGACGGCTTTAGCCGTTTCAATAATAACTAGAAATGTGTCATCATGCCACGGATGCCCCCGCATGCAGCCAAAATTTCAAATGTTATAATATTTAGTTCCAATTTTTGTTTGCACAAATTATTTTTTTCATTCTATGTTCAAAGCCCTTAAAACTTTTAACACAAACCATTTTTATACAATGTTCAAGGCACTGAAATTATTCAGTCTTAACCTTTTGAAAATAGCATATTGCATATTTGTAGCCAAAATAAAGTATGAGTGCTGAAACTGAAAGTTCCAAATTTTTCCAACATTCAGGAAAGATACCTTTGTCCAAAGTCATTGAACCACGACCAAATTCCAACTTAAACTGCTTATTCCTAAGATGTATCTATATTATTTTCAAAGTGAAAGGGACATAACTCTGCCAAAAAAATCATCGAACCATGACCAAATTCCAAATTGACCTGCGCATTCCTTTGACATATCCATATGTCAATTTTGAGTTGAATATGTAACACTGTTGGGTTGATAATGAACAGAAACTGTAAATTTCATATCATTTTCAAAGTGAAAGGGGCATAACTCTGCCAAAAATCATTGAACCATGACCAAATTTGAACTTGACCTGTGCATTCCTTTGACGCATCCATATGTCAAGTTTGAGTTGATTGTGTTGTACCATTGGGGAGTTAATTAACGGAAACTGAAAATTTCATATTATTTTCAAAGTAAAAGGGGCATAACTCTGCCAAAAATCATCGAACCATGACCAAATTTGAACTTGACCTGTATTTTCTCATGACATATCCATATGTCAAGTTTGAGTTGAATGTGTTGTACCGTTGGGGAGATAATGAACGGAAACTGAAAATTTCATATTATTTTCAAAGTAAAAGGGGCATAACTCTGCCAAAAATCATCGAACCATGACCAAATTCGACCTTGACCTGTATTTTTTCATGACATATCCATATGTCAAGTTTGAGTTGAATGTGTTGTACCGTTGGGGAGATAATGAACGGAAACTGAAAATTTCATATTATTTTCAAAGTAAAAGGGGCATTACTCTGCCAAAAATCATCGAACCATGACCAAATTCAAACTTGACCTGTATTTTTTCATGACATATCCATATGTCAAGTTTGAGTTGAATGTGTTGTACCATTGGGGAGATAATGAACGGAAACTGAAAATTTCATATTATTTTCAAAGTGAAAGGGGCATAACGCTGCCAAAAATCATTGAACCATGACCAAATTAAAACTTGACCTGTGCATTCCTTTGACGTATCCATATGTCAAGTTTGAGTTGAATGTGTTGTACCATTGGGGAGTTAATGAACGGAAACTGAAAATTTCATATTATTTCATATTATTTTCAAAGTAAAAGGGGCATAACTCTGCCAAAAATCATCGAACCATGACCAAATTCGACCTTGACCTGTATTTTCACATGACATAACCATATGTCAAGTTTGAGTTGATTGTGTTGTACCATTGGGGAGATAATGAACGGAAACTGAAAATTTCATATTATTTTCAAAGTGAAAGGGGCATAACTCTGCCAAAAATCATTGAACCATGACCAAATTTAAACTTGACCTGCGCATTCCTTTGACGTATCCATATGTCAAGTTTGAGTTGAATGTGTTGTACCATTGGGGAGTTAATTAACGGAAACTGAAAATTTCATATTATTTTCAAAGTAAAAGGGGCATAACTCTGCCAAAAATCATCGAACCATGACCAAATTTGAACTTGACCTGTATTTTCTCATGACATATCCATATGTCAAGTTTGAGTTGAATGTGTTGTACCGTTGGGGAGATAATGAACGGAAACTGAAAATTTCATATTATTTTCAAAATAAAAGGGGCATAACTCTGCCAAAAATCATCGAACCATGACCAATTTCAAACTTGACCTGTATTTTCTCATGACATAACTATATGTCAAATTTGAGTTCAATATGTGCAACGGTTATTAAGATAATGAACGGAAACTGATGATGACGGAAGGACGGAATGACGGAATTACGGAATGAAGGAATGACGGAACAGGGTAACACTATATGCCCTTGCAATTATATGGCGGGGGCATAATTATAGTAATTATAATAAATTAATAATAATAATAATAAAAATAATAATAAATATAAAGAAAATTATACCCTCGACATTAATTATTATTATATTAACAGATTTGGAAACATATATAATTATTATAATACTTATAACAAATAAAAATAATTATATTAATTAATAATATAGTAATTTCTTAGAAAACCCTCTGGCAAATAGGTTAACAATAAAGCAATAACCCTCTGGCAGCGAAAGGGTTAATTACTGTTAAATATCCAAATATCCAGCATTTTTTTTTAAATTTAGTATACATACCTTTGCAAGTTGCTTTCTGATCAAACCGGCTTCCTCAAACTGTTGTAGTATAAGGTTAAGGGAAGGGTTGGCCCCTGCTGCCCACTTAAGTCTCTGTGTAATACTGGACTCCAGTTGTGTGTACTGATTCTGACATGATGCCAGACTTGTCTCCTGGGTAACCAGTGCCTGCATACACTGTAGAAATATAACACATAATTATCTTTTCAGTACAAACAAGGTATCCAATGATTGCCTGACTTCAAGCTTGTATATTCAAAATCATACTGTGGCAAATTCAACACCAGCAATCATACCACTGGTAATATCATTACATCATGAGCACATCTTAATATCTAAAAGTTAGAAAACTCATGTAAAAAGTGTTACCTTCTTGATTTCTGACATGATGGATGCCCTGTTAGCTACCATCAGGTGGTTGGGTTGTCCCCCAGCTTGTATAAATAAATCCTCATGTAGCCAGTGTAACCGTGTCACATGAAGCTGTGCCCGCTGTAGACTACCCTTCAGTAATTCTATGTTCGAATCCAATCTCCTATACAACAAATGAAAGGAAACAAATTTTTAACTTGATTAAATTTGTATTTATGTCTACCTTTGGAAAATATGATTAATATACAAACTTGGGCTTGTTGTTAATGATTTTCTCTTTCAAATTGGGATATACTTAAAGTGATGATAGAAAAATTGAATAACAGTTCATTTTTTCAGCTAAAAAATTCCTGAAAAACATAGATCTATATATTATTTAAAAACCTAATGTGTCATCTAGATATAATACAGATTGTTCAAGTGTCAAAATATAACAATTGGTGGTCAATAAGGTAGCCCCTCTATACTCATTAATTGATATTTAGTCAAGTAACAAACCTTGTAAGATCATGTCTCCTCCATGAAGCATCTTGACCACTGGTCAGTGTACTAGCTTGAGTAAAATGCATCTGCTGGAACTGACCATTCCTCAAACACAAGTCAACAGCTTTCTTACATATCTCCTCTAGTGGGGCTTTTGACTCTGCCCCTATATCTTTAAGCTCCACCTCAGCTGTAACATCAAGACCCATACTGTGTATTGTCATACACAAAATATACCCAAGAACTTGTGATGGAAATCCAATTATCTGTAAAAACAAAATTTCACTATTTATGAAGAGAAAACTTTTAACATACATTTTTGCAAAACAAATATAGATAAATAAACAAAATCTTATTATCCACAAAATGAGAAACCAATCACTTTTTCTGTCAAAAACTAAACTATTCAATTTTTTTTTTTTAAATGTGGATAAGCTGTGTGCATGTAACAAAGCCAATGTTCAGTAGAACAAGAAACTATGCTTTTTTTAAACTTCTAATATATATAAGATTTTCTTCAAAACCTTAAAACCATTTTTTAACAGAGTTAAAATAACTCTTTTACCTGTTTTCTGACATAGTCAGCAATAAATCGTTTCACAGGTCTGGTAAGTTGTTCATCATCATAGCAGTTACCTCCCTCTAGTCCCTGTATGGCAGCTGCAAACTGTGTACACATATGGAAGAATTCTTGCATCACTTGTAAACGTCGGATGAAAAATAGGCTAGACAGGAGGCTTCTTGTGTCCACAGTAAATGATGACAGCTGTAGACATAGAAAATATATATATATATGTATTAAACTTAAACTAAAAGATAAAACTCGGAACGCTTGAACACCTTTCTTTGCTCAAACTCACCATCCAGTTCTAGCAAAATCCCTAAATATATATTGTTCTACCTCAGATTTCTTGAAAACCACTTGCTAAAATTCTTGAACCTTAACTACTGTCTCTTTGATACATGTAGAAATATAGTCAAAATTACACCTTTTCTATCTTAACACAAAAAGAAAAAGGTTTGTACCCATTTGTCTTAAGCTGAAATGCAGACCCTTGCTTCCCACAAGGCAATGTTTTTACTATATATATTACCTGTAAAGATTTAGCCTCTCTGATCACATCTACTTTCTTCCAGATATCAGGTACTATCATCATATCCATACATTCTAGCAGAGTGTTAAACTCATCATCTAGTCGTGTAAACAGGCCATTAAATCCCATTAGTAACATCTGCCCTGGTGTAAGTTCCTGACAACCACCACCATCCAGTAACTGTAGGAAATGCCTTTTGATACCCTCTATACTTGTCAATAACTCACTATTCTCAGTCTGCCACAGAAATAAAATATGATAGTTAACATGCAATAGGAATATTTTTTAATAAAATCGAATCTTCATGAAAACATGAAGTCCTTTTCATGTATTTTGTACCAATTACCTTAACCTACTTTGGATTAAATCATGTAAAAACAATAATACTACTTAGCTAAGTGTACATTATTTACAAAACTAGAAATGTGTCATCATGCCGTCCCCCGCATGCAGCCAAAATTTCAGATGGTGCATTAATTATTTTTTTCATTTTAAGTTAAAAGCCCTTAATTCAAACTTTAAAATGTTAACACAAACCATTCATACAATGTTCAAGACACTGAAATTATTCAGTCTTAACCTTTTAAAAATAGCATATTTCATATTTGTAGCCAAAATAATGGCTAAAAGTATGAGTGCTGAAACTGAAAGTACAAAATTTTTCCAACATTCAGGAAAGATAAGTTTGTCTAAAATCATTGAACCACAACCAAATTCATACTTAAACTGCTTATTCCTAAGATGTATGTATATTATTTTCAAAGTGAAAGGGACATAACTCTGCAAAAAAATCATCAAACCATGACCAAATTCCAACTTGACCTGCCCATTCCTTTGACATATCCATATGTCAAATTTAAGTTGAATATGTAACACTGTTGGGTAGATAATGAACAGAAACTGTAAATTTCATATTATTTTCAAAGTGAAAGGGGCATAACTCTGCCAAAAATCATTGAACCATGACCAAATTCCAACTTGGCCTGGGCATTCCAAAAACATATCCATATGTCAAATTTGAGTTGAATGTGTTGTACTGTTCAGGAGATAATAAACGGAAACTGAAAATTTTATATTACTTTCAAAGTGAAAGGGGCATAACTCTACCAAAAATCATTGAACCATGACCAAATTTGAACTTGACCTGCGCATTCTTTTGACGCATCCATATGTCAAGTTTGAGTTGAATGTGTTATACCGTTGGGGAGATAATGAACGGAAACTGAAAATTTCATATTATTTTCAAAGTAAAAGGGGCATAACTCTGCCAAAAATCATCGAACCATGACCAAATTCGAACTTGACCTGTATTTTCTCATGACATATCCATATGTCAAGTTTGAATTGAATGTGTGGAACCGTTGGGGAGATAATGAACGGAAACTGAAAATTTCATATTATTTTCAAAGTAAAAGGGGCATAACTCTGCCAAAAATCATCGAACCATGACCAAATTCGAACTTGACCTGTATTTTGTCATGACATATCCATATGTCAAGTTTGAGTTGAATGTGTTGTACCGTTGGGGAGATAATGAACGGAAACTGAAATTTCATATTATTTTCAAAGTAAAAGGGGCATAACTCTGTCAAAAATCATCGAACCATGACCAAATTCGAACTTGACCTGTATTTTGTCATGACATATTCATATGTCAAATTTGAGTTGAATGTGTGCAACCGTTCTTAAGATAATGAACGGAAACTGATGATGACGGAATGACAGAATGACGGAAGGACGGAAGGATGGAAGGACGGAAGGACGGAATGACGGAACAGGGTAACACTATATGCCCCGGCCATTACATGGCGGGGGCATAAAAATATTATTATAATACATCCAATATGAACAATGCAATAAAGTTATACAGGTATTGAATAAGAAAAAAAATTATATTCATCATCAAAAAATCAAAATATTTTAAGTCATACAAAGAACTACTTATGGATATCTCCTGTTTATAGTGTATGGTCTAAAAACAATTACCTTTATACCCATGACAGCATTTCTATGTAGCATTTCTAGCTGTGATATTATGGTATCTAGAGGGTATCCGGTCTCAGACAGGATGGTTTCCAGCTGTGACAGTATACTGAAAACTGATGGTTCCTGGCTTTGTATTATCTTCAATGCCTCTGGTAGAATAATGGTGCGGAAATTCACATTCAGGTCCTAGAAAAATTATCAACAAAAATATATCTCTCTGAAGTTATTGCATGTCCACTTAAAGTCAGGTTCAAGACAGTTTGTACTTTTACTTTACAGCAATTCACTTACAAAATGAGATGTGTTTCTTGAAGCACCAGGTGAATGATAGTGAAAATGGCTTAAAATCTATATAGATAATAGTGAACTGAGAAAGAACTTGTGAAGTTAAGACATATCTTATATACTTATGGAGTTAAATATTGACAATGTTTCAGTTTAACTACATGTAACTGATAATTTTAAAAATTACACACTTAACCTGTAAACAAATTGGAAAATAATGAGATTTTTTGTCAAGTTTCTAGCCACTCTTACATTTTAAGGTCATAAGCTGATGGAGAAAGATTCCTCCTCCCTGTGTATTGTTTCAGACACAAACTGACAAGTGAGTAGAACCACCAACCTCCTGTAAGTTACCTTGATAGCTTGCAGGATAATTATGGGCCAATTCTTTGGAGCCAGCAACCTTAATCACTTGATCAAAGAAGCCTGATTCAATTTGAAATTACATACAGCATTGACACATAATCAATCAATCAATCCATCAATCAATCAATCAATTTGAAAAGACATGGTACATGTACATACAGCATTGATATAATATAAAACCACATAAGCTCACCTGAAGTGCTGTATATACATTGTGTGTAGACATCATTCCCTTGTATAAGACAAAAAATTGTTCACTGTCTTCACCAACCTGTAATATATTGCTTTACTACTAAATTATGCTCCTCTAAACAAGTATATTAAATAACACTTACATAGCAAGATAAGAAAGGTAAGAATGAATGAGTTTTTTTTCTGAAATAAGGAAACATCTAAAAATTACTGAAAGCAAAGCTAAAAATAAAAGATAACAGATCCTATGGAAATGAACCAACCATACAGTAGATAATGTAAGAAATATAATCTTTATTTACTCATTAATAGAATTTATGCCATAAAAAAAATACAGAAGAAATAAGCTCACCTGCTGGCTGGATTTGATCATATCTAGAAACTGTGAGACATTGCCACTCATACTACAAAGTTCTTCTAGGAACCAGTCACCATCCCGAGATGTTAAATCCATCAACCTATCTCCTACACCTGTACCATAAAATATATGTATGAATATGAGAAAACAGCAAAAATTATAAAACTGCTTTGGTTGGTTAAAAACCACTCATCAACAACTTTTCCCTTAGACATGCTGGGAATTTTTGTGGTTGTGGTAACTCAAGTTGTGGTTGACACAATCATAGGAATTCTTTTCCATTTCATGCATAAGAATGCTAAATTTTAAAATACATTATTAACAAGGTTAAGCTTCTTAAAGCATAAACAGGATAAAGTTTACCTGTAGCAGCTGCCTCCATCTGTATGTTACGTTTATTGAGGGCACATAGAGCTGTCACAATAACTGCTGTCAAACTGCTCTCTCCACACTCTCCATTCTCTGTAAAATACATGCAAACATTTTCAGAACAATTCTTTAACAATTTCTATATGTTGAAACTGCACAAAACAAAGTCATTTATTCATCAATTACAAAATGTAACTTTACAAGATCTAGCTGCAGTGATAATCCTTAAAAAACTCCAAAATTCACTAACAGAAATTTCAACAACAATATTGAACAACAACTTGTATTTTAAATTACACATTAAATAGATCAATACAAATGTATATAAAATTGATTTTCTAGCAGTGAGCAAGAAAGGCCACTCAGCAAAGGCACACTGTACCTTATTTGAGATAACATACAATCTACCATTGTAGAAACATGGATTACCTTTAACAAAAACATCAATGGCAGCTTTACTTTCCTGTACTTGTAACTCTAACAGTCTCACTTCTACCTTCTCCATCTTTCTACGATCCAACAGCTATAACATAAATTAAATAATGTACAACAGGGGCTTTGTCCTAGTGTTGTAAAGGTTTCTGCAACTTAACTTAAGTATCATTTGCTTGGGCCTAACTAAGCTCCTTCAACATCTGTGTGATTCCAGAGGTTAAAATAAGCTTAAAACATTCATCACACAACAATATAAAAGCTAAAGCTAAATAAAAGAAACAGTCTAAACTCAAAATGTCTCTTGAGATATGACTGTTATGTTTATCTCATTGATGTCAAAGTAAACAAGACCACACTATTAACATTTTGAGAATATTGTTGTATCATTAACTTTAGACTGAATATCATTAACATATTTTAGCCTAATTTATATGTACCAGTCAACTGAATATTTCTCTCAACATATTACCAACTTCTGTAATGTACAGGCTTGTAAAAATGTGTACATTTTAGCTGAAAGGAGACAAGATACGTTATCAAGAATATACCTTGATAAGCCTGGCATTGGCATCTTGTATTATAGTCTGTAGCTTCAGCTCTGTGCCCAGTACCAGCTGTATTTTAGTCTGAGAGACAACAGAGTCACCATACATGTCATGGAAATGATGAACAATCTCTGCACACCTATATCATAAATATAAAATACTGAACAATGATCCTCTTTTTTTTATTATGATTATAAATTTATAATATCAATCCTTACACTGCCATATATATATACAAATAATTATAATATGAAAAGACTAAACATTGTGTAGACATCCTGGCAGGGTTCAGACTATCAACAGAGGGACAAGCTACTGTGTAGATCATAACCTATAAGGCCACGTAGGCCCTTTAGTATTCTATATCAGGCCTGACATTAGGTTATTTTGCTATTAACCCTCACAGTGCTAAACTGAAAAATTATCTTGTTCCGCTTTTAAATATGAATAGTCCATTGTTACTTCAACACTTCACCTGCTGGAGCCAAAAGTGATGTCTTTACCAGCAGAATAGATCTAGACCAGCCTGGCACACCTGTGCAGTTTGACCAGGTTCTACACTGTTGGCTAACTAAATTCAAATTATCATCTTGATATACCTAAACAGTATAATATAGTTCTAAAGAAATTGAAGCTAGTCAAGTCCATTTTTAGAAATTCAGCAGGTTGGGGATGTTGGAATTAAAATACTAAATTTGAGCAGTCAACAGTATAGTCAGCTCAAACTGCATGGATGTGTGGTCTGGCCTAGCTGTAAACTAATGTCATTACAGGCACTAGTACCTCAAGGATCAATAATTTTTAACAGAATGATGACTCACTTATTGTCAGTAAAATCCAAGGAGAGTTCCTTCAGCCAATGCAGATAGTTGCTTGTTCTTGTGTTATCTGCGAAACTAGCTCCAAACTGTAATATAAAACATAACAGTTTGATTAGTAAATGGTCTGATACAATGACAGTTCTAAGTTCTATTGTATGATGCTAGCTAAATGAAAATTGGAACCATCCATATTGACCATGTGTTTCCATAGTTCTCATCAAAAAAATCATTGCTTTTAAACCAATGTTTTTATAACACAATGAAATGGTTAAATGGTAAATGATATACCTAAGAATTGTCTCTTCATTCTTATCTTCTTAAAGCAGCATGCCTCCAGTTTAATGCTTATTTTCATGAAAATTTTCTAAATGTATATAGTAACCAAAAGGAAGCAACTGACACATTATTTATGGCACTTACAACCCACGAAAATTACAAAAAGAGGTCAAAATTGCAAAAATTGCCCTTATTGCGTTAGTAATACAGTAGAAATAAAGTTAAAAATAGCAATTAGTCACTGCAAATTTTTCTTTGAATCTTGAATCTTTCTACTTTTCCTAAAATCTTAGTACATTTTTCTTAAGTTTGATTTTATTGAAATTTTTTGGCTCATCTGGAGGCATGCTGCGTTAACACAATAAACATCCACAAAATTCTTGCAGTTAAATAAATAATCCTTGTAGAAACATTATAAACTGATGTTAAACCTGAGCATTATAAATTTGTATTACATATATGTCCTACTTTTAAGTTTGATGGATTTTAGAATCAAAATACTAAATCTGAGTAGCCAGTACATAGAATAACAGACTGCCCTGGTTTCATACTGGCAGTATAGGTCTAGAGTTATAGCTATAACAAGTACAAGGTGACAGCAAAGTTACCTGTGACACAATAGTTCCATATGTATGTAGAACATCTATCACTCGGTGAAGATTGGCTCTCTGAATCTGAAGGTTGGATGTTAGTTCATTCTCTACTTGTTCACACTGAAAATATAAATGGCAAACATTAAATAAAACATACACATTTAACTTACACACATTAAATAAAAGTACATTTGTAATTTAAATCTTAAATAAAAATAGAAATTTAACTAACATACATTTAAGAAAAGTAATTTAATCTTTGTCATATATAAATAACTAAGTGACATATCATAGTTATAAAATATTGTTTCTTTTTCAAACACAAGATAAAGAAAAACCTATTGAGTATTCACTTATCTCTTATATACCTAATATAAATTTCTTCCTTTAATAATTCAAATGTTTGTTGAAACATTAACTTAATAACAGTTATTTCATTTAAGTACACACTAATCCTTATTCATACAGCCATCTAAAAATTGATTCAAGTTAAAGAATTTTCTTGAACAGCAGAAGGCAATCCCAGTAGAAACAATGGATGTACAGTTTTAGAAGTTATATACCTGTTGTATGATAGAGCCTTGTCCTGCCCCCTGCAAGAACTCTTTAGCTGTAGCAAAACTTGGTGTACCCAGGTTAAGTGAAGAGGCTATGTCAGCACACATCTTCTGGAAGGCTGATCCCTGGATCTTCATCATCACATGCTGTCAATATAGGGAAAATGTTTCAGTTATGCGATTATCTTTCAAATCATTCTACTCCACTTTCATCACAGAAATGTTTCAGTTATATAAGTATCTTTCAAAACATTTTACTCCATTTTCTTTAAAGATGTATAATTACTATGAAACTGTTTTTATTATTTGTATAATTGTACAGTAAATACAAATAGTAAAATGTTTAGTATTTTGCAGAATTAATGTTGTAAAGCTTTGATCTAATTATGTTTACCTAAGTTTAACCAGGTCTGACTACATAATATTTTTAGTTTTTTGTAGACTTAATATTGTAAAGCTTTGATCTAATTATGTTTACCTAAGTTTTACCATTTCTAATTACAGAATAATTTACCTTATGCATTTGTTGCCAGTTAAGGCAGTCAGTAATTTTCTCCTCTACCAGTTTGTTGACAGCATCTCTAGTGTTCTTGATAACAATATACTCTTTATACCTGAAATTTTACCAACTAGTCAATAAAACAGTGATTAATAAAACTATCATTATAGTAAACAAGAGGGCCATGATGGCCCTGAGGTCGCTCACCTGTATATAGCCCCCCCCCCCCCCCCCCCCCCGAACCGGGGCCAGTTTAATCCCCAGGGCTTTTATTTGAACAAACTTGGAAGACACCCATTAGAAGATGTTTCATGATGTTAAGTTTTTACTACACACACATAATGAAAAACAATGACCTCCCCAAGCCCTCCCCCCCCCCCCCCGGGCAGGGCCAATTTTAACACAAGGGCTTTTATTTGAACAAACTTGGTAGACACCCATAAGAAGATGTTTCATGCTTAACATCTAAGCTCTAGCTCATTGGGTTTTTTCAAAGAAGATTTTTTAAGTTTTTACTATACACATATAGTTAAAAACAATGACACCCCTGGGGTGGGCCAATTTTGACACCAGGGCTTTTATTTGAACAAACTTTGTAGACACTCACTAGAAGATGATTCATGCTTAATATCTAAACTCTAGCTATTTGGGTTTTTTCAAAGAAGATTTTTTAAGTATTTGTCAACACATATAATGAAAATCAATGACCCCCGGGGGCAGGGCCAATTTTGACCCCAGGGCTTTAATTTGAGCAAACTTAGTAGACACTCATTAGAAGATGTTTCATGCTAAATATCTTAGCTCTAGCTCTTTGGGTTCTTTAAAAGAAGATTTTTTAAGTTTTTACTATATGCATATAGGGAAAATCAATGACCCCCTGGGGCGGGGCCAATTTTGACCCCAGGGCTTTTATTTGAACAAACTTGGTAGACACTCACTAGAAGATGTTGCATGCCAAATATCTTAGCTCTAGCTCTTTGGGTTTTTTAAAAGAAGATATTTAAAGTTTTTTCTTTCGGTTGCCATGGCAACCAGAGTTCTACATGGAATTAAATTCTTTGAACAATTTTTAAAGGTGACCACCAAAGGAACATTCCTGTGAAGTTTGGATGAAATTGGCTAAGTGGTTTATGAGGAGATGTCATTTAAAGTAAAAGTTTACGGACCCGCAGAATCATTTATTGTTTTTAAGTAATGCCAGACAGCAGATTACTGTATTACTGTTTAAGTGTAACTTAAAATCTCACAGACCAAATCCACTCTAATGTTAAAGACAATAAAATTTTAATTGTGAAGATTCACTCAAAGAAAATAACATATACAAAATTATTAAAGCTATATTTTTACATTACTTTTTACAAGTAAAATGTTTGCTCACAACACAATAAAAAGTGTAAACTTTAGAACTGTCATTAAACAAACCAACTAAAAAGAGATATGAGATAAAACAGGTTATTTCCTACAAACCTGTCATGTAATGTAAATATGGAACTGTTACTGTTAGACAATGCCTCTATAACAACTTGTTTCAGTCCCTGCAATTTCTCCTCTTCCTGCATACATTCAGAGTACTCTGTAATTCTCTGTGTACGATCATCTAGGTGTAACTGTATCCGTGGTAATACTAGAACCATCTCATCTCTATAAACATACAATTACATTACATATATACACTCGAACATGGACTGATGATTTTTATGGGAACAGAAGATAATTGAGCGCTCCTACAATTGACACAAATGAATACATATAAAACTAACAATAAACTTAACACAAATTCTTCTGCTTGTATACAATTACAATAAAAGATCTGTTACCATTAAGTCAAACTTTAAAATCTTCAAAATAAATCCTCCAGATATGTGTATATAATTTCAAGTGCAAAAATATTGTAAAGCTGAAAATGAATATAACTATTCATGTAAATTACCTGTTTTGAAGCCAAGCCACCTTCATTTCAGCAACTCTAATAGAGAACATACTAGTAGTGATCTCCCTTTCCATGTCTAACTTCCCTTGTCTACTCTCCATGGCATTAGTGCCTGTAGCAAGTTCCCCACCATAGAATGCCCCAGTATAACCTCCTTCATTACCAGTTGTCCAGTCTACCAGTGGATCATACACAAATGCTTCTAACAGTGTAAGTAATGTCTCACGTCCTTTCCTCAGAGTTTTCATAACATGTTCACTTGCCAAACGGAATGTTCCCTGAATGATATATATAACATATTATTCTTTACCAAGAAAATGAAAAATTTCACTATGCAGATTAAAACATTACAATCTTTATAACCTGTGTATCTGATGATTTCTGCTTTAAAAGGTGTGGTGACTAGTTGAATTGAGATTAGGATCATCAAGCAATGAGTGGGATATATGTACTTCAAAGGAGGAGAATAACTTACCTCAATACCAGTGATTCCAAGGGCAGCTTCTATATTCTGGGTCAACCTGAATGGTACTCTCTCTGGCACACGTAAACCTTTTCCTTTCTCAAAACACACATTGTAGTCTATATGAACAACCTGTCATTCAATAAAGAACAAAATACATGTATTTCACTTCTTTTATAATTTAAACAGTGAGTTTATAACAATAAGGCTAGTATCATAGAATATTAATGAATTTGTTACTTAAAATCATGTCTGATCATGGCTACAAGGTTTTCTATTCAGTTGGTACTTATTTTAAATGATAAATAGTTTTGTCAAGATAGATGAAGGATTATTTGTAAGGGCTTAAAAAGTTCAATATATAAGTATGTTTTTGACAGTACATTTGTTTTAAATTTTGCATCCATATTCTAATGCCCATCTTCTTCCCCCGAAAAGATAAATAACAAGAATATTTGACAAATCATACCTCTCCAGTGGCTAGATCTACCATCACATTATCAAGATGTCTGTCACCAAGACCTATGATATATCCAATCATAGACATTACAGCTGTAGACCTAGCATATGTCTGTGTAACATACCACCATTCATTAGGCCCTGTACTTGTACACCACAGCTCTTTGGCAAGTAAATCACGGGGTGTCTCGGACATCAGCTCCTCTAACACCTTACGCTGCACAGAGATAGGCCAGTCCTTCCTGCTGCTTTCCAAATCCTTGATACCCTATAAACATTATAAACTACTGTAAAGCAGGTAAGTCCACTTTAACAAACTTGAATATTGTAAAATCTCATATTATAACTTTTATGCAAAGTTTACCATTCACTATAAGATGTTGCCAATTCCAGCCCACAACAAATTACTTGCCTGAATCCTGTACTGCTGAGCTTTAAAATTAATACCAAAATTTTGAGATCATGCCCAAAAATGATTTATTCTATTTTTAAAGTAATGCCGTGTCAGACTAGCATTAACCCAGACAATACTATGGACATAACATCTCCTACCTGACACGTATTAATTAAAATTTAACTACACAGTATATCAAATTTACGTGGACTTACCTTCTCCCTTAACTGAGGTGTCAGTTTATTGTAATAGACTTCACTGGGTCTTGGTATAGATGGCTGCTGTGCTGTAGAACTAGAACCAGAAGCTGCCTGTTGTTTTAACATTTGCATCAAAGCCTCTCTCTGCTGCCATCTCTTGTACAAGGCAAACAGTGGTGTAACACCATCCACCCACTGGATCAAACCTGACCTGGGACCCAGAGGAGTGACAGAATAGTGGCGTGCTCTATATAGCTCATGACTTCCCCTGAAACCATACAATATAGCATTTTATATTTTCTACCTATTTTCTATAATTAAACAATTCTTAAATATTATACCTCAAACTATATGCTGTAAATTTAAGGAAATTTTAATCAGTTTGGTCTATTCAGTATTATTTTAGCTAAAATGTAAAATAGTATTCATAATTTACATTAAACAAATTCAAGTAAATATACTTTATAAGTTTAACCATCAAGCTTGAGCTTAAGGGAAAAAAATCTATATGCCTTGTATATTACCGTCTCTCTTATGAACAAACAATTAAAGGAGCAATACGTACTTGTTGGCAGAGGCAAACATATTGTTGACAATGTTCAAAAACTGCATGATCCTTTCATCTAAATGTAAATCTTCTAGGCCTTTAAACAGGTAAGGGTATCTGAAATAAACAATATCAATCAAATTTTTACAAACAAACTAACATAATTATAATACCAATGTTAGATACTAAAATGAACATTAAAACATGCTTTACTATATCTTAATAAACAGACTTAGCATCTGAGTGCATAAAAGGACAAAAAAGTACAGAATAAGGAGAGGAATGTTTACATGTCATATGACAAAATACTCATACAACATAACAAAGGAGAAAATACTAATAAATCTATCTAGTAGTACACATAGCTTGTACCTTTTGCCATCTGATCCTTTAAAAACAAGTTTCTTGGGTTTGGTTTTTGTAGGGAGTATCTGAACAGTGTTGGATACAGACTCAATGGTAACAATCTGCCCTGCAGTCCCCAGCCCTGGCATTGCGATCACTGTGTTACGTAGAGAGTAAAGCTTTGGGCTTATGTCATCCATGGTAAGTACAAGACTGCTACGCTTCTGAGCCTTATTCTGCAGGCTTACGTGAATCTATATGTGTAAAATCATAGAAATGATAACATTATAAAAATCTGATTATCATTCCTAGAAACCCCTACAATAAATTTAAAGCTTTATTGTTGGATACCAATTTGTATTCTTTGGTTCATATATAAATAACATAATTTTTCATTTTCATTCTGCATCATTTTCCATAATGGGTACTATTATTACTTTTAATTATATGATAATTCAATCAATTGCTTGTTAGATTCTGGAAAAAGTTAATAATAATTTTACTATATCATTCAACCACATATAATTCAAATAGAGAGGACACTCATAAGCTTTATAGCTTTCTGTCCAATCCAAAAATGTTCTTTGTAAATATTGTTCACTTGTTAAATGTTTTGATGAATAAATACGTTTAAACCAAAGCAAATACATTGTAGCTTACATTAAGCAGACATTAAGTATTTCAGGCAAACAACATATAACTGACTACCTGTTTAAATGGATGCCAGCTAGCTCTAGGATGACTAGGATTGGGTGGATTTTTCAGTTTCTCTAGAGCATTACTAATCAGTACACCGTATGTTTCCTGGAACCATTTCTCATGTGGAGTGGATGTTGTCTGGCATGTTATCTCATGTAATCTTTCCATCATGTAAACAGTCTGTTAATAAATTGATCCGAAATTAATGATTACCAAATGACATACATTTTAATTAACAGTAGTGAAATTCGTAACTGAGTCGTAACTGAGAAAATTTTTCATTCAGTCAACAACAAAACCCTGTTAAAATCGTACATAAAATATTTCTAGCAGAAAATTTAATTTTTATTTTTTTTACAAGACTCCCTAACTGCATTTATTTTAGACTTTAGACTGACAAACAGTGACATGTGGGAGCATGCATGTCTTATGAACTGATTTCTTGTTATTTCTTTATCAACTTCTTCATCTTAAATTAAATATCATCTACAACTACAATGTTCTTAAAGTCAGTTAAAACTTACAGGTTTAAGGACAGTCTTATGTTTCTCTTTAATGATGGCAGTTTTCTCCTCCTTGCTGAGAGCCGTGTTCTTCTCCACTTTCTTGATTTCATTTTCAAGTTGTGCAATACGTCTCTCCACATCCTGGTGTTGTTGATTCAATGTACCAAGCCAAAGTTCATCCCACAGTAATGTGATACGACGCAACTCTTCTATCAGCTGCTTCACATCAGAAATCATTCTGAAATATGATCATTCAAACTATTAACTTCTATGAACTTTTTCTGCAGGAAACAATAATGACAGGTCTACCTATACTTTAAACAGATACCAGCTCAGTAACAGTATTTTTATATCTAAACAATTTTAACTAATAACAATGGACTGCTCAAGGAAAAATATTTGGACAGAATCAAGTATCGCTTTTCGTTATATGAGTCAATAAAAAAATTAGCAAACTGATGACCACCAATTTTCGTTTTTTTTACACTGCTATAAAGATTGAGTTGCATTAGAAAATTTTTTCATTCATGTATTTCAGATTTATTCCTTTTTTTTATTCTAAACTTTAAGTAATTTCTCAATCATAAATAATCATCTGAACAGCAATAAACTCATGTAAAAGAGTTAAAAAACCTAATAATAACTTTATAATAACTGAATTTGACAGGTTACATTAGGAAAACATGAAGGATTGATGTTTATACAACTTTGTTTTTATTCAAAGCACACTCACTGTGGAAAGTTTGCAGCCAGTGTATTTAACATAGATGATATACAGCTGTGTAACATTGACTCGGCCTCTAACTCTGCAGGTAAATCATCATCATCCTGGGAACCTACATCTTCTGTATTTTCTATGTCACCATCAACCTCTACATTCTCAGTCAGGTAATTGTTCAACAAACCTGAAAATTGTAAAACTTATTGCTTAACAATTCAGAGCAATTTAATGGAATCCCTTTCAAATGTAAAAAAAGACCATCCAAAATATTCCACTTCCATGATTCATGCTTTATCAGGTAAACAATATAAATTTATATGAATAAATCCTAAAGGAAAGATAAAGAAGCTTAATACACATGTAAGTTAAAATTCACTTTGTTGTAAATATGCAAAAAATTGGTTACTTCAATACTTGTGATAACAATACCAATATCAATATTATCAATAGGTTTGAAAACCTTTAAAAAACAATTATAAACAATTAACAATAAAGTGCAATTAGCAAACTTTTGGGTCCGTAAGAAAACCTGGAACAGTCTTTTTACGTTCTATTGACAGCTAAAATCATAAAGTTTACAAGTCAACTAAAACTAATTACCAGTTTCAGATTTGGTATCAAGTACTGTTGTAGAACTTCCTACAACTGCAGGGTACACAATCAGGTGTGGAGCATCCTCTGCCACTCTACATAACAGATCTGATATACTCTGTCTTACATAACCCTCCGGGTGACTTAGTCTGGAGAACAACTGCGGTATAATCCCCTTCCATGGAGCAGTGGGCGTGGCAGCCAGACCATCTTCAAGGACATTACGTAACTCCCAGGCGTGTTTTACAAGTAGGCGGAGTACACGTAATGTACTTATAACATTACAGTCTTCAGTGTTGTCTTCCTTCAATGGGTCATTCTGTAACATAATTTATAATACATTTTTGAATATATGGTGCATCTCTAATAAACAGATGACTGCTGTAAGTCAAGCTAATACATAACGAGAATAAAGAAAATATCAAGATAACTTTTCACAATGCCTCATATCCTTTAAGTTCATTCATTTACACATATTAATATACAAGTAAAAAATACCATTAAAATTCTAAGGAAATGGGATTGTTTCCTTTAACGTGTGAACAAATCTTGTTCCAACCATGTGAATATTTGTAAAATAGATATCAAGACTGGCAGAACATTAACTTTTTTTCTTTTCATGATTTACAAAGATACAAACATATTCAAGATTAACATTGTTCAACCAAGTGATTTAACTTACCCCTCCATTTAGTTTAAGAAACTTGAAATAAGCACTGGCTGACAGCTGGTAGTAGTGATATATTCTATATACCACTCCCCTCCATACTTCTAGTAAACTGTCGACAGTTTTCTCATCAGCTGTCTTTAGGACTGGACTACAAGCCAACAACTGACGTCTTGTAGTCTCTGTACCATCATCATACTGACTCTGTTTATAAAATACAATCATGTCACATCAAAACACTCCCTTTTTTGTGAAAATATTTTAGAAATATGAGTTTACATTCACAGGTTTTCTACTTGTTAAAGCAGCACACCTCCAGATTCATGTTGAAAAGAAACCATACAATTACCAGATATCTGGACAATTGTTTGTCATACAAATATATCCTATTAACAATTAAGTGTAACAATATGCAGAAATATCAATTAGTCCATTATTAACAATGTGGAGATCTGGTGATGAAATAGTAACAATAGATCTATTTTTCTTTGATGATTTTTCAATGAGTATATTTAACTTAAAGTGACATTATGCCCATCCAAGTGTATATAGTGAGTGAACGGGTGATGATCAAAATAAGTTTTCATTTTGCCATAATTCTTTTTGATTTAATAATTAAGTTCACATAAACAATAAATAACGCACATATCCAAACAAAATTTCTGTAAATATCCGTAAGAATTTACCTATAACGCTTAGTTTATAAAAAGAGTGGGGCAGTCTTTTTAAATTTTGGGCAGGTTTATAATTTTATTCAAAACATTTTCCAAAATCAATTGTTGGTCGAACACAATTTTGATAGTCAATCTTGTGAAATATAAAGTCAATTCAGCTCAACTTGACTATGAAAATATGAGCATAATGTCACTTTAAGGCAAACAGCTTTAAGTAAGTTTTGGTTCTTGTTATACAATTATCAATTCTTGCCATACTTTTTTTATCATAGGAATCCTGTTTTTCTTTTGGTCTTATCATATTACTGCTAAGTAAAAGATTTTAGTAAGCAAAGTTATCAAAGTTGTCAATAAAATAGTGTTTATGGTATTTACTTGATCTTGATCACTGATATCCTCCTCACTGGTCATACCAGAATGTATCTGACCCAGAATGTTCAACACTGCTTCTGTCTCATCCATACTGATTGGCTACAATAGAAAACATACCCCAGTAAATATCACCAAAAGAAAGTTGCAGGTTTTACTTAGTCCTCTTTTCCAAAAAAACTTCTTTTTTTTCAAAGCCTTTTTACAAAACAACAGGTTTTATCTAATCAATTACAAATCAATAGGTTTTATAAACAAGACCTGTCGGAGGACAGTAACGCTCGACTATTTGAAAATTTGTCACAAGGGTGTTTCATTGAGTATAATAATGCTTACCTATATGAATACATAAAATTGTAGGAAAAGGTACAAACCCTTCAAGTTTCAATACAATCACAGAGAACAAGTGTGTGAAGTTTCAATTCATTCCCATCAGTAGGAGATACCAGCTTACACGCAAAAACTTAACCAATTCTAAGTCGAAAAAGGGGCATAATTGTGTAAAAAAGCAAATCAGAGTTATGGGACTTGTGCCAATCATCTAAGATAATCACAGAGAACAAGTGTGTGAAGTTTCAATCCATTCCCTTCAGTAGTTATGGAGATACCAGCTTACATACAAAAACTTAACCACGAATTTCTAAGTCGAAAAAGGGGCATAATTATGTAAAAAAGCAAATCAGAGTTATGGGACTTGTGCCAATCATCTTAGATAATCACAGAGAACAAGTGTGTGAAGTTTCAATCCATTCCCTTCAGTAGTTATGGAGATACCAGCTTACACGCAAAAACTTAACCAAGAATTTCTAAGTCGAAAAAGGGGCATAATTATGTAAAAAAGCAAATCAGAGTTATGGGACTTGTGCCAATCATCTTAGATAATCACAGAGAACAAGTGTGTGAAGTTTCAATCCATTCCCTTCAGTAGTTATGGAGATACCAGCTTACATACAAAAACTTAACCACAGGGACGCCGACGCCGACAAATGGGTGACTGCATTAGCTCGATTATTCTACGAATAGTCGAGCTAAAAACGAAGTTTTTTCAAGTAAATATTACCAAAACAACAGCTTTAATCAAGATAATTTTACCCAAACAATGGTTTTATCCCTTCTAGGCTGATGCACAATTATACTGGGGTATGACAATTATTAATGGAAATCATGTACTGCAGTTGCAATGACCTTTAAATGAACATTGCGTGTAAGCAAATTTCTTTTCCAATCTCAAGAAAAAACAACTAAAACAACACACATGTTTACCTGAGGAAGTAGTGAGAGTATCTGAGTTCTCTCATCTGGAAAGAGTTGAACAGTACCATGACTGGCATTGTCTACAGCTTTCCTCCCCCACTTATAACACCATCCTGCGAGAGCATACCATGCTTTAGGTAGAGTATCACATTGTATAGTACTCAGGTGCAGTAGTCTACCAACTATACGATCTGTGTCAGTCAGTATAGGGTTATCTCCTATCCTCAAATCTGTAACATTTAACATAATACTGCAATATGAACAGTACTGAAATTTTTAACATCTTAAACACATGGTTCATTAAATCTAGAAATCAAGTGAAAATTATTTAATGCACAACAAATTTATAGCTCAAATAATACAAAAAGAGGCAGAATTCCTTATGAGCATCCAGATAGTATAAAATGTGTACAAATACAACTAAACTTTAGTTATCATACCATAAACTACACTTTTTGGTGTGTGTGTGTTTTTTAAATACAGGAGAAACCACTTTTATCTGATATTTACTCTTCACTTATTCACAAAATTCAATGTACATTTAAAATTCCAGTCAATTACATAAGTAAAACTTAAAACACCACTTACAAACTAAATGACAAACCACCTTAATATTTTATCCCCATGTGTATAAGAATATAATGAAGAAATGAAATAACTTACCAGAAATCGCTCCATTTATGATAAGGGTGTGGTTACATTCAGCTGTCTTTTCTTCCAGCTCTAGTAACTGTTCTATATTCTGTGATACTGAGTTCTTCCCGTCACCCTGACCAACCTTCAATGCTAGACTTGATAACAATTTATGATCCACCTGTAACCACTTGACCAGAGTGAGCAGTGACCGTGAGCAAAGTTCACTACATAAAGCTGTACGCACTTTATCAGAGCATGTATAATTGACAACACTTTTTGACAAAATGTCAACAGATTCCAAAGGCTCTCCGACACTGTGTAAAAGCTTGGCTGACTCGCGTTCTATTCTTAAAATGTCTAGTTTCTTCAATGAGGACACACTGTACAGTTGTTTGAGAGCAATCTGAAGTGTATCAATATCCGAGTCATTTTCTGATATTCCATGAAGCAAGGTACCAGCCTGGTCTAACAGTAAGTCTTTCTGCCAGGTTAAAATTGTGCTGTTTTCTGGCCAAAGAGGATGTTGCTAACTGAAGTTTACACAGCTGATCACTCAACTCTGAAATTATTAACAAAACAATTCTAAACTCAAAACTTTTCATACTGGTAAATGCACCTAATATGTCACATGCATATTACTTAACAAAACACAACTTCAAATCATGAAAATAATTAGCAGTAATTGTTGTAAGGCAATGGAAATAGTTAGACCTCATCTCTATGGACTAGTTTTTTAAATGTTTTTGAGCTTTTAATATTTTTAAAATATTTCAAAAAAAAAAAAGGGGTTTAAAAAAAAGTAAAAGAGGGAAATTTCCCCAAAAAAAGTAAAGGGGAAACCCCTGTTAAAATTCTAAAACAAAATTAACCCGGGTATATGTTCAAAAAAATTTTTGGAAACATGTGCCAAAAAATCTGTTAACAAACAAATATACTTATTTTTTACAGATATATTTTCAGCTTTATGTAAGTAATTACTACATATTTAAGTGAATGGCAGTCTTACCAGGGTTACCGTAATCAGCAACAAAGTTCTGCAGTTTTACAGCACGGATGGCTTGTAGAAACATACTAATACTGTGATCTGACTCATCTAGTGATAATCTCTCACTCAATGGTAACATAGGTACCTGAAAATAACCACAGTAAACATTCTATATTATTATATAACAAGTTAAAATCATAAAAACAATTCTCAACATACATTAAATGGTTCATACTCAAGTGTCGAACCAAAACTCACTATACTTTTTCCATTTCAATACAATGATTTCTCTACTATATTTGGAAACAAATTTTCAGGCATTGCTGCAAAAAGCCATTCAAACATTCTAAGTACTTTCATCATTTGGGTTTCAACATATAGACTGTATTTGAAAATTTATACTTATCTTGACAGCATACTGGACATACAATTATGTTTTCATACCAAAATATGAAATACTTGTAATTACTTGCTACTTGGTGATTTTATTATTCAGAATTGATTTTAGTTTGATTGTGTAAGAAGCTATAAGCTTATAGACACACTTTCGATTCCCTTCCTGGGAGCAGCCAGTACGGAACAATGAGTGTTAAAGTTCTTGCAGAAGGGGATTGTACTCTAAGTCCTGAACATACTAACTATAGACCAGTAACAAGCAGATTTGAATGATTTTTTATTTCACTATTTTTATTGTTTATGATTTCTTGAATAAAATATAAATTCAAGGTAATTTGAAAATTTCAAGATTATGTCAAATCCAAGAACCATTTCACCATTTTTTTTCAATGCAACATACAGCTTTTCAAAAGCAAACCAATTTTCATGGACTTTTCTAGAATAACATGAATCCTGCATTGGCAATGTAGAAAAAAAAAAAATTCACAAAAAGTGGTCTTTAACAAACATCCCATACAAAATCATATTTCAAATTTTTTTTAACCCTTTACCTGATATATACGCAAAAACAACGCACTTTTCGACCCCCCCCCCCTTTTTAGGCCTGAAATAGTGAAAAAATGTCCTATTTGGCCCCAAACACATGTTTTCGTTTGAGAAATGTTGCTTAAAAAGTGAGCACTTTTTCGGCGCCGCTCCCCATCCAAAAGATACATCAGGGGGTTGCCAGAAGGGGGATGTGCCCCCTTCTGTTTGGGGGGTTTGAAGGGGGGGGGGGCAGAATCCCCCGCATCGCCAAGGAAATTTTGGACTTGTGAGAGGCTAAAAATGACCCCAGGTCGATCATAAGGTAACGTGTAACCAACGCTGAAAAGCCTTTGACTCTATCTCAATCCCTTGAGAAGTTGCAGCACTTTGAAATAAATTTTGATGGAAAAAATCGAGGCAAAATAGTGATTTTTGGCAATTTTGAGATGTCCCCTCGTTACCATGGTAACATGAAATTTAAGACTGAGCAAGTCGTTACAAAGGCATTGGTCCAGTCAACAATTGTATTAAGTTTGATAAGTATTGAAGCATTTTTCATAGTTTCATAGCAGTTTGAACTTGTAACTGGAGGCTTTTCAGTGAAAACGGCCATTTTTCACAATTTGCTCACGAAGGAAAGGGTTAAGCATTTTAAATATTTTACCTTTCCTGTAGCCATTTCAATGTGTGTTTTGAGAGTAGAAGCTGAAGTCAAGAGCTCAACCACATTAGAGGAAGCCAGAATTGGCCAGTCCATCCCCTGTATCCTCAATACTGACTTACATACATCCATTGTTTCTTGTATATTTGTTAATATATCTGACCTATAAAAACAATTTGTGACAGTATGACATATGTAAGAGTTTTGAGTAAACAATTTGAAAGTTTGTATCAACTCAATGTACAGTACAGGAAAGAAAACCCTACAGGTCCAGACTAAATAACGAAGTCATTATGCTTTATTACAAGGTGAGTACATTAATTAACTTATTTTCTTTTCAAGTTATACACAATTAGCAAATAAAATTACATTGGTAAGGTAAATGAATTAAGCATGGACATTTGCTGGCAGGGTCTTGAGTGATTCCACAAATAAAGAAATATTCTTCCAGACATAATTTGTGATCCCTTAAATTATTTAACAACAACAGAATATGATGGTCTTACTTGGATTGTTGAATTATTTCCCTGTTGTAGCTGCAAGCCTCCCCAAAGGGGTTTCCCTGCCAATCCCCCTTCCCCCTATCCCCGGGGACAATCTGACAGACGGGGTTTTCAAAATTTTATGTTTTCTACTCCTTCACTGAATAAAACCCAAAAACTGACAGGGGCTCTAAAAAATAAAAAAAATTTTTAAATATCACAATATCATTTTGAATACCATACAATTTTCGTTGGTAAAACAAGAAAATGTTAAAAATAACCCCTTTAAATTTTTTAAAAATTTAAAAATTCCAAGTGGAAAAAAGCTTTTTTTTCTTTTGTTTAAAAAAACAACTTTTAAAAAAATTTGAGAAATGTAATTATAAATACAGGTAAATTAACAAGCGAATCAACACAGAAAGGAAAGAAATATACTGTTACAAAATCAAACAGGGACAGGTAAAAAACTAGTTAAGGTGTCTGCCCCTAAATGGATCATTGGTTTAAACACTGTAAGGGTTGCATCAATGTTTCCTTATTTGACACGAGTACCAGTTAACGATCAAACAAGTGAAAGTATATTTCCACGATACCATTATGTAAGTTGTGAAGTTGATAAAAGGGCCCACATTACAAGACTGCAAATAAACTTCATGGTTTGTCAGTAATAAGCTACAACAAATATGTTTATACTAAACAAAATAATGTGATCATACTTGATTAAGCACATATCCATGTTGTATGTGGGTTGGGAAAGATTGTGAGAACTCTCTGTACGTAGTTTTGTATATACCTCCTGCCACTCTAGAGCAGATTCCCAGTCATTTAGCTGTATATAACAGTCCATCACCTATAACAGAAACATTCGAATATGATGATGTTTGAATACAGTAATCCCACGGCACTATCTATCAATATAAATAAATTAAGTTTTAAATTGCTTCAACACAGCAAAAATGAAAATATTTAATTCTATATATATATCACACAAGGGCAGATTGCATGAAATTTAATGTTTATTTATTCATCACAAACACACACAGTTTACTTGATAAGGGTGACTAAAAGATGATAGACCAATCAATAATTCTTATTATGCATATTAGAATAATTTATTTCTTATTTAAAGTTTTATATCTTTGTATGTGTATGGGGGGGAGGATGGTTGAGTTTTAAGTCACACCAACATTGTCAGGGTCATATGACAATTTTTCTGGTAGATGAATACCTTAAGTACCTATATGTTATTTCAGGCACAAGCAGGTGCCAAAGGAGACCCAACAACCTTCAATATACAAAATGAACAACTTCCTCACATAAAAGAGCCCAAGTTCAACACATGATTAGAACCCATATCAGTGAGTAAACTTTGATTGTTTTTTGTTTGTTTGTTTTGGGTTTTACATCACATCGACACAGTATAGGTCATATCGCGACGTTCCAGCTTTACTGGTGGAGGAAGACCTCAGGTGCCCTTCCGTGCATTATTTCTGGCACGAACGGGCACCTGAGTAGAACCACCGACGTTCCGTAAGCTAGCTGGATAGCTACCTCACATGAAAGAATCCGCAGACCCTGTCGGGATTCGAACCCACAGCGGTGAGAAAACTTTGATTGAATTCATTTTAAAATTTAAGCACATACAAACTAACCTCATTGACAAACATATTGACTTTGGTGGTAAGAGCCGAGGAAGGTGCTGTAATGGTATCATTTGCTCCAGGTTTACTCAGGATACTGGTAATTTTATCTGACTTTGTCTCACTATCATGATGTGTCTCCTCCTCCTCTTCTGATTGTAACAACACCTTTATCACTGTTCTATACTCCTTTGCTGCTATCTCATACCTAATAATATATCATAGAACATAATAAATTACACAAATATTCTCATGTTCCTTCTAGGAATTATCATGTTAATAATGTTTGTTTGGAGAAAATAAAATGAGAACTTTACCTACATCTCTACATCGAGCATATTAAAATGTTTGCTTTTGTTATGGGTATTAGTTTTACTGCAAATCATGGTTTCATCATTCTATCATCTTTTATCACAATAAATAAACATATCATAATGATGTCCTTTAAAGTATGTTAGTTATTTTTTGCTGAATTAAGAATCTCTAATACCCACAAATCTGAATTATATTTCGAAGTTGTTTATTTTCTGAAAATCCTTAAAAATCTATAGACTAAAGATCTATTTCTCTATCTTTAAAAGATAATAAACTGAAAAGGTCATATTCAATCTAAACGAAGCATTGAAACAGCATGGATGAATTTCTATTCTGAATCCATATATATCGTAAATACAATTCACAACAGTTGTACAATATCAATGGCACAAATTTGACAGGTTGCATGTTAAAAGTCAAGAAGATACTTTCAAGATTGTAAAATCTTTATGTCTAAAAATATTATAACTATAAAATATGTATTAATTTAAAGTATGAAACAATCTACAATTTTAGGTACAGTTTGCGTTACTATCTATTTTTTAATTTACCTTTAGGTATACAAAGAAACACAAAATTAAATCTACCTTCCATAAGCTTTTTCTACAGCAGCTTTGATCCATGTAATCTTTCTACCAATGACATCTTTACACCAGTTATATAACCCTTGTACGGCATCAGCCTCTCCTAGCCGACACAGGGCTTCTACCATAAACTGTATCACCGTCTCAAACTCAGACCCCTGTAAACACACACAAGTAAAACACATATAAAATACACGTGAATATTGAATATCATGCTTTGTATTCATGAAATAGACTTGCCGTGTTTTGAATATACAGCTGTATATCAGTTGTTTCAAGATTAAGTCAGCAGTAATGAGTCTTGTCCAACTAAACTGAGGTGCTGAACTAGCTGGCTCTATAAAGATGACATATATTTGTTATTATCACAGCAAAAGCTCAAAATTTTAACATGACTAAAAATATGGCAAACCTTTCAAATTACAGTGTAATTTATGAAAAACATTCCTCATTTAAGCCAGCAATGTTTAAAGTATGTAACAGAACAGTTATACCTTGAATTTAAGGTGTGCACTGTCAATGTTACTAATTTGATATCAAAATGCTATAATTTAGCATAAAAAATATAGAGCTTCTTTGGACACTTTAAAAGTGAAATCATCTTAGATATTTCAAGGTTAGATATATTAAACCATATACCTGTGTATGATCTAGTTCCTTCATCTCGTGAAGTATCTCTGAAGCATGTCTTACAACAGAAGTGTACATTCCACAATGAAGTGATATCTTCAGCACGAAGATACGTATACGTGACAACCATTCCTGGCAAGTGTTCTTGTTGGTTCGAAAAAATGTTCTTACAGCCTGCCATATAATCACCAATACTTGTGTTAGAATATGTCAACAATCACATGACTTTAAACAAACCTTTAAATATTAAACTGTATGTTTTGTATATGTTCTTTGGGCCGGTGGCCTTTATTTAATAAATAAAAATTCTTGACTTGGTCATTTAAATCAGTTTTTACCTAATTCAAATTGAAAAAAAAAATTCCTGATTTTGTTTAATAAGCAAAAAATACTACTTGTATGCTATCTAAAGGAAAACACATAATAATTCTGACTATTTTGTATTTATAGTAAACAAAAGATTTTTTTATATATCGATACATAAAGAATTCTATCAGTCAAGTTTATTATAACATACATAATGCATAGAAGTCTATTACTACCTTCGGTAAAGCTGGCATGGAAATGGCAGCCCCTTCATAAGCATTATAGAGTTGTTTTTCCAAATGTTCCATGAATTGTAACAATAACTTTACTCTCAGAGCTTTGTCCTCACTCTCAAACTTCTTGTCTGTAAGACAAAAAATACATCTTTTAATTAAAGAATGATCATGATCTTGAAATAACTAGATTTTTTTTGTTAATCTGTTTTCATATTGAATTAACATGTTTCTGGCCTTATTTTGATGGTCGATCTACCTAACCAGATTCCTAGATAACTAACAAGTACTTACCAATTTGTCTGCATATGACAGGCCATACACACCATATAATTTGGAAATGTGCAGAGATAGACAAATTACTTTTATACTCAATGTCCGAGATTAATGTAGCTCCTCTGTGTATTATTTCAAAAGAACCTCACAACTTGAAAAAAAAAACTTTTGACCTCTAAACTAGAACATGAAAATGATAATAATTCAAAGTAAGATAAGTATTTACTTTTCCTTGAGTTCCCTTCATCCTCTGTATTCTGGTTTTCAATTTCAATAGCCAGTGACTTCAGCACAGCTTCTATAGACATGAAAGTCTCTTGTGGCTTGCCTAGTGGAGTCTTCAACCTTGTTAGTATACAGAACTGGGAGGCTTCCCATGTAGCCCAGAACCACTGAACACTTGTATTTCTTGATATCTGAAACAATGTATAAGTTAATTTGTTAAAAAAGAGATCATTTACAAGATGATCATACAAACTTTCACTTTATTACTTCCTACTTTTTAATTCAAATTACAGACTTAAGTTATATAAATATAACTCTGTTAAATATGCTGGGTTTTTGTCAGGAAAGGTATTATAACAAATGGCTAGCCTTACTTAAAACATTCTGATGTATTACGACATATTCTCAGCAGAACAATCAATATTATACATAGTAAAATCCTATGTCTAATTTTAGAACAACTTTAATCTGAAATTATTATCTTACATAGTTCTGCATGAATTGACCATCTGCTGTTTTCCAGTCTGGTTTACTGTTCACTCTTTGTGCAGAATAATACATAGATTCTAACCATGCCAAAGAACCAGTTTGTCTGCAAAAGAAAAAAAATCATCAAAACACCACATGAATACATAATACAAATTAAGTCTAATGATTCAAGTTATAAGAACTTAATATGAAATTAAGTCTCTACATTCAAACATTTATGAAAGTACAGAAAACTTGATCTACTGAAAATATTTTCCTTAAAGCTTAAACAGCAAGTAGACACAGATTATTGAGTTGTCGGTAAATAAAATTCTTACAAATAAGTTGACAGCTATGTCTCTGTTCTATTTTATCTGGATTTAAAAATTGGAAGATTTCTTCCAAAAATTTGTTAATACATACTTGACATGGTTGTTATGAAGGAGGTATCCCAGTACTTGTTTAAAGTTGTGAGAGTGGAATGAGCCGAGAGGTACCCTGGTGGAGTAGTTTCTGCAAACATGCCACATTGCAGGTAATCCTACTGTCAAATCATTGTATACCAACTGCATGTCTTCATCCAACATGTATAAACCATTGTTTTTACTGTAAGTATATAAAATTTAAGGTACATTAATAGTAGTCTTTAAATATTGTTGTATTTCTTAAATTTAAAGCAATATCAATATTAAGGACACATAAAAAAGTAATCTCAAAGTGTATAAACAATTAAGTTATCTGAGAGAATCTGCTTTACACCAAGCATTATTAGTGATTATTGGGCATCAAGATAATCATCTTTTCTCATTTCTTTCAAATACACAAATCTGGTCACCTGAACAATTCTTCACCCTTTCTAACAAATCAAAAGAAAACTACTGTAAAATCATTATTATTCGTGGGGCACGAATTTTCGTGGTTTTCGTGGGTAGATCAATCCACAAATTTAAGATCCAACGAACTTTTATCCCAACAAATACTTCTTACCCAGTCTCTGTTCTATATATTACAAACTCGCGTCGGCTCTTTTCCGGTCGATATTTCGTGAAACGGATGTAATTACAGACAGATAACCAGGTTAGTGACATATTAAATCCGTTTGCAATATTAAGAAAACTCGATTATATGTCCTCAATTGACTGTCACAAATGTCGCATATACATACTTGATCGTTGTAGTCTACTAGGACTTGATTGTGTTAACAAGAATACTTGACATAATCGAGTAAATATGGGAACCCAGGCAGTGCAATAATTAGCGCTAATAAAAATTGTCAGTTTGCTCTTATTAATTAAAAAAAAAAAGTCTTTGATATTAATGACGTAAGTACACAAAACTATAAAAATACGATCGCTTAAACAGATTTATTTTACTTTCTTTTGACGTTTTTAAATGATCCAGTTTATATGAATTTTAATCTGTATTTGTGCGAATGGTATTCCGTAAACATCAAAGACGCCACCGACTTTTACAAGATCCGCATATGCTCATGTTATTTACCGAGAATAATTTATATGCATGTAAATTTACACAGTCGCTGTGACGTTTCGTGTAGTTACTGTCCTAAAATATGTTAAGACCAATTCAGGGTGTAAACTTTTAAACTCGCTAGTTAAAACGTGCCAGGTGTCGTATAAATTATGCGATGTTTACATCGGCGAATTACAGGGGCAGTGTGTGCAATGGAGGTGCATATCATGTCACATAAATGTGTTAATTGCAGTCAATTATCGGCAGTAACTGTGCTATATTAGTTATGCCCAAAGGCAAGTTTTAAATTTATTGACAACCGCTGTGTGACAAGTAAAGATATGTACATGTTGTAAAAATGTTCGGCGATTAAGTTTAAGATTAATTTGCATTAGGTTACTGAATTTTTTTTTAACAAGAAAACGAAATTCCACGAATTTAAGAACCCACGAAAATGCCGGTTTTGATAAAACCACGAAATTTCGTGCCCACGAATATAGGTGAATTCGCAGTACTTCATTAATAATAAAAATTACAAACTGTGTTATAACTCGTATGAATTATAATGAACATATTGCACAAAAAATCAGTCATATTTACAAAGAAAGTATTTTAATTATATACTTTCCAATTATTTTCTCTGAAAGTAAAAATCTTGACTTACCTAGCTGACACATTGACAGGTAACAAACATAATAGAGAGAAGTATGCCTCTGTCAGGTTACCACTGCCTTCTGATAGTCTGTACATACATAGCTTTACACACCTTTAACAAAACAAAAAGAAAATATAAAACTAATACAAAACCATTATATATTACAAAAATATATTATAAGAATATAAGTATGTGTCAAAAATATAGAACAAGAATACAAATATTACAAAAACAAATAATATAAGGTTAACAGTAAAACTAGAGTGAGTAATCCAAATTCAAAGTTTTCAGCTGTCTTTATTGAATATTACCATCATTTTTTTCTTGATAATGACAAAATGTCTATTTAACACTGAGTAAAGTTACATTCTAAGGCAAGAATAAACAAGATATGTTTGTAAAACATGTATGCCCCCTATCAGCAGCCAATTAGTCATGTGATAAGGTTATTATGCATGACTTCTGACCCAGTGATCAAACAATTAATGAGGGTTATAAAGTATCTACTGGTCATGACTTTGACCCCTTGACCCAAAACTCAATAGGGGTCATCTGCTGGTCACGACCAATCATCATACAAAGTTTGAAGTTCCTAAGCCTAGGCGTTTTTAGTAAATTGATCAGAAACCGTTTTTACCTACAAGGTCAATTGTGACCTTGACCTTTGACCCCTTGAACCCCAAAATCAATAGGGGTCATCTGCTGGTCATGACCAATCACCATGCCAAGTTTGAAGTTCCTAGGCCTAAGGGTTCTCTTATTATTGATCGGAAACCGTTTTAACATGCAAGGTCAATGTGACCTTGACCTTTGACCCAAAATCAATAGGGGTCATCTGCTGGTCATGACCAATCACCATGCCAAGTTTGAAGTTCCTAGGCCGAAGCGTTCTTTAGTTATTGATCAGAAACCGTTTTTCTTACTTACAAGGTCATTGTGACCTTGACCTTTGGGCTTAATCCCAAAAATCAATAGGAGTAATCTGCTGGTCATGACAAATCACCATACCAAGTTTGAAGTTCCTAGGCCTAAGTGTTCTTGAGTTATTGATCAGAAACCGTTTTTACTTACAAGGTCAATGTGACCTTGACCTTTGACCCCTTCACCTAAAACTCAATAGGGGTCATCTGCTGGTCATGACCAATCATCACACAAAGGTTGAAGTTCCTAGGCCTAAGCCTTTTAGTAAATTGATCGGAAACCGTTTTTACCTACAAGGTCAATGTGACCTTGACCTTTGACCCCTTGACCCCAAAATCAATAGGTCATCTGCTGGTCATGACCAATCACCATACAAGTTTGAAGTTTCCTAGCATAAGGGTTCTTAAGTTATTGATCGGAAAGCATTTTTACCTACAAGGTCAATGTGACCTTGCCTTTAACCCTTAACCCCAAAATCAATAGGGGTCATCTCGCTGGTCAATCACCATACCAAGTTTGAAGTTCCTAGGCCTAAGGGTTCTTTAGTTATTCATCGGAAACCGTTTTTACCTAAGAGGTCAATGTGACCTTGACCTTTGACCCCAAAATCAATAGGGGTCATCTACTGATCATGACCAATCACCATACCAAGTTTGAAGTCCCTAGGCCTAAGGGTTCTTTCATTATTGATCGAAAACTGTTTTTACCTACAAGGTCAATGTGACCTTGACCTTTGACCCCTTAACGACCCAAAATCAATAGGGGTCATCTGATTGGTCATAACCAATCACTATACCAAGTTTGAAGTTCCTAGGCCTTAAGGTTCTTTTAGTTATTGATTGGAAACCGTTTTTACCTACAAGGTCAATGTGACCTTGACCTTTGACCCCTTGACCAGCCCAAAATCAATAGGGTCATCTACTGATCATGCCAATCACCATACCAAGTTTGAATATTTTCCTAGGCCTTAAGGTTCTTTAGTTATTGATCGGAAACCGTTTTTGCTTAAAGGTCAATGTGACCTTGACCTTTGACCCCTTGACCCCAAAATCAATAGGGGTCATCTACTGATCATGACCAATCACCATACCAAGTTTGAAGTTCCTAGGCCTTAAGGTTCTTTAGTTATTGATCGGAAACCGTTTTTTTTGCTTTCAAGGTAAATGCTGACCTTGAACTTTGACCCCTTGACCCCAAAATCAATAGGGGTCATCTACTGGTCATGACCAATCACCATACCAAGTTTGAAGTTCCTAGGCCCCCTTAAGGTTCTTTAGTTATTGATCGGAAACCGTTTTTTGCTTTCAAGGTAATGTGACCTTGACCTTTGACCCCAAAATCAATAGGGGTCATCTACTGATCATGACCAATCACCATACCAAGTTTGAAGTTCCTAGGCCTTAAGGTTCTTTAGTTATTGATCGGAAACCGTTTTTGCTTACAAGGTCAATGTGACCTTGACCTTTGACCCCTTGACCCCAAAATCAATAGGGGTCATCTACTGATCATGACCAATCACCATACCAAGTTTGAAGTTCCTAGGCCTTAAGATTCTTTAGTTATTGATCGGAAACCGTTTTTGCTTTCAAGGTCAATGTGACCTTGACCTTTGACCCCTTGACCCAAAAATCAATAGGGGTCATCTACTGGTCATGACCAATCACCATACCAAGTTTTTGAAGTTCCTAGGCCTTAAGGTTCTTTTAGTTATTGATCGGAAACCGTTTTTTGCTTTCAAGGTCAATGTGACCTTGACCTTTGACCCTTGACCCCAAAAATCAATAGGGGTCATCTACTGGTCATGACCAATCACCATACCAAGTTTGAAGTTCCTAGGCCTAAGGGTTCTTTAGTTATCACTCGGAAACCATTTGGTCTACGGACCGACGGACCGACGGACCGACAGACCGACGGACCGACAAGTGCAAAGCAATATACCCCCTTTTCTTCGAAATGGGGGCATAATCATAAACTTACCCCTTCACAATATATTTAGGATATGCTTTCGGGTTTTTAAACAGGCTAGTAAGACAACACTGTACAGATGCACCAACTTCCTCCTCCTGGTCATAGCCAAGGTGGTACAGTGCTTGAACCAAGGTCAGGAACTGCCGGGTTGTGTATACATGCTGACTTGTGTTCAGGCTTGATATAATCTCTGATACCCACTTCAAAGCCAGCAGTCTAGATTAACACAAATATCTAGTGATCAAACAAACGACAGACCATTTTATTATCAGAACAATATGCTGTTGTCTAAATGAACACCAATATGTAGTGTTACATTTACCCCAAACATACATGTCTATCTCCAAGACTAAGAACATCAGATCTATACTATACGACTTAAAATCAAATTTAAAAGGAAATTTGGCTTTCTTTAATCCTGAAAAAAATATTATAATGTAGCAATAGTAAAAGATTAGGAAATTTTCACTTCCATTTTAAGTTGGAGAGACATTATAATGGAAATACAAGTTACAGTTAACACATTTTCTTCACATAAGAACTTACTATTTTGATTAAAATACAACATTGTTGAGGAGTTTAGTATACTTACTTGCAATCAAATGCAGTATTAGAGTGTGTACATAAGTCTGCCAACATTTTGAGAAGCCGTGTAAAGTTAGAGCTTGTGCTGGGGTTTACATTGGCAAGTAATGCTCCTTCCAAAGGTGTGTTTTGGGTAAATAGCGCACTTGTTGATATGAAATTCCCATGTCTGAAAATATACAATCAAAGTATGCTCAATCAAAAACAACTTGAAAATCTTTATGGTACTATAATGTCATGTTGTATTTCTGTTTAATTATATAACAACAACAAAGAATTTAAATTCACCAAGTTTGTTATAACCCTATCTGGAGTATGTTACAAATTGATTTACAAGGTCAAATGATTATATTAAATAAAATGGAAATCATATAACTCGTTGCCTTTATACTTCCTATGTATTGAACTACGAATGTAAATCATGCATGTACTTGAGAAGAGAATCTAAGTACCTGCTTCAATTGTATGAAAATTTAAATTACAGTCAACATAAATAACTTAAATTGTATCTATATAAAACTTCCTACCTGGTAGCATGAGAGTACAGTGACTGTAAGATGGCATACTGTAAGGCTGGATACTGTATACTAATAGATGCTCGAACAACATCCAGATGTCTACAGTACAAGTCAAACAGGCTTGGTGATAATGCCCACATCTGTAAATATATACTAAATATATCTGCTTGTTTCTCTCCATTAACTTTATACCGCCTTACATTTTATATATTTATGCTTATCAGGTAACAAATAAAATCTTAGGAAATTGTCTTTTAATAAGTGACAATTATATTTAACAGGCTGTTCATGGTATATCTATGTATGTACTATCAGGATTAACGTTGAATACCTGATATTTGAGAATCTACTTACACCAATCAGATTGTTCTTGGTATTGCCTATCTCCCCCAGTACATACAGACAGAATATGCATGTGGCCTCGGCTTCACGTTTGTTATATTTAACACTGCTATATGGGTTGTTAGGTACAAGTTCTATCAAGTTATCATCTCCACTACTCTCGAGTAACCTATTAAACCCACACTGTATGTCTCCCAACAAGTGCCTGAAACATCATCATATTTACCTTTCTTGATAAATACACAGCAATTAACTTGAAGCAAAATTGTTAAGGCTTGATTTATGCAAGGATGCAATTTAAGTAAATGGCTTATCACATACTTAACTTTACCAGTAAACTCTTCTGAGTTAACGTTATGGTTGTGCTATTTATTATCAATTTTAAAGATTATATCATACGGAATATACAGGACAGTAAATCATCAATTCAAATGTGGATTGGAATCTAGTGTTATACAGCTGGCATAGATCTTTTTGCATTGCAACTGCCTGCACTGCTTAGTAAATAAATGAAGGAAACTAACACAATGAAAACATAACATTCAACATGTAACTTTTCCTTTTTAATTTAGACACATTGTTTCTTCCTGTATCTCTATCATCATACATACTACATGTAGACAGTTTATTACCTGTATGTCTCCTCTAACAAAGGAATGCTTTTCAGACTCAGCAGACTCTGATAAACTGATGACAGCTCCTTTAATACCTGAAAATTATTTACATCAAACACATAATTATATAATGAGTGGTGGCATGGCCGAGTGGTTATTGTGTTTTATTAGTAATCTAAGGATTGCTGACAGTGTGGGTTCAAACCCCGTCAGGGACAAGCCATTGTTTCCTCGAGTAAGAAACGTTACATTCATGCTTAGTACCAGTTGGTTCCAGGAACAGATTCGAGAGTGTTTTAATAAGCTTATAGTTCCAACACAATCAAACTAAAATAAATTTGTATTAACTAAAACAATAACACTTCTGAATTAAACATTGATTTCTAAAAAATGGATAATTTCTATTTCCATACATTAATAACCCTTAATTTTAAATATCTTGAATGGACAAATTAATTCATCATTTTTAGGGGGAAATTTTAAAATATGTACAGACTGAATAGCTATCAGTGCAAACAATGAACAAATGGCAAAAATTTGTTAGCTGATCATGGTTTGCACTTGTTACTTAGTTAAATTCAATGGAAGTCCGCAGACTGTGGATTAAATAAAGCTCATACAGTTATACTATCAACTAAATATTGGCTATATCAAAACAATAATGAGTTTAAGCAATATGTATTTCAATTTCCAGTATTTATTACTTACCTCAGGTGAGATGGATGTTTTACAAGTATGAAGTAGTGAATCAGGCTTCAATACATGTGATAACCATTGTACTGGCAGCTGTACACCAAATAATTCTATCACCTGAAAAAAAAACAGTAATATTTACACAATCTGGTTTGCAAGGTTGGAACAACAGGCTTATTTGTTTCTTAAAATTAAAACAAAATAAAATATCATAATACAGTTCTAAAAACTAACGTCAAAGACTGTACACTTGTATATGTATGAGTCATCTATTTGTATCATTTATCATAAAGAATATTTTTTTAACAGCCTAAATTTATCAATCAAGTAGCTGTTAACCTGCGAGAACAACATATTACAATAGATCGTAGATTTGAAAAATGTGAAATGTTGTGTTACATTTTTGTATGTAAGTTGAAAACAGAATATTATATATAAATACCTTTTTCATAATTTTCAATGCCATACAAGAGTATTTGTTCCTGACCCTATGTACAGGAAACATAACTGTAGAAACATAACTGAACAATGTTTCCTGGCATGACAGAATATCCTGTTTAATGAGGTTCAACAGCAGAAACAAACAGTCATCAGCTGAAATCACAACAGTTTTGTCTGTCATTTACTTTTAAGAAATTTCTAGTTTGAAAGTAAATCATATTAATAATAATGTTTAGGTAATCAAATAGAGCTCCTTGTATTTTGTCTACCAATATAAGACTTCCACATTATAGCACAAGCAAGATGGAAGAATTTATCGAATTTATCACATGAAAAACAACATTTCCTTCAATGTCTTTTACAAACAGCAAAAACTTCAGTATGGAGAAATAATACACACGTTTTCAGACAATTCTTTAGTATAAATGATACCACTGGTTCAATATACATGCACTTTGTTTTTATAATGATAACAGTTTACTGCCTTAAATTTTTAGAATGAATAAAGTCTAAAGTAAACAAATCTGTCCAATCATAACAACATTTATGTGTTATTGCTTTTTCTCTCACAGAAATATGTACATAAATCTTGGAATTATCAGCAATATAACTTCCCTTACCTGTGATTACAACATACTCAGAAAAGTAACATTTCATGGATGTATCTATTGCATGTATTGTCTTTTCAAATACCTATAAAAATATATTATAATTATAATCTGTATGAGAAAAAGTATTTCAATTCATAAACTAACATTTAATTTTTATTATCTATTCCAAAGAAATAAATATGCAAGGTTATATCATCAAAACATTTAACGATTATTATCAATTTCATATAGGAAATAAATATTCAAGGTAATGTCAACAAAAAATTTAACATTTATTATCAATTTCACAGAAATAAATATTCAAGTTAACGTCAACAAAAAATTTAACATTTATTATCAATTTCCCAGAATTATTCAAGTTCATGCCAACAAAACATTTAACATTTATTATCAATTTCATGGAACTAAATATTCAAGTAAATGTCAACAAAAAATTTAACATTTATTATCAATTTCATGGAAATAAATATTCAAGTAAATGTCAACAAAAAATTTAACATTTATTATCAATTTCATGGAAATAAATATTCAAGTAAATGTCAACAAAACATTTAACATTTATTATCAATTTTATGGAAATAAATATTCAAGTAAATGTCAACAAAAAATTTAACATTTATTATCAATTTCATGGAAATAAATATTCAAGTGAAGGAAACAAAACCTAAGAATATAACAGATATCTGACTTATAGAGAAAAGACATTAAAATTGTCATAGGATGAGACAAATAAGTAGCCTGATAGAGAATGTAAAACCCATAAAAATCTTTTCAGCAAATGTTTTACACTGAATTGAGCTAACTGGCTGATTACAAAGACTTATATTATTAGAGATCAGTAGCATACCAAGATATGCTGACCAAAATGTTTTATGACACTAGTTAGTAAGTCAGAAAAATATCTCTAAGGATCTGCTTAGCATCGTTCAAGTGTTATATACCAAATAATCTCAAAGAATGTACAGTATAACTATATGTGTAACTTACCTCCAGAAAGTAATGCATGTTCATCAACCTTGACTTGTGTGGATCAAAATCTTCACCGAGACTTTTGATAACAGTAGAGAAAACCTTCAACAGTGATCCAATCTTTACCACCTCATCTGGTATGTCAACTCTCGACTTTGCATGCTTATCTTGTAACACTATGTTTAGATCCTGTACAAGATGTTTACAAAAATAGCTACAATTTGGCTACATAGCTTTATAATATTTATAATGATATATCCTTAAAAATGAAATAAACATTGACCAAAACCATCTCATAAATTTTCAAACAGCAGAAATTTCACTGTTCCATATTTAATACATGTAAGTTTTAAATTTCTTAAATTTTAACTGCTTGCACACAATAGAGAACATTGAGATGATTATCCTTTAATTACAGTATCAAAACATAAGAGTTATCTACTGACCTCTGCATAAGCCTCCATATCTTCTAGGAACTGACCAAGAAGTTCTTGTGTAAATGGCTGATCTGATACCCAGAATTGTTTAAATGATATGAGAGCCTTTGATGTGAAGTCTATCACTCCATTACGCTGTGTCGAGTCTATATGCCAGCCGACCAGAATGTCAACTGTGTCCTGTTTGTATTACAGAAATCAACTAATTAACAAATAACTTCTTTTAGTGGCAATAACAAATGACCACTGTCACCAATGTAGAGCCAGACAGGTATTCATTCTTTACAGTCTAATTGCACTCTATACTTCTGGCTACGCAATTTTTGAAAAAGAACATTTTAAAGGACACCAGCAGAATTTTTTTTTTTAATTTTTATTTTAATTTTCATTAAACCACAAGAGATTAAATTAAACTGTATGGATAAGGCTTAATATTATTAAGCATCCTGTTATTACATTTTATTCCTGAAACTAAAAGCTTTAACTGTGCAAATGGATAACCTACCCTAAAATAATCCTGGAAGATGAGTGGGTAGACTTTGGTAATCTGTAGTATAACAGTGACCACAGATACCAGTAACTCTGGGGTATCAGCATTCTCTAACAATGTCTGTAGGTGATTCAGTACAAGCTACAACAATAAAATACACATGTCACACATTTACAAAATAGTTTTTAAGAGTTACAATGATTAACTAAGTAAACAAAAATATCCTCAGAATTAAATAAATTTCATACGTAAATTTGGCAAGACAATAGAAATTTCACTAAGGTATAAATTACAGGAACTCCACTGAGGTCCAAAAGCCTAAAAACATAAAATTTATATTTTTTACATAGATCAACTGGGGCACTTGAAACCGAAAATATACAAAAACATTGAAACAACTGAGGAATATTCTCAGAAAAAAAATGGAAAGGCTTAATTTTGTGCAATTCTTGGCACATTTGAGTGAAAAGCATTACATATCGTTTTTCAATTTTGGATCATTTTCCACAATTAGAATAATTATTCTGGAAAAAATCTGATCTGAAATTTTGCACCTTATTTACTGATCTAGACCATCATAAAATTCAACATTTTTGAAAATAATCTCGAAAAATTATTTTCAAAAATTATTTGTCCTGTCAAAAATCCTTAGTGGAGTCTTTTTGATAGGTTTCATCATTATATGTTTGTAAATACTGTAAAGTCATTCTAAGCTTGGAAATATTACACATAATTTGAGTTAAAAAGTTAAGAAAACATGAAAATTGTTCATTTTTCATAGACAAATAGAACAACAAACACTGAACTCCTGTTTGATTTTCATATCTTATTTTAAGCAAATACTTTGCTTTTAGCTAAGTTATACTTACAGGTGTAAATTCAGCTGTATTCTGCTTCTTCTCATCACATTTCAATGTCTGGACAAAAAATCAAAATACAAACTATAGTTATTTCACCTTTTATATATAAAAAAGCATGCTACATGTATTATACACGTTTGGCAGACAAAAAAACGCATTAAGTACATTTTTATGAATAACTGTAACCATTTTACTGCTGGTGGATTTACCATTTGAATTTGTTGGCATTTATTTGTAATCTTAAGTTAATTGAATATATAGTGCATTTGTTTTCAAACTGACAACAAAACAAATGCCAAATGATCAATAAATGACTCAAGTTTCCTATTTCTATCTCATACAGTGAGCAGAAAATTTGTGGGAATGGCACAATGTAATGAAGGGCATGATTTTTCTCTATTTCACATTAACTTCAGATGCAGACAAATACATGTACTTACGTTTTGCTAACTGAAAAATACTGACTTCTCTCAATAAGATATAATCAATATAACTCAATACAACTTACTCTAATTATTATCAATATTATTAACAATATATCAATTAAAAGGATAAAAGTTTTGGGTTTTTTAAAATAGAATCATAACAAACATATTTGACAAATTACACATTTGAAAAAAATAACAACATTTTTGAAGCTTAATGGGCTTTAAAATTTGTAATTGTAAGAGATTTTAGTACCAAAATACTTAAACTGATCAGTATAGTCTGAGGTTATTATACATTTAGGTTCTCGTTGACCTCCGTACAGTGACCTATTTCTGGCTTAAATTTATCTTTGGCTGGAAATTGCATGGAGGTAAATCATCATCACTTTGTGCTTCAAAATTAAACCTTTAAGGGCACGATTGGCAACATGTCCAGGGTATTTGACAGCAAAACCTGCTTATTGTGCCTTAATATGGACCCTCATTAAGCATACAATACATACACTTTAATATGACTCAGTAAACTCAATAAATCTTACCTCTAGCAGAGCATCCAGAAACAGCACCCTAACATCATCCTCTATCAAACTGTTCACTTGCCCAAATAACCAGTTGAAATATCTGTAATCCAACAAAAACTCCATAGATATATTAATATATTTAACATACATGTACTTAATTATTATAGATTATGTATCATAAAGCAGCAACAGTTTTCAAATATTTACTACATTTCAACAGTAGTGAATTACAAATTCACTTTAACATTACTGAGTAAACATATGTCATTTAAAAGTTTCTTGTCCTTACCAAAACATTCACTATTTTTTGTTACATTGAGGTTGGTATCTTTAAATCATTTTAACACTGTACGTTTACCATTATTAATGACATTCAAGCTTTAACTGGTGAGGTTAAGTCAAAGATTACCTTCCTAATAATTCACGGCAATGGTTAGTATGTGTTTTGAACATTTCACCTTAAACAAGCTACTAGGTAGTACCTGAATTTCTTTTTCATTAAAAAAAATAATTTATTAGTAAATATTTACCTGTGAGCTTCCTGTCCCATCAGACTGCCGATCAGTCCTATACAGTATACAATTTCATTCTTCACATCCTTATACCCTCTGAAATAATATAACTATACCTTACACAACAAATAAAACTAATATACAATGATATCAAATGAATTTGAGCTACTAAGGTCCACATCTATAAGCAACATTTTTTGGTTCAGTTTTAAAATACACTTATGCTAATTCTGGTAATATGGTAGCCTAGCAACAATTATGCCTTGAATTTACTAATAACATAAAAAATGCTAGCTTCCGTAAACACCAGTTAAAACATATTAACACTTTCAGGTTCATATTCTACGGCAGTTTGTATCAGTATTTCAATGACCTTTAGTTCACTTCCTTGGATTGGTGATTGTGTTAAAAAAGGACTGACATCACTGCATCGTACTATGTGCAGTTCCAGATATTCTAGGTCAAAGTTTAAAAAGTAAATGCCATTATATATTGTTACCCTATTACAACAAATAAGATTCTATAATTAATTGACTGATGTATAAACATATTATTTACATTATGGTACCAGGTTTATTTTAATTTATCATTTCTTCTTCACAAAAAAACAAAACATTCTACTTCAATAGTATATAAAATAAAAGATTTTTGTAATAAAAAGATACATACCTTTCAAAGAAGACATCTTTTAATGTTGACAACACCTCCTCTCCATTCCTTGCAGCATACTGAATGGAAAATTACATTATCACATGCTGGTGCAAATATAAAATTTACTGGCAGTATTTCTTACTAGGATGGAGATCATTTATTTCAATAATTTACCATAAATGCTTGTTAGTCATTTTCTACAGTACAAACAAAGAAACTATGTATGTTTTTAGGTTTTAAGTAATAGTTAGTACTTTCTTTATTGCTTAAGTATCTTCTATTATGCTAGCTTACAGAACATTGATGGTTCTACTCCAAGTGCTGTCTGCACATGCCTGAAATAATGCATGAAGTTGTACCTGAGGTATTTCTCCCCCAATAAAACTGGAAATTTGACATATGACTTCTACTGTACTGGTGTGACAAAAAATTCAAAAGTTTTCATCATTCAATAAGAGTGTATACTGATAAATAGTTAAGATTTTTGTTTAATGTTTCAATGAAAATTTGTCAAATATTCACAAAATTTTACAAGCAGTATAGTAGAAGCAAATAGAGAATGGTTCATGCAACAGTGATAATACTGTTTATCTTTCTTTACACTGGGCAAAATTTCGTTTTATTGAAGGACAAGTGTACAGGTTCAAACCCAGTCATTGGCAACTGTTGTTTCCTTGAGAAACTTTCAATTAATTGCTCAGTTCAAGACACAAATTCAAGAGTGTGTCTATAAGCTTATAGCTTCCTTCACAGTCAAACTAAAATAAATTTTGTGTAAACTAAAGAAAAACACTTGACTTGCATCCTCTAATACCAGTTTATGTTGAATGTCACCAAGTATCATTCCTCAAAGAGTAACAGTAAAATCAACAGAATGTCTTCAGAATGATCAAAATATACATACCTTTGAACCCTCAGGTGAGTGCAGGTAATCAACTAGTTGTTTTGCTGTCCCAAGCTTTCTTTCCCTCTCTGACTCTCTCTGGATTCTTCGCGACAGCTTCGATAATCGAGACTCTTCCACGTATGGCTTGCTGGAATCTAAATATCAAACAAAATAATGAATGCCTAAGCGCTTAGTATTTATTCCTGATAACATTTAAATATGATTTATTGGACTCAAAGTGTTGTGAATATAAAATCGTTTGTGCAGATTTTGGAGTTTTCTTAGATAAACATCTACAATAAAGCATATATATAACAATTTAGAATTTAAGTGCAGCCAGGCTGGTCCAGCTATATACAGCAACTTTTAAACACATTCATGAAAATTGATACAGTATAATCCTTCATATTTTAGAGAGTTTAATCTCTTTTTTAAGGGGAAGAAATTAATCTATAACAAACCAAACAAGGCATAAGTATAAATATACAAAATGAAAATTCACAGTAAAATATATCCATACTGGTACTACTATTTTAATGATACAATGCACCTTATGAATACAGTTATTTCTTCAAAATTAACTTTTTTTTTACTATCATGCACAAATGTTTTGGTAATGTGCTCATTATAAAGAGAACAGTCAACAAATTTCATATTAGCATTAAAATAAGCCGCAGCTTTTAAGCTGCATGCCTCCAGAGGAGTCAAAATATTTCAAGAAAATTTAACTGGGAGAGGACACTCATAAGCTTTATAGGTCTCTGCCCAAACCCAAAATGTACTTTGTAAATATTGTTCAATTGTTAAATGTTTTGATGAATAAATATGTTTAAACCAAAATTAAACTTGAGAAAAGTATACTACTAAGATTTTAAGAAAAGTAAAAAGATTCAGGACTCAAGAAATAATTTGCATGTTCTGTGTGATGTTTAATTTTGCAGTATATATATCACCATATTTATCACATAAACCGCGGCGCAGGAGAGTAATAAAGCCATGTGATAAAAACGATATTACACTAGTGTAATAACACTTTGACGTGACGTCATTTGCGCTATATAGAAACATAGCGTTATTTTAAAGCGCGCTAATGTTAGCGTTACACTATAGACGGTCATTGAAAAATTACTCATTTTAACACTTAACTGTTCTTATTTTATATATGTGATAAATAGAATATTATATTCGTGTAGATTCAATTCTAAATTTATTGAACTCGTTGAATAAAACAATATTATGCTCGCCAGAGGCTCGCATAATATGATTTTATTCAACTCGTTCAATAAATTTAGTATTAAACTACACTCATTCAATATCCTCTATTTCTACTATGTGACCAACACACTAATGACTACTTTTGCATATTTTGACCTTTTTTGTAATTTATGTGGATTGTAAGTGCCATTTGCAATGTGTACATTACTTTATTTGTTCCATTCCCAATATTTTTCTTTAAAATACATTTTCATAAAAATTAGCAGGAATCTGGAGGCATGTTGCTTAAAAAAAAGTTTGAAGTTCATAAAATGTTTATGCCTGAGCAAAGTTTATTAGAAAAGACCAAAACTGATAATGATACTAGGATGTTATTAGAACTACAAAGGGAGTTCATTATATACTGAGTGTTTTATTCATTATAAAGTATATATAAGAATGTATTAGTATTTTCATATTTGAAATCCTTTTTGTGTTTAACCCATTACGCGTTATACACGCCTTTTAAAGCCCTTTTCACCCCCCCTTTTTTGTTGTCTCAAATGGTGAAAGAATGCCTTATTTAGGCACCCAACACTTGTTTTTGTTTGAGAAATGTTGTTAAAAAAAGTTACCGCTTTTTCGGCGCGGCCCCCAACCAAACTAGAACTATCACTAGATGTGATTTTTACCGCCACAAAATTGCTTCATAAATGAGGATGTTACTATAGTAACAGAATACCTTGTAAAAGAATTGAAATATAGAGTTATGGTTAATTAAAGATAGTTGTGGTTCTTGTATGTTGCATTTCCTTTCAATGTGGTTGGCCATTGATGAAGTTTTATTGAATTACTCTGTAATAAGTCCAGAAAGACAAGGAAAAGAAACAAAGGGCAATAACTTTATAAATACTGAAGATGGAGTTATAGTTCTTGTGCACTGCACTTCCTCTTATTGTGCTTGACCATTGTATGAATTTGTTTTGAAGTCCAACCAGTATGTTTTAAGTTATGCTCCGGACAAGGAAAAGTATCACAGGGCAGTAACTCTGTATTTTGTCAAAATGGAGTTATGGCTCTTGTGCACTGCACTTCCTTTTAATTTCCTTGACAACTGTATGAAGTTGTATTGAATTTCAAACAGTAGTTTTCAAATTATGCTCTAGACAAGGAAAAGTAACAAAGGGCAGTAACTCTGTAATAAGTCAAGATGGAGTTATGGTTCTTGTGCACTGCACTTCCTCTCAATGTGCTTGACCATTGTATTAAGTTATAATGAATTCCAACAATTAGTCTTCAAGTTATGGTCCGGACAAAAGAAAGCAATGGAAAAGTAACAAAGGGCAATAACTCTGTAATTACTTTAGATAGAGTAATGGTTTTTGTGCACTGCACTTCCCCTTATTGTGTTTGACAATTGTATGAAGTTGTTTTGAATTCCAACCAGTAGTTTTCAAGTTATGCCCCGGACAAGGAAAAGTAACAAAGGGCAATAACTCTGTAATTACTTTAGATAGAGTTATGGTTCTTGTGCACTGCACTTCCCCTTATTGTGCTTGACAATTGTATGAAGTTGTTTTGAATTCCATCCAGTAGTTTTCAAGTTATGCCCCGGACAAGGAAAAGTAACAAAGGGCAATAACTCTGTAATAAGTCAAGATGGAGTTATGGTTCTTGTGCACTGCACTTCCTCTCAATGTGCTTGACCATTGTATTAAGTTATAATGAATTTCAACAATTAGTCTTCAAGTTATGGTCCGGGCAAAAGAAAGCAATGGAAAAGTAACAAAGGGCAATATCTCTGTAATTACTTTAGATAGAGTTATGGTTCTTGTGCACTGCACTTCCCCTTATTGTGTTTGACAATTGTATGAAGTTGTTTTGAATTCCAACTAGTAGTTTTCAAGTTATGCCCCGGACAAGGAAAAGAAACAAAAGGCAATAACTCTGTAATTAGTCAAGATAGAGTTATGGTTCTTGTGCACTGCACTTCCTCTCAATGTGCTTGACCATTGTATGTAGTTATATTGAATTCCAAACATTAGTCTTCAAGTTATGGTCCGCACAAAAGAAAGGAATGGAAAAGTAACAAAGGGCAATAACTCTGTAATTACTTTAGATAGAGTTATGGTTCTTGTGCACTGCACTTCCCCTTATTGTGTTTGACAATTGTATGAAGTTGTTTTGAATTCCAACCCGTAGTTTTCAAGTTATGCCACGGACAAGGAAAAGTAACAAAGGGCAATAACTCTGTAATTAGTCAAGATAGAGTTATGGTTCTTGTGCACTGCACTTCCTCTCAATGTGCTTGACCATTGTGTGTAGTTATATTGAATTCCAATCATTAGTCTTCAAGTTATGCTCCGTAGGAAAATGCAACGGACGTCTGGACCGACCGACCGCCCAACTGGGTAACTCCTGTATACCCCCCCAAACTTCGTTTTTGGGGGAATAAAGATACAACGGGGGGTGCCAGAAGGGGGATGTGCCCCCTTGTGTTTGGGGGGTTTGAAGGGGGGCGGCAGTGCCCCTCATCGCCAAGAAAATTTTGGACTTGTGAGAGGCTAAAAATGCCCCCTAAATCATAAGGTAATGTGTACTAACGCTGAAAAGCATTTGACTCTATCTCAATCCATTGAGAAGTTGCAGTACATTAAAATTGATTTTGATGGAAAAAATAGTGATTTTTGGCCATTTTGAGATGTCCCCTCGTTGCCATGGTAACAGAAAATTCAAGTCTGAGCATGTTGTTGCAAAGGCAATGGTCCAGTCAACATTTGTGCCAAGTTTGATTAGTATTAAAGCAGTTTTTATAGTTTTATAGCAATTTGAACTTGTAATGGGAGACTTTCAATGAAAACAGCCATTTTTCACAAAATGCTCATGAAGTAATGGGTTAATATTGCCATTTTTAGATAAGCATATTTGTGTGCATCACAGATATGAAGACTTTTAGATTATCATACATGTAAGTCAAAGGCTTTTTTGCTCTCAATATAATGAATATTCACTAGAAGGAGAAAATTGAAAATAAATTGCAATTTAAACTTATTTATTTATAACATTACTTATGGGGATTTCTTTCTATTTTTTTTTCAGAACAAAAATAAATGACATACTATAAATAAACAATTTGGAAAGCCAACTGATATGAAATGATAAATCTTCTATAAATAGAAATTAGGTATGAACTGTTTCTAAAAATAGAAACTAATACAAAATCTTTTGAAAAACTTATTTTGCACTTCTATATATACATTGTATTAATTCTACTTTAGAATGTATAACTTTTTACTGCAAGTTAAGTTTTAAATATGAAAGAAAAACTAAAATCTACTTCAATAAAAGAAACATTTTTAAATTACAATTTCAAAATATGATCATACTATTAAGTTTACCTTTATAATGGTTTAATGGGGTTAAATTTTAAATAACAGATCATCATTTATGTGATTTAGCAATCTTATTTATATAATATTAATAACTTGATATAGAGAATAGTTCATCTCCAATTTTTCTGTCATTTTAAAAACAGATGTACAGGTGTAAACTGTAAATGGTAACATGAAATTATGTACTGACATCTTTTGAATATTTTGAAAGGTAAACACTTTTATGTGGTGAACAGCATAAATATTCAATTTATTTCAAAGACAGTTTAGGGATTGTAATGTCTTGCTTCCATGTTCATTGCAAGAGAAAATTTGGACAAAATTAAAAATGGAATAAAGTCAATAAAAACCTTTGGTGACTACTTTAACTGCTTTAATAAAACCTTTATATCTGCCTGAAACAAAGTTACAATATAATGAACTTATCAATATTATAACCATGCCACAGCCCAATGCCAGTAGGGAAATAGCTGGGAATTCAACAATCAGATTTTAAAAAACCTTCATATAGGCCCCACCCTTAAGAAACAGTCAGTTTATGTATATAAAAAAAAATTAACAAAAAGTCCTGTTGTGTGATATGTACCAACACTTGCTTTTTTTTTTGAGAAAAGAAAAACAAACCAAGGCATGGATCCAGAATTATAAAATTGTTCCACTTTAAATAAAACAAATTATGTTTTGAAATGGAGCAAATCGTTTAAGTTTTAATATTGATAACCTACAGAAAAAAATGACCAAAGATTTCATTTTAATTTACACAAATATACCAAAAGAAACATATAGATTCAATCAATTAATGTTTGGACCATTCATATTTTCAGGCAGAGTGAATCTGAACTAATCTGGGACAAATGATCTCAATGTTGGAGCAAAACATTATATACACATATATCCAAATAAAGATGCCTTTCTTTTTACTTTTCAGCAAACCGGGTGAAATGGAGAGAGACAAAGCGACTATTTCGCCCAAGTCGCCTAAAAATGTGTCCCCTGTACAGAAGAGCTATATGTCAATCTCAAAACATTAATCTTTATCAATTCTGATCTGACAGTGTGACATCTGACACAGACAAGAAGTAAAAACTCTGCTCATTTCCTGTCCTTTGATGCAATTGGGTTGGCCACAGCAGTCAGCCTTGAGGCCTTCAAAGGAGGACTAGTCATGGGGCCCTAAAATGCTGAAGTTGATTTTACTTTTAACCTGTTCTGCCTTTAAACTTGCGCAGCATTTATTCGTCACACAACACTTTGTACATACACCCTGTATGTAAATACCCTAGAGCAAGTTATGTACAGAAGAAGAACCTGACTGGAGCATTTATGCATTAATCTAATATACTACACACACAATTACCAATGCATCAACATTTCATGGTTCAGAACTATTCACTTGTTAGGGGAGAAGATGTGTAAGCGGCCGGACAGCTCAGTCTGCAAAGCTGCGGAACGGTATTCCGAGGATCCTGGGTTTGAGTCCCAGTCAGGCTGTGACATTTGGCGCCAAACGTGGGCCCGTGACTGCTTATAGCTCAGAGTTCAATTAGCAATGCTCTGTAGCTTTGTGAAATTCGAGGACGAATTTCAATATTTTGATGAAGTATGTCACAGTTCAAAAGTGTTTCTATTTAGGGGAGAAGATGTGTAAGCGGCCGGATATCTCAGTTGGTAGAGCCGCGGACCGGTATTCTGAGGGTTCCAGGTTCGAGTCCCGGTCAGGCTGCACATTTTTCTCACCCTTTGACAAACTTTACTTCCTATTCATACTTCTTAGTAATGTTGGTTTTAGGGGCCCTTGGCTTTAATTCATGATCAAGGTATAAGAATTAAGATACTTAATGTTATAATAAGAAATAATTGACACACCTGAACTTTTCTTTAAGTCACTTTCCTTTCTGTATGAGCCTGAGTTTATTGGACCTCTTGAGTCTCTACGAAATTGTTTATTTGGGCTTGATCTCCTGTCATCATCCCTGCGGCCCCTACCACCAGGACTGGGTCTATACCCGTTGACACCTCTATAGGGCGGTCTATCTCTTGACTCATATTTTCTGTCATTAAAATATTTATCATTTTTAACCTTCTCTGATTTTGAATCAGCAGAAGTTGATTTTTGACCCGAGTTTTCAACCATTTTTGTTGTCCTACTTGCGTTTTCAGCTATGTTTTGGGTGGCATTCCCCTCCGTTTTCGTGTCCGTCTTCTCCTTCGTTGCATCGTTTCTTTCTTCTGAATTATCTTTTAAACCATCGGACGCTTCATTCATTCCCAGTTTTTATATCAACTATGCATAATTAACAGTTTTATTATGACACTGAGTTACACTTTCGCCATTTTCGGAGTAACCGATGTTTCATTTGGAAAACCTCGGCCCTAAGATTGTATATTTCCTGTACCTATACCGGATACCGTACCTATACCGGATAATGACGTCTATTTAGTAATGAACAATTCATTTGTTGCTGAGTATTGAAACCTTTAATCCTTTCTATAATGTCTGCCATCGAAGATTTTAAAAGGATCATATAAAGCATCCGAGCCTAATGGGCTATCCTTTATTGTGACAGTAGATCACATTGACTGATGTCATCGTATTAATTAATAATACTGTAATGATTATTCTGCCGTTTTTAAAATACTTTTAAACTGAATAAAATTGGTATTTTTGTTACCCTCTTATTATATATAATATATTATAACATTTATGGTAACTTTATAGACAACAATATAAATGTGCTAATAGCCTAATAGTTTTAAGTAAATTTCTGTGCTCTTAGTTATTATGTTTCTGGTTTGTTGTACTCTTATCTGTTATTTTTCCAGATTGTAACCTATGTATTAATTAACTTATGTCATACTCCATACTTAAATTTATTTCTATAAATTTTATGAAATGATATTTTATTGATTAAACTGTTATTTGCTATATGTATACTTATGTTTATTTAAATATTTTGAATAACAAATCACCTTTTATGTAATTTAGCAATCTTATTTATATTATAACTTGACACAGAGTACAATTCATCTCCCCTTTTCTGTCATTTAAACAAAAGATAGTGTTAATGGTAGCATGAAATTATTTACTAATATTATGATTCTGAATATATCTAATGATGACATTGTAAGACACAAAGAATAAATAGAGGATATTCAAGTTTTTTCTATAAATACAGGATTCATTTTCATAGAGTTTTATGAAAATACATATTTCATAGTTTCGTAGCCACGAGTGAAATATGATAATTTTCATACCACAAGAGGAAAATAAATCCTGTATTTATAGAAAAAAAACTTGAATTTTCTGTTTATTATATACATTATTCTCATTTTTGACATTACTGGATGAAGGTCTTTTCCTTAAATTTTGTGTATACTGGCAGAATTTAGAAAAAAATAGTCCGGCAAGATACCAGTGAAAATACGGAAAATATGTTTCACTGCAGTGAATTATAAATTTTTACAGTGAAAATACGGAAAATGAAAATGCGCAATTCATGTCTCAATATTTCATTTATGAATAAATAATAAACATGTTTCTTTTTTACATAAAGGCTCCCAAATGTACAGTGATAGGGAGTATAGCAGATGCTTGTAATTAATTCTTCTAAGGTATCACCCTATTTCCAGATTTAAGTTATAGAGGATATTTGTTTGTTTGTGTGTAAGATGAAATTTTATTTCATCGAGTGGGCTTTAAAAACAGTATTCTCACGAGTGGCGTAGCCACGAGTGAGAATACTGTTTTTAAAGTTCACGAGATGAAATAAAATTACATCTTACACAACAAACAAACAAATTTTCTTTTTATTTTATGCTAAAAAACAAGTTTAAACGAAATTTCCATAATATTAACATAAATATATATAATATTAAAATCTTTTTCCCCATTGAGAGCCCCATTTCGTGCGAATTTCTCATTAAAAACAAGAAGTCTTGAGCTGAAAAATAAGTCCAACAATCAACATTAAATGACAGTGATATTATTTATTTTGTTTAAAAAATATGAATGATCGCTTGTTTTAATAATAAAAACAAACAATTCGTGTAGGAGAAAATTCCAACCATCCATCCATATTTCTGTTACCTACTGCGAATTTATATTAGACCTGGCTTTGTTAAATGTAAGCGGCAGCCATTTTTTAAAGTTGTGTATTTCACGGGAGGAAAATAATTTTGTGTTTGATTCAGAGGGATAATCATTTGGAATTGTTAGTCATACACCTTTTTAAAAGAAAGAAAACATATTTGAGGATTGAAACAGACAAAAATTAAGTGTTGACAGATGTGAAAACATGAAAAAAGCAGCTATGAAAATGGAAGACTTGGAACTTGCTCGGAACGCTGGGTTGGTTTACTTGTTCTACGAGCTGTAGCTGTCATTGCTTTTCAATTTTTCATAAAGCATACGGCAGTTATTACTCGTAGGATACTTTAATATGCCCAAATGTCATCAAGAGCAGTTTGCATGTGGAAGGAATGTATTTTTCAGACTGTAAAAAAATATGAAACAAAAAATTTAGAGACGAAATTGGTGATTGGAATTTGAATGAATAGAAGTAAGTTTTCTTCTTTTTATTACTTTTGACGTTTAAGGTATTTATCAATTTCAGCTTTCCTTTTTCTTTAAACAGCCTGACATTGTCTGAATTGTCAGCAAAAATAAAATTGAGGTACCACATGAGGAAAATTTTAAAAAAGTAGTTTCGTCATTGAAAAAAGTGAAATTATATTTTGATAATTTTCACTGTGAAATTACCAAATATAATTTTCACGGATAAATCAGTAATCCACTGAAAAGCATAAAATAAAATCTAATAATCCTCCTTATATTAAGTAATTTTGTAAGTTGCCCAAAATAACAGCTTGACGTGCCTCAACGTAGCTTTGACGCTGAAGATGCATGCATAGTCATGTCAAGATCTTTATTTCAATATCTCTCAAAAAGATTCAGACAAACTCTTGACAGACCTAAATTCAAGACGGCATGGAACAATATATATAGTTAAATAAAGTTGAGGTATTCTATACTTGATTTGTATGTAAGTTCGAAAGAAAAGAACAGTATTACTTCCCTTTCATTATTATATTAAATAGGAGAAATAACTCTTTCTTTCTTGGGTAAAAAGTACGACATAATTGTCTCCAATGTAGAAAATAATGTTGGGCATAGATTTTGTTCAAACCTGTATTTTGACTAAGTGAACATTTGTGATCAAACGTTAAAAAAGAACTGAGACAAGCCTACTAAACAAATATGTATCCTTTCTGATAAAAGACGTATTATTGCAACTGAATTGCCCTATCTACATAATAGTACATATATTATGGAATGTTTTTCCTTTCAGGAAACGTATCTTGGCCGATACTCTTCTTATTAATGCAGAGCTTTCTATGTGATAAGACAATGACCTCTGCGCAAAAAGCGCTTTGAGGGAAATAAAAAACAACAATTAAAACAACAGCAAATTATTCTTCCTAACCTTCGTCTACTTAGTGTCTATGAGCTAAATATTTAAAATACAAGTGCGTTATGCTTGTCAAGTTGGTCAAAGAATTTGAGAACAATATTATTAGCCTTATGATGTTTTCAAAGGTTTCAAACTTGCCAATATTGTTAGGTATCAACAATTAAACAATGTCTCATTAAAGAACATGCTGTTGTGTGTAAATTTTGTGTACCGAATGTCATTAAACTGAGAAATAATTATTATTACTGTTTAATCTTTAACCTGCTCAATTTCTCTGAAAACAATGTATAGCTTACTCGACATCATTGATTCCAGCACATTTAGTGTTTAAATTTGAGTACCGCTCAAGCCGGTGCTAGGAGCCGTGAGGCATATTGTATCCCTCACTGTACAGACTCAATCTAGCCGAGTCTGCAATTTTCATTTAATTTTGTTGTTTTTAATGCCTCAGAGGGATCACCCTTTTCCCAGATTTTTATACATACTTCGCAACAGCAGGTGTCAAGTGCTGTGTTGCAGTCGTAAAAAGTTGCCCCTTACTTTACTTCAGTGTTGTTATGTTATTCTGGTCCTTCGGAATCATTGATTCCAGCATATTAAGTGTTCAAATTTAAGTATCGCTCAAGGCGGTGCTAGGGGGCGTGAGGGATGTTACATCTTTTCATTATCCTATATGTATAGACTGAAACCGAGTGAAAATTTTAATGTAATTTTGTTGTTTTTAAACGCTTCCGAGTGATCATTGATTGATTGATATCTATGTTAAATGAAGGTCCGTCTGCACAAAAACAGCTTCGTCAAGTACGGATTCCGGATATATCATCAGTCATGCCCATAAAGTGTTCATTTTGAAACACAAAGCGGCGATAATTTACCTCATGAGTATTAGTCTAAGCTTTGAATTTTGAGCCAAAAGTAGGTCATTGTTCGGCGACCAATGAGAACCTAAAAGTACAGTAACCTGAGACAATATGAAAAGGGGAAAGTATCACTGAAAAAGAAAGGGCTGTTGTGCCAGCTAGGGGGTCTGTCTTCTAAGACGTCTCTCCCTGTGGTTTCCTTGTCCGCTCTGCCTATTTTGTAGGGCCACATCGTCAACTGAGTCGTAGGTTGTGATAGAAGCTTGAAGGGGTAGTTTGGCCTCCAGAACCTACCTTATATGTACAACAACAGTCAACGTGTCATTGGTGATGAATCAGCCAAGCTCCTGTAAGGCCACATGTGTCACAAATCACATTCGTCACAATTGTGAAGAATGAGATCACATTCGTCACAAAATTTTGTGATGCATGTGATCCAATGTTTTTAGACAATCACATTCGTCACGAGTTTAAAATCACAAATGTCACAAATTTGAGATAAATATTGTTTTCTTCAATGCTTTTCACTGAGTCACAAACGTCACAAATTTTTAGGACTGAAATCAATTATTGGAACTAAAACTACAGACATTTTTATCCCCTCCCCCGCTGATGAAATCGGGAGTGATGGGACTGTTTTTAGCGTGTTCGTCCGCCTGTCAGTCCAGATTTAGTTTCCGCACTATCCGGCCATTGATTAGTTATTATACACTGTATATGGAATCATTTCGTTTCCACGCTATTTTTTCAGCAACTTCTGGATGGATATCGATGCTGCAACTTTGTAGGAACCTTCATTCACAAACCAGTTGCACATATAACCAGCATATCTCCATTTCTTTTTAAAAACAGACTTATTGCCCCTTGTTGTTGTTGTTATTTATAAAACACTGTATATAGAACTATTGCTTTTTTCTGCGCTCTAGGAATTTCAACGAAATTTAGTTTTAATATAAAGAGGAGATGCGCATCTCGAAAAAATCTCGACGGGACACTAAAGGATTTGGTCCGACTTGAGGGTACGGTCGCTTATATGGGCTTTCCGGCGGCGACTTTAGATAAACACACAAACAAACAAACAAGATGTGCATATCATCATCATCATCATCATCATCATCAGTATTTCCCGTTTGGCCGTTTAATACAGAGTTATGATCCATAATTTATTATCATTTTATTGTTATCATAGAAAAGCTTTTTTAAAACCCTTTCTTCAAAAATCGTGATTTTTTAAAAAAAACTTTGTGGGTACATCTTACCGGGGAATGTTTATTGCGGCATTACCCAATTTAAGACCTGGTTGCTTAATTTCAGTCAGATAACTTAAGTATTTTATGTCTTCAAAGTTAAATAAACTAATTTTAATTTTGTGGAACCTTAAACAAAAAGGGGATGTGCATTTTCGCCCTGAGACCTTGAGTGATATGGGCCCTGATAATTTATGCTTTAACCGACTATTTCCCCGGAGTCTTTATTCGAAATGTATCCTGCAATTGTTTAATTTTCAATCAGTATATGATGCTGTCGGCGGTAAACATTAATTCATTCTAAATGACATATTTCTCGATTCAAATGTCCGTAATTTTGTAAGATTGTTGACAATGAGACCGCAAAAAGAAATATAAATAAATAAGGATTATTTTGCTTGCAGCGTTAACGTTTGCCGTCATATTGTTTTACGCGCGCGTAGTCTCCGCGCTTCAGTAGTAAACGGTCTCTAAAAGCCACTTTTTCAAAAGGCACATAAAATAAAAAGAAAATGTGTTTGCTTTTCGTGAATATGAACTATATCTCACATCGAAGTGAGAAAATGTTCATATTTTCACTCGCGCTACGCGCTCGTGATACATATTTCATTTTTTTTCTCACTTCTCAGTGAAATATATTTCATATTCACTCAAAACAAACAAATATCCTCTATAAAATTCACTAAACACCGTCTTTGAAACTATCTAATCATAAAAGGCGAAAAAAGCTAAGACGCGTCGAAACGATAAAGCGGCCCCGCCACAAAGACACGATCTGTTTAAACGAAATTAACTATATTATTATTTACTAGTGGAATAGATATGGAAAGTTCCACTAGAGCGTCTGCAAGCAATTGGCACAGACTTGCAAAATCGTCTCAGGAAAGAAGGTTCCTAGATGTCAAAAATGTCATACTCTTTAATTGAACCAAGATTCCTGAAAGTCTGCGGAAGTCAAAAGTCTGTCAGACCAAAAAAGGTTCATTGATGTCAAAAGGTCCTAATCTCTAATTAGATATCCTGAAAGTCAACGGGGGTCTCAGCTACTTCCCAAACAATCATATATGGTCTCATTGGTGTAAATATGGTCACATAATTTGTACTGAAACTAAGATTAAGTCTGTGAGATTCCTTTAGACTGTCGCTGTATGGTGGGAAGAAATTTGAGGGTTCACAGAGGTAAAAGATCACTTCCAGTTGAAGTCTGATACTATGCGTGCATTGTCACCAAAATTTTTTTGAAGGTTTCGAGAACGTAAGACGACTTGATAGCAATACCATTACGACAATGCGACAGTTCTATGAAGACAATACAATGCCGACGATACGATATTGCAACAAGTTAGTACGATGGCGATAATGCAATGGTGGTGAAAAGATATTGGTATCGTGATGTCGACATCACAATATCGATTTATTGCATTGTCGCCCTTGTACTATCGCACTGATATAACCACGATTGTCCTTATGATATTCCGTGTATCACATATTGAAAAATAAACTTGTGACATTTGTGATTCGCCTGTTTAAAAATTCTCAATTTTGCTTGTGACGTTTGTGATTGGCATTTTTACCCGATTTTGGTCAATCACATTCGTCACAAAAGTCATTTGTGACGAATGTGATCACATTCGTCACAAATTCATAAAAACTTGTGACGAATGTGATTTGTGACACATGTGGCCTAACAAAGCTCCAAATCTTCTGCCGATGCCCTGTGCCTTCTCTACAACGTGTGCGTATCGAGGGAAAGAGAGTTTTTCAGTTTTTATACTTTACAACAGTAGGTGTCCAGTACCATGTGGCAGCTGTGAAAAGTTGCTCCGTACTGCACTTCAGTGTTGTTATAATATTTTCTGGTCCTTCAGGATCATTGATTCTTGCACTTTAATTGAGAACCTCTCAAGTCGGTTCTAGGGGACGTGAGGAATGTTGCACTTTTTCATTATCCTTTTTGTACAGACTCAATCGAACCAAGTCTGCAATTTTCATGTATTTTTGTTTTTTTATTGCCTCCGAGGGATCACCCCCTTTTCCAGATTTTTATTAGATACAAATGTACAACTTATTCCATGTGCTGCAGTGTTTTACATTCTTTATTATACCTATGTTCCTGACAAATAGTAGAACAGGTATTACTTGATATACAAATTAATCACCTAAAATGAATTTATTTATTTGATCAAGTTGCGTTTTATGTATTTAATTTAGATTAAAATGGCAATAAAGACATATTTGTAACAACTGCATAAACAAGAGAAAATTTCTCTGTTGAACCTTAAATACATTTTATGCGTGTATTCTTAATCAGGTGCCGAAGATCACAAGCTGAAGTCAAGGGGAGTTACCAAAAGATTATAAAAATAAAGAAGAAAAAACAACAAAAAGTGTATACATGGTATTAGTATCAAGTAAAAACTTGGAGTGTTCTAGATTTCATATTGAACATTCTTTTTATTTTATTTTCTTTTCTCCTTAGATATATTGAAATTAGAGTAAGTGACGTCAACTTTGGAGCAGTAGAATGTCAATATTTTGCAATACATTGGACAATTTGGAATGAGATTGTATTTTTCGTGCGTTAGCTATTAGTCATCCGATTGGATTTCCAAAACTCGCAAGTCATATAGCAACATATTTGTTTACTTTCTGGTCATTTTAAAGTTAATTTGAGTTTGGAATGCAAGCCATGTTAACAATTTTAACATATTCCATGTCAAATGGCCATAATTTTGATAACACTGTTCATTTTGTTAATACAAATGACGAACGTTTTTTGTTTTTTGTTTTTTTTTGGGTTTTTTTTTTGAAGAAAAATAAAAGCTTCCAAAACACTTCTTCATACCCTTTTGTTTGTGCATGCATGTGCGCGCGCGTGTGTGTTTTTGTGTTTTCATTTTATTTATTTACTTTCATGTTATCCTCAGAAAGTCAGAAATTACCAATTTTTCTTTATTTCAAAACTTATAAGGCGAGTAGTCCCGACTGCAGGTTGGTGTAAGTATCCTTTATTCCTGATACTTATTCCTCTTGAATAATGATTCGTTTAACGACGTCATTTTTTTAACTTTGATTTAGACAATATTTCTGTGTTTCTAATATAATAAGTCACGAGGTTTTTAATAGTAACTGGAAGTAAAATAAAACATTCTTAATAAGTCGTGATTTTGAAGGAGACATCTTCTCAGGTGTCTGTAAGAGAAATGAATAAATGATAATAATAATAAAAATAATAATAAAAAAAATCATATCAGTTAAAGGTCGATATTTTCATATTCATTTTAGGGTACAATCTCACAAAAGCTGACAAAAATATAACAAACGGAAACCCGCCCCCATACAACTAAGGCTCATTTTAGATGTGATTGATTTTGACATATAGCTCATCAGAAAATATTTTGTAATATTAAATGGCTTAACTGTCCATTGATATAAATCATTTACATAAACGAACAAAAAGAAACCCTGTCCTTTGAGTATATACTTCTTAAGAAAAGAGCGTCTAATTAGACTAGCAGACGACAACCCAGGTAATCACGTAAAGCTGTCACCGAGGAGATGATCCTTTTGTTTTTAGCTCGCAAGATATGTTAATGGAAGTTCGTGTTTGCAGAGATAAACAACTGTCTAAGATTTCGAAACTAATGGGCCAAGTGGATAAAGGTTATATCAATACCAGACGACTTAATGGACATGGTGCGTTAAGTTCTGCTCACACAAGATGAACTTCGCAGTAACTCTCCTTTACAGATGGTCGTATTAGTTTAGCACATGTGTTGTCTCAGACTCGCCACAATATAGGATCTCCCTTATGTTATATTTTCTTGAAATTTCTATAACAAAAAATATGGTTGAAGGCTTTGAAAATATATGCATTACACGACAAATTTCGCCGTCTACTTAGCTTCAGCGTTTACAAAAGTAAATGAGTAAAAACATACATATTCTTGTATGTAAATGTGATACATTTGTGCAATAGTTCTCGGACGAGTGTTTGTGAAAATTACATTAAATTATGCCATTAACGATTAAAAATGCACGAGGTATGGTAGTGTGTGTTTTATATACAATGTACATTATTGTAATTTTTTATATAAAATGTAGAACAAAATGCTCTCAAAATAATGTAAATTTATTTTTGAGACTCTCTTGAGTATCGAAAGTAGTTGCTTTTTGTATAGTAACGGCGAACTGAGAAAATATTTGTTTGAAGATTCTAATACATACTTTGTTTCTTTCAAAGATATATTTTCCAGACAACAAGTCAAATTAATAAGATGCATTAGTTATATTGCTTATGGTCCAAGATTGGCAAAATTTGAAATATTTTAGGTCTATGGCATTGTATAATTTCACTAAATATGATTTCACTAAAACCCAGCAGAATAAGGAATTAAAAACGGCACATAAATGACTTATAGACACGTGATTACCTTGGAAGTTTTTTCAAGGAAAGAATAGATATTCTTAGTTACAAAGACCGGGACACAAAGAATTATTTATGTAATATATAGCATAATTTACTATTTTATTGCCATATTTATTCTCCAAAATTAACGGTGTAAATGATATTTCCTCATATATGCTGTTAAGCATTTTTGTGGATAGCAAGTACCTTAGGCAAGATAATATCTCTTGATTTCTACACTTAACAGTATTTCAGTACTGAGCAGCTGAAAAAAATTGTTTCTCAAATAACATTTTTAACCTATTTTTAAGTTGTAAAGTAACGTGACACACATACACGTATTTAGCAATTGCTACGTGGCAAAAAGTGGGAATAGGGAAGAAAAGAACGCGATTTTTCACCTTTTAATTATACATAAGACAAAACATATATTATGAACAGTAATTTTCAATACATGTGACACAATATTTACCCTGCTTACCCGAGACTTGAGTAATAACATAGAACGTATACAATAACACATGTTTCTCTCAAAATAAATCAAAGTCTGACACAATACAGTACTTATAATAGAAAAAAAAAATATTTCGGTTACAATGTAGAATTATTATTACTGAAAACAAATAGACAGCTGTTCACAACTGCAATGCAGTGATGCAGCAAAAATTATTAAGAAAAAAATATTAACGGATATATTATCCCTCTTTATCTCCTGAATACTGAACAAAATGAAGAGACGAAAAAGCATCCAGGGAAGTAAATCTTTTTTTTACGAACACGTTTTCACGAAATATGTTTATTACTTTGTTTTTAGTATTGTTTTTTGTTTTTGATTTTTTTTGGCATATATAGAATTTTTAAACATCAGAACCATATCAATAATATTTGTCCAATGGAATTTAATTTTTAAAAACAGTTAAACACATGAATAAAACAAAATTGCCTTTATTAAGACCTGATATACTATATACAGTTTCATTTATAACATATAACTTCATGTTAAAGAAGCGTTCACACAAAACATTCAGCGTTCTTAAAAAAGAGAGAAAAAACTTGTACTAATATATCTTTTAAATCAACCATTATGCCAATAATAAGTAAAACAACTTACACCTCTTATTCACTCTTTTGGGAAAGTTATCATTTACACATTGAAAAATAATCATAACATTTATCAATTGAAACTTACTTAATACAAAAAACAAAGGGTTATTTACAGTTCAGATCAGCTCTTCCGCGCCCAGGTACAAATGTACCAGCAACATAAAAACAACAACAACAACAACACCAACAACAGCAGCAGCATGGTATAAACAACACAGTTTAATTAATTTGTATCCATAAACAGCACCGATAATGGTAAAAGTAATATTTAAAAAAAAGAAAAATAATGTAAAATGTAATTAAATTTTTTGTATAGAATCAATTAATATTTCAGCACAAAACAAAAAAAAACCTCTTTTAACGGAAAATCCTTTGTCATATGCTTATATAACAGTCTCCGATAAAAGGCCTTTTTCCAAATGATTTTTTTTTTTAAATTACGGAGTTTTCCCAAAAATCTGAACTTAAACCTGCTTTTAGCTTCCCAAATTAGCAATTTTAGCGATAATTTTTCCCAAAATCAAGAGACTTTGGCCTCTTCCCAATTAAGTGAGAAAATCATTGAAAACAAATCTAGGAATATGTCGAAACATGCTTATTTTACATTTACAAAGACACAGCGTAGCAATTTTCAATATTTTCAAATATCAACTTTGAGCATGTCAATCTTTAGAATGCTCATATGTATAAGATATATATAAAGTTGGATATTTATCAGTTTCAGCTGTAAGCAAAAATCATTGAACACCTCATTTTATTGACGTTGAATTAATATCTTAATTGATAATACATGCACATATCAATAAAAAAAAAGCTTTGAACAAAATAATATCTACAATAGCACAAATTTATTTTGTTTTTCGTTTTGAAGTTTTCTTTTTTCATTATTTTTTTTTCATTCGATATGAAATCCAGTCAATATAATTTAAAGATGACAATGTAATATCTGTTAAAAAACCGATCAAATTATTGTAATCTATGCAAACCTTGTCTCATATTTATCAACATTTTAAAAATTAGAGATTAATTCTATGTATTGATACTTCTTTTGTTTCACTGTACTTCAAGCTTTATACAATTTAGTGCTTGCGTATTAGATAACGATGATCGTTTATACAATAATTTTTGTACAAGAGCTAACAGAACGTTTTAAAGCACGCTTAAGTCAAAGTTTGAATTTTATCCTTTTATCTTATGGCCATACAATAACACTTTAATCAATATAATTTAATGTCACTAAAATAATTTTTTCCCAATTTATTTCCCTACACAAGAAACTGTACTTGTCAACATTTAAAGTTTTAATGAACACACAACATTGTCTTTAATATCTCAAGTCACATTGACGTATGACAAATTAAAGTAATGACTAGTTATGTTTGCAATCCTGCGCCACTAACTTACATCTTCAACGACTTCAAGACTGCAATTCCCCTATGTATATAGACGAGCACTTGTGGAACACAGTATTGTAACAGTTTACCAATTACCCTAAACCTACTTACACATGATGTGTGCGTAGACATTTTGCATCTATGTAAATATATGGTGTCAGTTAACTTCAGACCGATTCTGGCGACATGCTTACTTCACTTGAAGACATGTCGCCACTAAATTCATTTCGATCAAGTCTCCAGCTTTCTAACAGATCACTGAAGTCTGGAGGGTTGTTCGATTGAAGCACAGAATTCCCGCCATTTTGTCTGGTTTCTCCAGAAGAGTTTGTTTGTTGGGAACCAGGCTCTTTCCAAAATGACGTCGGTAACTTTCTTGAATGCATTGGGGCAACACTATCGAATTTCTTTGAATCGGACTTAAGCCGTTTTAATTCTTTGGTGTGTTTTAATTTCTTGTCAGTCAAAAAATGCCGTAACCCATATTCGAATAATTCATTCAGAGGGCCTATACCTAATTTCTTATCAAATTTCCCAGTAAATGAACTTCTATTGTCCTTCTTTTCACTTACAGAGTTTGAAATATCAAGAAGAGGAGGAGATTTATTGCCACCGGTTTTCCCGTTTGCTTTATCCTCGCCGTGAACAATTTTCATTAGATCGGCGTAGTAAAGTTCTCTACCAGATTTTGTAGATTTCCATTTGTCTTCATATATATCGCAGGAATCGTCCTCTCCTTTCTTTCTTCCAAAAAATTTCTGAATATCGGTGCTAACCATAGTCGCGAAATTTAATAATTGTTTCGTCATATCCGGTTTTGGCTCCAACTCCATGTCAATATCTTCGAGGTCTTCAGAATAATGAGAATCGTGATCACTGAATTCATCGTCAATCATCGATTCGTTGGGAGCATCGAAACTTTCACTTTGCATAATGCTTGAATCATTGTTTTGATTTATATTATGCTGATGTTGATTTGTACTAGGAATAAATGATTCGACGGAATGATCAAGTTTCTTGATGACGGAAGTGTGTTGTGTGTGTTGAACGTGCTGTATCTCTTGTGACACCGGAAGTAAAGTATGAAGTGAGTTTCCGGGTGACATCCTGGCACCATGTGGTACAGACATTCCGCCGTTGTCATGGATACCGGAAAGCTGCCGGTTATACTGACCGTAACCCACCACGTCAATCATTAGTCAGTTGTGAAAGTTCACCAGATTCAATGTGGTTTCTTACAGCCTGAAAATATAAATCATTTCAATAGAAACATTTAAGATGAAGCATAAAATTGTATCGCTCATTGTGTGATAGTGGGTATATGTCTATACATGTTAAGGCAAAGCATACAAGCTTTAGATAAATCAAAAGTAATTATTTTGTTAAATTCTATGCTATAATGTATATTTTTTGCAAATATTTTATTCACTTCCTTCATTTATTTGAAATCAATATGAAAATCAATAAATAATCTATGCTAGGAATCTTTGTTAATATTCAAAAACGAATTAAGCTATTTAAGAATTTTTTATTTCTTTATCTACGTGATACCTTTTCTATACAAAGGTAACTTGAGTATAACAGAAAAGAAAATTGAAAATACAATAGAATTTAAGTGCATATGTCATTCTCCGATTCTTTTTTTATTCAAAGATTAGGCTAAATATTATAAGAGTTTAACTGCATTGTTTTATTACTTTTCAGTGTACGGTTTTTATTGCGAACCTTCCCACATTCGTAACCCGTCATATTTCCGTATTTAAGCAATTTAAAATGCCAGCTTGCCAACGTTAAAAGGAGTGGACAAAATTGGCAGTGGTCGTAAAACCGGAACCTATAACGTTTTTAATAAGCTTATAGGCCTGTAAAATGTATCGCTATCAAAACAAACTTGTGTGGAGCATTTGTTTAAGTCTGATAATAGTCATCGTGTTTGGCTATTAAAATACTGTTGCTAGACACCTATATAGAGTTTGTCAACTCAGGAAAATTGACATTAAGAACCACAGGTTTTCTACTATGGGAAAGATTCTCTCAATTTTGATGATAACTTCCATTTAAAAAGTAAAGCCGATAAAAGTTTCATTGTATATATGTCAACGCGTGATTTATTCTTTGACACTTGAATGCTTTTAAGCTTTTTGAGATTACCGATTATTTTCATTGACAACGAGCTCAAGCCGTATTGATATGGAGCTAAAATCTTACCCATCAAATTTATCAAAATTTTACACCGTCGCTCGATAATATGCATAATTCTGATAAAAAGATCTCGTATTGTTTAGATTGTATGGGAAAACTTTGGATGAAATCAGCAATTCTAATTTTCATTAAATCCGTACCATTTATATTCCTCCAAAGAATTTCTACAAATCTCATTATTGTTACGCTCGCTTTTAATTAAAGTTTCTATGTAGGATGATATTGTAAACACAAACTGTTTACATTGTTGCTTCATAACTTGGCTGGCGTGCTCATCTAGCAATTTCGTTCCTAGATACCGTGTGTCTCATGCAGGGCATCACGACTGGTTACAATATTAATATTAAGATAGTTCAATTAATAATTCCTCAATGTCAAAATTTATTCCGCAATGCGTGAAATTCATAATTAACTTTCATGAAATTTACATCAATCTCTTATGAATTTTACATCAAATTCTTATAAATGAGTAAATGAAGATAATATATTAAGTCGCATTTAATCTGATATGTTTATTAAATGCTACTATGTCATCTAATTAATAACTTTATATTTTTGACTTCTTTGTATACAGGATCTTTATAAGCAATACATTTTATTTTCAGTTTAGTTCTTTACATGCATTGTATATGCATTAAATTTGCAAGAGGTTACACCAAATGAGGTCTTTTCAAGTTCAATAATTTAGAAAGCTCTATTACATGACCAAGAGAAAGAAACAAACACCCAACTGCAATAAGATGTGTACCATTAGCAGTTTTGTATTTTCTAAAGTAACCTTAGCCAAAATCATATGGCATGCTCGTATTTATACTTGGCATATTGGTAGCATTTCTACTAATTCTGACGGGAGATTATAAGAGTTTCATAGCAATCGGTAATGTCGCACACCATAATATTTTTGGAAATGCCAGTACATTGTTTTTTTATGTTTCATTTTTCTATTGATCAATTATGATCTCCAATTTTCAAAAGAATTTTTATTTAAGACTGAAGAAATAATGGAATGCAACCACAGAATTTTTAATACAAAATAAAGGATATCCATAAGCTGTCTATGTGTATGAAAAGCAAAACTTCTTGGAAGATAAATGAAATAATTTTCTACAGTATATTAAATCAAATGATTTTTGCACAATTTAACCATTAACCATGCTAAATATCTTAATTGAAATTTTCCATATTTCAGTATGTACAAAACTATTCATATTTTTTCCAATCGAAATTTCAAAACATTTAGACTCTGAATAGATACCAGTGTACACGGTGATTAGACGGCAAAGTTGGTAGGCTGATCTTGGCCCGCACTGGTGGCATGGGCATAAGACTCAGTTAGCAGGCCAAGGATTAAAGAACGCATAAACAATAGTATGTTTTTTTTCTTCATTAAAGTACACAAAACATAACAAATGTTAAGCAATTGAAAAATTGTCAGACAATACAATACATTATTTAACAAATAATACATGGCCTTGAGGGCAATATGCAAGTTTACGGACTGATTGGTCAAACTGAGGAAGGTATATGGCCCGAAGCGCAGCTTCGCAGTATATATTATACCGAATCTAAGTATATGTTAGTGTTCATCCGTGCTGTTCTACAGAAATTAGAAACTTCGACGGGAGCGATAGCGACAGGAGAATGTTTCTAATTTCTGTAGAACAGCTACGGATGAATACTAACATATTTAGTGTCAAACTTTATTTGGCCTCATAATCACTCACTTTATTACGTCACTATGCCGTTCTATGAAGTACTATGAAAAATAGAAGTCGACTATGAACGGAATTCGATATAGTATCGACTTTTGTTCTTCTATGAAAATTAACGCACAGAATTTTTAAGAAATACAGTGTTTTCATTGGATGACAAATAAAGTTGGACACTAAATCCTCTTATCCCTTTTGTTGCTGACATTTTTACTATAATTTACTTTCAAATAATAATTTATTTGGTTAGTGTGTGAACCCTAGTCGGAATAATTATTTTCAAGCGATACAGCAAAAAAAATCATGCTCTTCTTTTGTTATTCAATTTTTGTTAATCAAATTAAACAGGCAAAAAACCCCGAACTTTAAGATTTAATATGACGTCATCCAGTCCATATAAGTATTATGGACCGCCCCCGGTCTGTATGCGGTTTATGGACCGGATGACGTCATATTAAATATAGAAGGGTGTATGCAAATGAGGTATAATATTTGCAATGAAAGTCTGCTGTCCCAAAATACAAACAATAAGGAATCAAACATATGACAATGTATGGCATGGCTATAGTAAATACATATATATATTATGGCAATGTTGAAAAATGAATTGCAAAAGAAATTTGTTTTACATACTAATAGGTATATTGCACATGCATTATTTTAATGTACCTTTTTTGTTAATGCTGTATAAAGTTTGAGTGCATTTACTAAAAAAATGAAAGTGAATAAATGCTGTCATTGTATTAAATAACTATTCGCTAAAAACTATAGGTGTCCAGTCTCTCTACTATACACTGGACATATAAGAAGAAAATGCATTTTGTTTTCAATTGCATATACATCTCGTTTAAGGCATATCTGACAGATTTCTGTTTTATATGACGTCCTCTTTTGATTATAAGAGAGTGGCTAGAACAGCGAAGTTTGACAGTGTGTGTTTTTGTTTATAATTTAGCGGTAGTTATAGACAAGTATCGTTCTGGATTTAAATTTAGAGTATTTTGTAAAGTTTATGTGTTAATGTCTAAGAAGATGACTTAATGGCTGCTAGTATTGATTGTGAGGACAATCTTTAAATCAGACACGAAATTAAAGAAAATATATAGATAATTTTCAATTCTTGATAGTGAAATGTAATGCGAAATAAGCACTTGTAGGGGCTCTACATTGACACTCAAACATTAAGCTTTTGGAGAGCCAAACTGCTTTCTAACGACAGATTTACTCCAAGAACAATTTTTATGAACACCTATTACGGCAAATGATTTTGCGACTTTAAAAAATGATGACTCATGATGATAATGCGAATTTTTATTATTATTTTTTCAAAGCAAGTCAGAACAAATGAAAATAGTGACGTTTTGACGATTTTATCATACTTTACTATACAAAGCTATTTGCATTAGAAGCTGTCGCGCAAATATACTTCATGTTTCCACAATACAGGTTTTCTTATCAATCTGAGAAAACAAACCTTATATGCAATTAAGACTTTTTGATTATGGATATAACTGTTTAACGATAGCCTTATCTGTTATTGATAGCTGCCATTTCACCGTATCAAAAGTTGCCCAAAACATGGCATATTGTTTATTTATTTTACGAAACGGTTTTCAATATAGTTCCAAAATGTTTGAATAAACTGAGTGTATGATATATATTGTACGTTATGTTTCACCTGCGACAAGATATAATGGAATGATTGCAAAAAGAAACTATTTTTTTATTAATTATTAATTTTACTACGCCTCATTGTTTTCCCATTTAATAATAACACAAATTAATAACTATTTGCAGTGTTTTATCCGTGCTTTAACTTTGTCTTTGTAATTGTGTAAAAGTAATCATAAAAGAACCATATTTGAATTTTTTCAAACACGCAGCGATTTCTTTTAGTATCTCTCATTCATAATCGTGATTTTAGGACGATTTATATCCCAGAGATGAATTGAAAATAACTTACTGCAATATCTCATATAAATTAGATTCAAGTATACAAAAAGAAAACCCACCATAATTAAGTTCTCAAGATTGCTGTAATAGTCAACCGTCTTTTGCGCTAAATTTACAGTGAGTGTTTGTTGATAGTGAACTAAGAAATTTAAATTACACCTGTTTCACACCTGCATACTCGCTGATAATCTTTGATATCCTTTCGACATTTGCACTATTCAGAACATATTCACATCTTAGAAACAGTTGGAAGTGTCACTATACTAATCAACCAGACAGCTGACACAGTGCTCAACTTGATTCAATCATCTTCAACGGAAACCACTGCGTTGGCCGTGGTTAGGCAAGACTTAACATGTGTATCCAAGACCAATGATAAAATGGTTTATGAAAAATAATAGTGTGAAAGATAATTTAATTTCAAGACTGAAAAAAAGCTATGAAACTTATTGCGTTGCACAAGTACATCGCATTTTCATTAAACCTTATTCCTCATAAACGTAAAACTACATGTCTGCTTGCATTCAAAAATAGCCATGTTAGAGACTGATTAACCCTTATGAGAAACCTATTGTTCTAGTTAGTTCAATATTTGATGCTGAAATTCCAATATGTTTCATTATGCTAATTCATTAAAGGAAAGAATGATTAAGCAAAGCTTCATCGGTTACTTGTTTGTTTGTAAGTAAAACACTGATGAAATATTGTCTACAATTCCTAAAAGATGTGTTGTCATTGTAAAATATATTCCAATAATATTTATGTACAGCATTTGCAAATGGAAATATCTTTCTATCTCTAATTATAACTTAATATTTCACATTATTGTACATATGTATATCAAAAAGCCAATCACAAATGAATGGTCAGTGACAGTTAGTAACAGAATGAAACGGGAAAATTTCCAAGTTTAGGGGAAAACTAAAGCTAAACGATTTTAGGATATAACATCGCCATCAAAGTTAATTTTTAACAAAAACTTTGATATATATTTAACTAATTTGACTTTTTTTATATCAATTTTGATTGTTATTATTTAATATATATAGATATCTGGATTGGCGTCGCTTTTAAAACGAATACCTCTTGAATTTATTATCTCTGCCAGAAAGTTTCACTCGTACTCGTACCAATAAAGCCCAAAAGCGACGTTTGCTTGTGCCTGTTGATTTTTTATTTAATCGTTGCAAATTATATATATATATTGAATGTTATTTGGTGCACTGTGCATTACATAATTTTGTTTTAAAACTTCACTAAATATACTTATTTAAAATGAAGATAGTATCACCAAACAAACAAAACCCGTATCTGACACTTGATAATTTACACAATTTTTCTATTATGTAAGCCAAAAACAAACATGATATGCGCGTAATGAAAATGAAAATATATATTGATAGGAAGAGATAAAACCCGTCAGCTACTCGTCCGTTATCAAGAAATGCTCGTCAGGTGCCCAGATAAACATGGTCACATCACAGATAGCTTTTAAAACTTAATGCATATGGACATATATCAATGCAATATTTCACATAAAACAACGCTTTTTTCAATCGAATACTTGAAACAAACATAGATACACTTCAAGTTAAAACGTATTTACGAAATATATCTAAATCGTGTAACAAAGGTCGAATTTGTCAAATCTTTTATTGCTCGTCAGTATTTCAGATGTGCATATTTCGAATTGTCGTTCACCAATTTTAGTCGATTTCTGTTTCACTTTATAACGAACAAAAGCAAACAATTAACTCAGTAAATAAGGGAAAACTGTGGAGAGCAAATAAACTATAATTTTTTTTTTCAACGCAGACTATATATACAGTGCTAAAGCAGATGCTTTAATGTTGCAACATTTAAGGCTGGAGAAAGTTTTTTCCAGGTGCTTTGTAACTGTTTTATTCTAACATGTGTACTACATGTTGTAACAGCAATATAGGTCTGGTAGATTGAATAAATGTTTTAGAACATAAAATGCAATTTACTTAATAAGAATATTCAATGATAGCTAAAAATACGACCTAGTAGCCTCAAGTCACACAAATATATACTACAAAGGCGAGTATTACTATATTTCTATATTTATATCTATATACTACAAAGGCGAGTAATACTATATTTCTATATTTATATCTCATATAAATCATTTGTAACATGCGCTTAAATGACATGATCATGTCCACCAATATAATTATTATTAAAAACTATGTTACAGAATTCTTTGTAATAAATTAAGAAAGTGTCTGTTGTTTTTCTTTATTTTATTTTTAAGTATTTATAACCATACGGTACCCATCTCATACTGAATATAAAAACATACACTTATATGGTTATTTTATCAAAATCATGTAAAGTTATGAGCGAAGTGAAAGTCTGACTCAATAGCTCGACCGCAAAGTTCTCAAAACAACATGCATCTTCTATACATATACATGCACAAGTAAAACGAAAGTAACGCGACAGTTCGTGGCCACAGGTTAGAGACCCGGTATCTACGTAATTTTTTATCCCTTGAAATCAGTTTAAACCCTCTAAATTATCAATGTGCATTAAAAAAAGTATATTTATCTATAATAGGTGTATTCGGTGAGGTTGTTTTTATCATATCTATATACGTATATCAAAAAATTGTAGCGTTATTGCACTGTAAGCTTCAAAACATAATAACAGTAATTGAGAAACCCTTCTTGAATACAATAACATACAATGTATATGCGTTTTATTCATATTCATCTGAAATAAAGTAATTTAATTGATTAGAGATAAGGACATATACGTTTGAAGTCACCAGCATAAATCGATTTCAGTACACATTTAGCTGGTCACGTTCAAAACAAGAAATGAAATTGAGATTATACAAGAAATAATATCGAGAGTATTTAAACAAGAAGACTTCTATAAGTACACTTACTTTGAAGTTAACTACTCAGTAAAATACAACACACGAGATATTCACATTATCTCCATTAAGTTTATTCTATAACTTGTCTAAATACAGCCTCTATTCCATATCTCTCTCTCCACATATCATCTATTTTCTTCTCATTTTATTTCCTTTAAGCAAAGTTGTATTAAACATGTAAATTTTTATCCTGTCACTTTTCCTTGATCTATAGCCGTAAGTTTGATTTCCAATTTCACTCGAGTAACACTCCAATCTATAGAGTTAGGTCTTATTCGCAAATAGTTCAATGTTTAATTTAGAGATGTGTTATCTGCCAAGCTCATTTATCAAAATATTGTCATTTTCTCACCTAAAGGGGGTGGTGATAAACCAGAGTACTATCCAATCACATTTGAGATAAGTTAATCATAATTTAACATGAATATTCAATAGACGGATACGAATTGTATCTAGAGGAACAAATAAAAGTTGTGTTCAAAACAACCGTGCACAAGAGATTTCCATTACTAAAAGTCAACTTAAGATAAGAAGTGACAGTGTAATCTCGCTGTATTGACCAGTTTAGTTTTCAGCTAAACTATAATGGAAAACCTATACCTGATGGAGTGACATCGCTGTTTTATCAACGTATTATCACAGACGCTTGTGGTTTGGAGCTCAAAACGCCTTTAAAATCCAAATAAAATGCATATTTGTCAATCCCAGGACATGTACTGATCATATATATCAAAAAATCTTAATATATGCCGTTTTGAAAAAAAATCATATTTCAACAACTATAATAATACACAAGATAAAAATGTTCGCCGGAAAAAATCCGCACCCCTACCATCATAATCATCATGTATTTTAATCCATTTCCAATATTTTCACATAATCCTTTGGTCTATCGACACAGAAGATATAATTCTTCACGATGATGGTCAATTTTAAACAAAAACGGTAATATAAACAACGCAACAGCCGAAATAAACATCAATATTATCGCCGTTTTTTTCCAACGACAAAATCTTTCGATAAATTCAATGGACCAGACGGCTATGAACGAAGCTATCCGATTATGTGGTTCCCAAACTTAAAAGCGCTGCGCATTTTGCACACGGCAAAGCTGGGGCCACATAATCGGATAGCTTCGTTCATAGCCGTCTGGTCCATTGAATTTATCGAAAGATTTTGTCGTTGGAAAAAAACAGCGATAATATTGATGTTTATTTCGGCTGTTGCGTTGTTTATATTACCGTTTTTGTTTAAAATTGACCATCATCGTGAAGAATTATATCTTCTGTGTCGATAGACCAAAGGATTATGTGAAAATATTGGAAATGGATTAAAATACATGGTGATTATGACGGTAGGGGTGCGGATTTTTTCCGGCGAACATTTTTATCTTGTGTATTATTATAGTTGTTGAAATATGATTTTTTTTCAAAACGGCATATATTAAGATTTTTTGATATATATGATCAGTACATGTCCTGGGATTGACAAATATGCATTTTATTTGGATTTTAAAGGCGTTTTGAGCTCCAAACCACAAGCGTCTGTGCGTATTATGTAATCAATATAATACAATAACAAATGTAAAAAAATTGAGCTGTGTAATATTATTTGTATAGATATTACTGATAGGATATATAGACAAATGAACTTTATCTGTATCTATATCAATCCTGCCAAGCACGTGACTATGACATACACATATTTCCTATCTATACACGGGTAATTCATGGAAATTAAATAGTACTAAACATGTACATGTCAATAAAAATTATAATTTTCTTCCTTTAAAATTTATCCGTAATCGTTGATAATCATTTTACAAAATTGTGCATACCGAGAATGGGTACTGAAAGAACAATGACTCGAGTTATAAAGCGTAAATTGTACGATACAGTTTTCGTAAAAGCAAAAAGACATAATGAAAACTGAAATACTTTAAGAGAAAAGAGGGTTTTCTAGTTATTTGCCCTTGAATTTGAATTATTTTTACCTTATTTTTGTGCTTCTCATATAGCTGGCTTCCTTTCAAGTGATTGTGTAAAATTTCAAATATTGGTAAAGAGTAGCTTGTTTATTTTTTTTCTTCTTCACTTAAACGCAGATGCCAATTTTTCAAAAAAGGCAGGCCTACATTTTATTTTTCTAAAAAATCGGTCTGTTTACTTAAACTGAAAAAAAAGAGAATACCAATGCTAAATGACATTCTATGAAATGTTGTCTTGCGACAAATGATCAGACATGCGCGGAAGTTGTGCTTGCCCTTGTGACAACAATTTAAATTCAAGGGCATATGACTCGAGTCTGAGATAAGATTGGTGACCCCATTTTTTCTTTCGCCTAGAATGTTTCTGTTATCATATTCTAAGATCATGGAAATTTGAAATAAATTCTATTATACAGTTTTCATTTTGCTTAGATGTCTATACTAAAACTAGTTTACGCCCAAAGCCTCTTTTTATCTGAACAGCAAAATTCATCTACACATTAATATATCAAATGAAGGTCAGAATTTAGATTGTTTTAATACCGCAATAATAAAATATAGACTTGAGAATATATATACATATAGTGTGCTTTAGTGAAAGAGGCTTTGGTAAAGTTAATTGCTAACATCCGGAAAGGTGTTTCAAATGGTATAACAAATCACAAACTAAACTTCTTTCTATCCTGTAATGCTTAATTATAGATATCTCTTATAAACCGAATACAATTTTACCGGTTAGTATCAAGAACGGACACAGTGGTCTAGTGGTGTTTATATGTTGGATTTGAAGTGACACTACCACTGTAATTGTCATATGGCGACTTTGCACTCATGTCATACAGGCACGATCGGGCACCTGAGAAGAACCACCGACGTTCCGTAAGCTAGCCGGATGGCTTCCTCACAATATAAAAGTAAAAGTCCCTGGTCGGATTTGGACAGGGATTTGAACCTACAGCAAGTGGTTTAAAGTCAACAACCTATACCACTCGACCACGAACGCCCCTGTGGTCTACCGGTAATACTATTACTAATTACGGTAACAAGTCCGATATCCCGCTACTCCAACTAAGATAACTATTAAATAAGCCCCTTCCGGGTGAGAATTTGATATACCGAGATCCCGTTAAATGGTCCTTTACACCTTGCATGTTGAAAACCAGACCAAATATTGCTTTTTTTGAAACGGTATAATCTGTAACTTTAAGTCACATTTTAAGCCAAAAAATGAATACAGTTTTCATTCGTTAGAAAATGTAAATACACGTGTGTGTTTTAAAATGTTATAATAATTGATTAAGAGTATGCAAGGTGCTTATTCCCCGGTTGTGACAATGTTCGTCATAAAAATAGCAAAATGAGAACATGTAGAATTTTAACTTCAACAGCAAATAACTAAAACCCAACATAAAAATTAAAAAATTAAAATATGACTCAGCTATATAAATGGCTACAAAGTCACAACATCAGTCCGGAACATTTCTTTTTTTATTATTTTGGCAACATCATCAACATTTAACATTTTAGCATAATGCATTTAAATGGTCCCATTGGCCTCTCTGACATCATGTAATCATGTATATATCAAAAATAACATAAAAGTCACATTCAGTGAATTCAAACCAATTCAATGGCAATTTAATACTATCTAAAGACATTTGTGACATGTCCGGAGTCCGTACTCTCAGTGCTCGAAAGGGCGGATGGACCTTTATTAAGCTCAGAACATACATACTTTTTGGATACAGTAACAGGACACTGACAATAAAAACCTTTTCTTTTGAGAACTGAAAATGATAGAATTTTTGGGGACTTAAAACGTCTTTAAAAATAATGAAACTAGATGAACTAACATTCTCCTTCATTGTGTCGGTAGAGACTGTCAGTAAATATTAGTCCGTATAAAAGTAGTGTCAAACGATGTAGAACTTTTTCTTCACACTTCCCTATCGGCCTATTAGCCGGTCAAATGCAGATCCTCGAGGTATATTTGTGACAGCATCTGTCGGCCAAGTCCCCGTAAAGTTTTAACATTTTCGGGACATATAACATGTTCGCAATATCATGTTGAGCTTAAGCCGCTTCTAGGTGGAGTGGATGGTAGCTTGCAATCCTATAAGTTGATATTGAAGTTTTTAAGATTCTTTAGGGATTCTTGTTTAATTCTATTTTGTTAAGAATATGTTCTTCCTTTATTTCACCCAGTCTTGTGCATACCAGTTTTATATGTAATATAACTACATGTAATAGTAAGAATATTATCATATTGTATAAGCGTAAATGCGTGTAATTTTATAAATATTAAAAAGTTTAAACGTTTTTATATTTCTCATGCGATTATTTCAGGTCCGTCCAACTGAGGAGAAGCCAAAACCAGCAAATTGTCACCTTTAGAAATCAAAGTTATAGGCCAAAATATTTGTTCAGTAAAAAAAAGAAAAATAATCCAATGCTCAAAGCAAGCGATAAGAGCATATCATTTCATTTTTTTAGTACCAAAACGGATCATTTAAGGTTTTTGCATTTTTCGTCACGGTGACAAGACTTTTGACATACATATTTTAAGCAGCTACTTGCTCCAATGACTAATAAATTGAACATAAGAAGCGTTGTGTTATTAAAATAGGGATGTTTTTCGTCAAATAAATCGCCGATTCTGTTGCATGGTCCAATATTGCCAAATGTGTGCTGCTGCGACCCTTTTTTAAAGGGCAATGTGATTTAGAGCCATATATATCGACAAAATTGCATGACAATTACCTAAACATGGACAGAGAAAGTTAAGTGATACTGTTCTATTTAAAGTCATGGGAGCATTATAAAACCACTACAATTTTAGGTCTATAAACAAGTTAAGACCGAGTTAAAATGTAAACAGAATTTTAAAAAAAATCTTTTTAGGAGTCATTCTGCAACTGAAAAACAATGATTTTTTCCATTCTTTTCGCAGTATATTGCATACATTTACCAATATTAAGAAATATGATAAATATAATTTTAGCAATGTCATTTTCACTAATGTAACAAATATGAGGCTGTCACAGAACTATAAATAGAACAGAGTAGAGCAGAATAGAATTGTGAGTCAAGCTTGCTTACGGAACGTCGGTGGTTCTACTCAAGGCCCGTTCGTGCCTGAAAAAAGTGCACGGAGTGGCACCTTAGGTGTTCCTCCACCAGTAAATAGGCAAGTATACTAAATATTAACAGAAAAACTGTCGATAATCACCCGTAATAAGTGTCTCAACCTCAGAAGAACTTTTTTTTGGCTTATTTGATAGATAAAATAAAGCATTAACATGTTATACATTTATTACTTTTCATATACAGTATAGTTACATGTACTTATAGATACAGTGCGATTTAAGTCATGACCAGGATCTTTAAAAATGCACTAAATTAATGAAAATTATATTGGCCATGATAAAACTATTATATTAAATTTAGGTTCTTGCTCATACCAAATACAACATACAACATAGTTGTATCTTTTTCTCTCTTTTAATTCTATTTTTATATATAGTAGATTACAGAATAGAGCTTATTAAAAAGGCAATTTATTT